ATAGAAATAGTGGTAGAATTCATTCAGTGCAAAATCGTCGATGCGTGTATGTACATTGAAAAAATCTATACAGTCTATTATATAAATGGTTCTAAATTCTTCCTTTCCATCTTTATGTTCCCTTCTACAGATGGACATGTGCTCTGTTTCGTTTGTAATTTTATTCTGTCCCTTCATTTTTATCTGGAAATAATTCTTCATATAATCCCAGAGCGTTGGAGTGCTGAACATTGATGGAAGTGTCAAACATTCTTTCCTTTCTCTTTCTAGCTTTGTTCGAAGTCTTAGACGGGTCAATAACGTGAGGATGGAATTCGTCTAAGTTGTTTTTTATCCTTGTATTGGGATCACAATACGCTAGTGATGCCAATAAGGTGTAGTATGCATCATTAGCCGCATTATGAAGATAACCATGGGGGATTCCCACATTCCTTAGTATTCCTCGTAAAGAGCCACCTGATTCGTAAGATAGTCTATGAATCCTTGCAGTATCAACTATAGGTGCGTCATGAGGAAGTTGGACCCCAATACTCCGTAGCCATTTCAAATCACCTTCAATATGATGGCCTACTAATACGATTCCTTCTTCACTTTCACAGGAATATTTGTTGATTACAGACTCAACAAACTTCTTGCTTTCTGCAAGTTCTAGCGTATAGGATACGCCTCCCATAAAGTTGTTTTTATTGTTAGGACAGTATCTACCATTATACATCTTCTCATGTTCTCTGATAAGAATATGAAATTGCTGAACTGTCGGCAAAATAGAATAAAACTGTCCATTCGGATCGTAAACAGCTATCCCTATTTCTGTGACTTTATTAATATTCCTTTCCCATGCCTCTATATCAATGGCGATTAGAACTTTATTTCTTAAATATATGCTTTCCATCCATTTCCGTAACTCATTCTTTTGACTTTCTCCTTTAAATTGAAATTCTCTATCCTTGAAATAATTTTCCAAATTCTGCTTATATAGGTGCTTTAATTCGAGACCATTCGTATTCTTTGCAATCTCATCAGGTACTGAGGTCGAATGATTTTGTTTCTGATTTTGAATAGCTTTGGATACAACGGATCTCAGTATGTTAATAAAACTATACTTCAATCTGCCTCTATGTGACAGTATCGTAGATCGACAAACATTTTGTAGCATAGTTACTATATTCCCGTCAACTGTTACTGCAACCAAAACTATTTTATATATCGATAACGAAAATTTCGCAGAGTGAGTTTTTTCTATTGAAGTGTATGATATTGAAGATATAAGTTATAGCTATTTGGCGGGCTTGAGATATGGATCATTCTATAATAGATGATTGGGTTTTACAGCTTAAGAACCACCCAACAGCAGAAGAGATTGAGTCGATTCTAAGATCAATTCTTAATAAGTCGTCAGATCTGAACACTAACTTCAGTCTAGTCACAACTTTATTGAATTTTACCATCCCTGAAACCTACAATTTACTTCCAGATACCACAAAAAAGTTAATCATACAAATATTTGGGACCGTTACTGGCTTAGGAAACTTAATCAGTAAAATTTCTTTGCTTAAGGATAATTCAAAAGATCATGACACTTTTACATTATTGGAAACATTGATGCTGATTCTTACAGGATGCTTCGACACAGGTTTGGTATCTAACATGGTACTGACAAATCCAAGTCCTTCAGAAATTAAAGAAATAGATAAACTATTATTCAAAGGCAAATGTTTTGCAATAGTGAACGAAATAGTTTTAAATTGTGGTATTCGGTCTCATAATCAAATTTTTTTATCTTCAGATAACTATGTGGGATATTTGAATATTGAAGTATTGACATTGTTTAAAGATGATATTGATGTGAAGACAATCAATATGTTTATTACCTCATTGGGCTCCTTTAATTCAAGTAGCTGGTCACAATATTTTGACTTGATGTTTAATGAAAGTAATTGGTCGCATGCTTTAAAGACCTTCAAGTATATGAAAAGATTTGAAAAGAAGAATTTTTTATTACGATTAATAGGGAGTTTTTTGACTAAGAAGTACCTTTCAACTAAAATTTCAGATGAGAAGTTGGCATCACTAGCATTGTTATTACGCCCAGTAATTGAATATGACTTGATAGATAAAATGTTTCTCGATAAGATAATTTCTACATCTAATTATGAAACTAATTTGTTAGTTTCTATTTTACTTTCAAATTTATCTGATGGTGATTTTTGTCAATTGATTTTGAAGCTACTCAAAACTTGGGCAGACGAAGATATAATGAAAGCGGAAGCTATTTCTTTACAAGAATACAGAACACATTTGATTATTCTGCTAATTTCACGAGTGAATAATACTAGTTTCACACAAGATATGCTCAAAAATCCTATTTTTTTAAGAGCCATTTCGAGTAGACTCAGCTCTTTTTCAAGTAATGTCAAATCTTTAGGAGTCATTTTAGCTGATAAAGTTTGTGAGTTCGGGGAACACGAGAAGATCTTTCAATTAGATAATATTGAAGGTTACGATTCTTTGATAAGTAATGAAACATATAGACATAATATGAAGATTGAAAATATAACAATTGAGGATGCATGGAATTATTTGAATGAACCGGAAGTCATTGAGGAAACTATAAATGTTAGTAGCGATACTTCTGATCTAACTAATGTATTGGAAAAGGTATCGGTATCTAAGTTAGATTCAGATGATGAATCTGATTTCGAAAGTGACGAAGAAGACGACCCAACTATATCTAGAAAGCCTCATATTGTCAAGCCACTATATATAAAGGATATTCTTGAATATCTAACAGTGGATACTAACGTACCACAGGCGTATGAAAAAATGCGAGCTGCATTAATCAGTGGGCCAACATTGATAAGACAAAAATCAAAGTTCGGTAATGAAGTTTCATTTTATTCAGAAGATTTAGTTACGCAGTTAGTTGGACTAACAAATAACTACGAAGACAATGACTTTGAGGACCTTAGACTAAACTGCTTAATAGCGGTGGTAGTTGCTAATTCATCTTGCACTTTACATTTGTATCGGTTACTTTTGACTGGTGACTACTCTCTAAAGCAACGTATGTGTATATTATCCGCAACTTCTCTAGCAGCTAGAGAACTAAAAGGATTTAAGGATGAAGTCGTTGCAAAATCTTATAATGAAAGGCTGTTTTCATCAAAAATGTTACCAGGTTCCCTTCACCAGAAATTCTTATCTTTGGGTTCAGAAGATGACCAATACGTGAACGAGAAAAGGATTAACCCACCATATGAATCCTTACAAGGTGAAATAATGTATGAAGCTTCAGAAGAAGCGCAAAATAAACTAAGTGGAGGAAAAATTTTACGTTTGTCAAACAATTTAAAGAAAAAATCGAAGCAAGAAGTTTTGTACCCGAAAGTTAACAACTTTTCCAAAATAATTGGATCTCAGTTTTATTTACCACTAGTTAGTATTTGGTATGAAGTTGGTGGACAAATAGATATTGGACACTATTCACCCATTCTTACAGCACATTATATAAAAACATTGGCCCTATTATTGCATGCAGCATATCCAACTGCAACTAATTTGAACGATATGATAAAAGAATTTTTTCTGATAGTTACACCGCTTATCCAAAAAATTAATTTGGATGAATTGCAAATAATTGAAAGTATTGTGACGGGTATTTTATTAATTTGCGATATCCTAGACGACCAATACTTGATGATGCACTATCATAATGAAATAGACGTTTTCCATAGATGGCTATCATTAGTATGGGAAGACCTCATAGATGATAAGATAAAGAGTTTGTGCGCAGGCTTACTACTTCGGATAAATGAGTTGAATGAAAAATTCGAAAGACTTTTATTAGATCAAATGAATAGCATTTACTAAATACTCTATAATTAATAATACATGATAATGTTACAATGAAACTTCTTCGTCATCGCTATCGTAAACTTCGTCACTCTTGTACTCTTGTACATATAGTCTTGATATCAATGCTTCTGCGCTATCAATAAATTCTCCTTCACTACAATTCGGTCTTAATTTCTTCTTCGGCAATATTGGATGGGGTTTATCTAATGTACTCAAAGCTCTACTTTGAGGATCACATAATCTTAGAGCAAGAACCAACGTATAGTATGCATCATTTCCTGCGTTATGAAGAAATGCATGCGGGATGTCAGCAGATCGCAAAGCGTTTTTCAAGCTGGCACCATTCATACCATGGCTCGCAGCGTATATTTTCTGTGTATCTAAGGAACTGGTATCCTTGGGAAAATGGATACCTAGTTTTCGCATCCACTCAATATCACCCCGAACATCATGACCAACCAAATAACATTGCCTTTTATGTAAAAGATCGATAAAATAGTACTGAATAAGACTCTGTACGAACTTAACTGCTTCAACTTGAGATAGTATGTAAGTAGTCTTTCCATTATAGTTATGTGAATGTTCAGGTACAAACCTTCCATTTTTTCGCTTCATATTTTCTTTTATAATGATATGAATCAGCGTTATATTGGGCATCAACGCATTGGCTTGTTTCCTGGGATCGAAAATTGCAATACCTAGTTCTGTTACTATTTTTGTATTTACCTCCCATGCTTCGACATCAATACAAAACAAAATACTTCTTCGTCCATAAACAGCTTTCATTCCTTCCTTTAAAATGGCAAGGCTTGAAGGGTTATGTAGCCTACTTTGTTTTGAAATTTTCTGGATGTATTTATTTATTATTCTATCATAATATACTTGTCCATTCAGTTCTGAACTTTCTAACTTTCTGAAGTACGGTGAACGGTCGATCTTAATTGGTATGACAGAACCATTTTCTGACTCTTTAACAGAGGCCACCATGAATCAATTTAATTAGTGTTTAGATATAGAGAGAAAGAATTCAGACAAAAAAAAAATACCATCGAACGCATTGTTAGTATTAAAAAGTTCACAAAATCAATTTCATCTTATCTTAATATGCATTGAGCGATCTATATATGAACCTACTCTATAATATCCTACAAAGCACTGATGCATGCACTTATTCCTATTAAGCTAGCAATCAAGAATGTCTTTTTACTTGAACCATCATAGCTAACTATGTTATCACTAATTCTATTCGCGTTCGATGTTTTGTTCCCTTTAACAGAATGGGTGGAATGAGATGCCGAACTTGATTCAGATGAGCCTGAAGTGACCGTCTTTGTTTCTTCACCCCAAACAGATTGCGATCCTGTGAAACCCCATTGGTTGTAAGTAACTCTGCCTGTGCTAGTAGCAGTGATGTCAGTATTTGTCTCTGGTTTTTGGGTCATTTCTTGTGTGGTATCGGTCGTTCCAGCCGTATTGGTTGTGTATGTGTCTGTATTTGTATTTGTATTGGCATTTGTATTGGTGTTTGTATTGGTGTTTGTTGCAGTATCCGTATTCTGGGTGGTGTCTTGATCAGTTTTGGTTTTCTCTGTAGTTGTGGCCTTAGCCTTTGGGGATGAATCATCGTTATTATTGTCAGATCCTGATTCATCACTATCTAGCCCACCGAGATTCTCAGCAATTACGCTACCAAATTGGATTAATGAGAACGATGCAAGAGCGAATGGAGAACTATGGAAATGTTGAAGCGACATATTGGATTGATACCCTATAATTTCCTAAAATATTCTCGATAATAAATCTGGTCAAGTCTTTATATATCATTGGAATGTGGGACTAACACAGACACATCGCCCTACAACTCGGATCTGTCTAAGGGTCACTATGATTTGAATAGTAAACAAAAATAGCCAGCCATTGCAAATTTCAGCCATTATGCATGCGAGAAAATTCTTGATTTCATTACTTTTCCTAATTAGGTAATTTATAAATATTCTCTTTGCAAGTATATACGATGTAATATCTATGGAACAATACGTAGAAGGCCCGCTTAAATTACCGAAATCTACTCATAATAGTCGATAAATTCACGTAATCCAATTAGCAAAATCTTGACATCTAATTGAAGCAGAGTATGGATCTTGTTTAAACAATTTATTAATAGATTCGAGCTCTTCAACCAAATACTTAATGTATCTCTTATTATTATTAAAATTTTCGAAATGAAGCATAAAAGATTTACGTCTTTCTGAATTGCATTTCAGTTCTAGTATATTATACGATTCTCCTGGTTCGAATCCTCTGATAATTCCAAAGACTAATGATATCAAATGGCTTATGATGATCTCTGTTTCATCAACAGATGCAGATTCCACTATCCTTAAAGATCTGATAATCGCAAGTTCCGTTTTCCTTCTAGCAAACGTTTGATCCTTAGAAGAAGATAAGGGTGGTAACAAAGGTATATCCACAAAATACGTATCGCCATCTATCTGATCTAATGGTGAACAAGAAACGTCAGACTCATGAGAAAAAAGAATATGAGGGCTGCCTGTCTCACTAATTTTAGTCCTCAAACACTTGGAACCATTAGCTTCTTCCATCCACAGAGCTTGATAATTTATAATATTATAATCCCTAATGTTTTCTAAATTGGTCACATCCGAAAAGTTCAACTTTAGCTTCATCATTATATTACGCTCCGTCAGAGGGAATACGTTCTTAACAATAATTTTCAACTTTTTTAAACTACTGTGGATAGACACCATTTCTCCATTTATTTCCAATTCTGAAAACGAAACTAAGTCTTTTATATCACTAATTTTCTCGAAGTCGATTGACACATATGGTATATATCCTGATTGAAGTTTATGCTCCATTATGAAATCAAACGAATCAGCAAATTCTGAAAATGTGTTAAACCTTAGTAATTTTGATCCTAATACGATAGTTAATGAGTCTTTACTTTGTGACGGTGTTGAAATCAAATTGTATACCTCTTGAGCCTCTATTGAGTATGAGTTACCAATTCTGATTATATCTATGGTTAATTTTTCATTGTCTTGCAAATAATTTATTTTATCCTTAACTTTGGATGCAAGAAAGTTTTGAGGCTCTGATAGGTCATAATTATTGGCGTTCAATATTATTAACCTATTATTGTTTTTGGGTCCTGATGGGATATATGGCAATAATTTCTTATATTTTTCAAAGCTTATAAGCATTTCTTCAAATCCATTGTCGAATATCGGGAATTTCCTATCGTCTTCATTGGCGAAAACCCTAATATCATTTATAATATTGTCCCACCCATCCCAGGAAGGACTAACGCATCCTATAAACGACCCGCTATTAGATGGCTTACCACAACTATCAACACCAACGAAAATTAAACCAAACTTATCAATTGGTCTCAAATTTGATTTGAGTTTGTGTAGAAGTGAAATAATATTCATTTTGTATTCATGATTAGTAAGACCAGTGCAATTGATCAACGATATAGATACATTAAAATTCAATGGTATGTTTTCTGCCGGTGGCATAATTCTCGTTAGCAACGATGCGGGTACATCTGAATTTTTCTCCCATAAGTTGCAAAATTTGAGACCATCAGTTGATCTATTAGACTCTTCTAACAATTCCCATGCATTTGTAGTCGTATGGAGTAGAGGTATTTGCCTGATTTTGATTTTCTTCACTGCTTGAATTAAATAATACTCCCATTTGGATATAATCAATGAGCATGTATGTCTCATGTATAGCTCAGGAAGAGCTTCATTACTCAAATTTAGAATGAGTCCATTTTCAATCCGATTTATGCTGCTTATGTCTTGATTAATTAATACTTCTCCCATTAGACGGGTACCATTATTATCGATCAAAATGATTGTGTGACTAAAGAAATAAACTGATATATTGTCCCAGTCAATTCCATTACAACTAATGTCTAAGAAATCAAACATTATTAAATCTCCTAATGCATCAAGTGGTAGCAATGAATCTTTCCAATTGCTGATTTTCAAAGCTAGTTTAATTTTTATATCTTGAACTATTCTGGATTTAATGGCCTTATCCTCAGATGAATCGCAGCAACAATCCGAAATTTGCGGGGGTTTTACACTTATTAAACAATCCAAATCATATGTCCCATTACTAACACGATTTGCAGGATCCGAAGTAACTGTTATTCTAGGTTTGAGAATTTCCTTGTACAATTTTTCGTTATAGCAATTCCCTGTCGGCGTTGATATTGGTGATAATAATTGTGACTCATTCGCACTTACAGAAGACTTAACTAATGAATCGTAATCCTTTGAGTGTAATACCATACCAAACGGACTATATTCCTTATCAAAATAGTTTGGTAGCAGAGATTCAGCTAGTTTTTGGTGCTTGAGCCCAGCCTGAATGGATGCATCAACACACCGGGTTTTTTTCTCGCATTGGGTGCAAAAAGGTAGTGACTCCAAATTGTTTTTATCCATCATTTCGAGATAGCAATACTTGTGACAAGCATGAGAACATGTTAACTGCAAGTCTGATTCTCCTGCAAGCTTCACCGATAACAACTCTTCACAGAAGGCACATCTACCGTCGCTAAAGCTATTTTTTCTTTCCTTGCCTGAATTCGCATAATCGCTCCTGCAATACCCATCTAATTGAGGGATCTTCGGAAATGAAAGTGGCGGTGGAATTGCCCTATTTCGGGATAGCTTCTTAGGATCCCCTATCGTTTCACTGCTGTTCCTTTGCCGAGGAGGCGATATTGGTTTAATTATGTTGTTGATAATAGATAATTTTGACTTTCTTTTCTCGATCATATTGAGTTACATATTTCGTACATTTAGTTTAACTCCTTTTTATCAAATGGTTCCACATTATATTTTATATTTCCAATCTTTAGAAATGTGTTTTGTATTGACAAGCTATATAAAAACCAGCCATTTAAATACCAGCGTTTTAAACTTTCAATTTTTTAGCATGATACAGATCGAAGAACCATCGTTACATGGATACCCGCAACCCAGATTACTATATAGTAATATTTGAGATATATGCAATACTGAAACGCAAAGCTTGCTCAGTGTTCTAATTCATATATGTTTTAAGATATTCTCGCCCGAAGTGAGGCGCCAATACAATAGCCTATGTCTATAAAGGTGAGACATGGTCCGAATGATCAAAAATACATTTTAATAGCCGTATATGGTTAATTACGTACATGGAAACATGCACAAATAATGTGCAAAGATACTAGTAATGGGGAAAATAGTCATGGTTTTAAAATTGTGGTACTATTGTTATGTATGAAGTTTAATTCTCTACTACGATCGCCTTTCGCTTAGAGATCTTTAAACACCTTTGTCTGCGAAAGCTTAATATAGAAATACGAAAGATAATAATAGTATTCTTGCGTTATTATTAGAAGGGCCTGTGCGCACATCTCACTAATACTACTAGCACTAGGACCCTACATGTTGAAATTAGTGAGGTAACGATCCCTAAAACTCTACTTTAAATTTGCATGAATAAAATAACAAATTATATACTAATATTATTCAGTTTTATTCGAGGTCGACAATAAAATGCTATAAAATTTAGAAGAAATGAAGCACCGTCTTTACTAGTCAAGTTTTCTTTAGCCGCATGACTCATCCTACCCCCTCCTACTGCAATAGGGGCAAAGGAGAAGCGTGCAAGTAGGCTTTATTGAACACATGTATGTCAGGTTGTTCTCTAATATCTGTTGGCCAAGAATTAAACTTGCGGACATATTTTCTCCTGACTTGAAGATTCATAAAGCTGCGAAAAGCCATCTAATGCAACTTCAATGCTGTTACCTCGATTTCTATTTTCATGTTGGTATCAGCCAATTTGGCTGAAATCATTGTAGGGGCTGGCTTTATATTTCCGAATTATTTTCTTAGTGTTGGCCAGCATCTTTCAAACTCACTAGCATCTGGAAATATATATGTGGCTTTTATCACATCTTGCAAACAAAACCCAGCTTCAGCCAAAGCACTTTCGATATTTCTTATAGTTTGGTCTACTTGCTCGACCCCATTGTCAGATATTTCCATAGTGGTATAATCATATCCTGTTGTTCCCGAGACAAAAGTCATTTCATCAACTACGACTACTCTTGGATAACCAATTTCTTTCTCGAATGTCGAGCCGGAACTGATTAGTTTCGTTTCCATCGTTGAATAATGAGTAAATAGCAGTTGAATCTAGTTGAAATTCAGGTTGACCACAAAAGATGCTGGCCTTAATTTTCGATATGGAATCACGGAAACTACTTCATGGCTCACTGAAGTGTTAGTCATCAATGCGCTTATCGATTAAGAGTCTCATTTGCGTCGATTCTACAATTCAACTAATCTACTACAAAATTAATAAAAAAACCATATATTATCACGGTCTCTTTCTCGTCTGAATATAAAGAGACACGCTATATCTAAAAAGAACGTTAAAAACAGAAAACTAAGAGATTAAAATCAATTTAAAAACTTTGAAAGCGCTAGCTCACTATAACGATAACTGCGTCGACACTCTTCTTATGGATTTGGAAACAATACCTAACCATTTGACAAGATTATCTATTTCGCCGTCTTCAATGGCTTCTTTTAAGCCAGGAAAAGTTTGACCAGCATAGCCAGTATATCTACCACTGGCAAATACAATATGCTTGAACCAGGATCTTTTATCCAAACCTTTATGATACAAAAAGTTTCTTTCGAAATATTGAAGGAGCTTATTATGCTTTTTAATTTGGAAATGTAACTTAATACGTTGCCACCAATGTAATGAATCCCTCTTATCATATTTGATTTGAAGATTATCGGTTTCAGCATCAAAAATGGTTGCTTTATTCTCCAAATTCAATAAATCTTCGTAAGTTTTCCCAACAAGCTCTTGCAAAGTAGCATTCCTGTGGTGTTTCGAATCATACATAGTATGTACCTTATTGTGACTGCATTGGGTTGGAGTTAAAAGTTCCGGGAATGGGTATAATGATTTAAATGAATAGTAGCTGTAAGAGTCATCATAAACTGATCTCTCATTTTGAAGATCATATTTAAGATAGTCATCCCAAGTGTTCTTGTCGACAATATGTTTGTGGAGCCATTTTTCCGGGATAAGATCAGCCGTTTCATTATAGTACTTCAACAAATCTTTTGAATAGTCCTCTAACTTAAAGTCGATTAAGTGTCTCTCGTTCAACTCCAATGCGACTAAGCCTAAGTACTTAGCCAATAAATTATGAAAAACAAACCCTTTATCGCCAAAGTTTTTCATCCAGTGGTACGAATCATAATTTGAATGGTATTGATAAATTGGGTCACCTTTACTTTGGATGAAAGACATGTCAACCGATGGAATTCCCAAATGTTCCAAGAAGACAGTATAATCAGAACCTGATCCAAGATTACGAATCTTATCTCCAGATTCTTGTACAAAGTGGTCGTATAATGATCCGGATCCTTCACCAGGATAACTCAAAGTTTTCGCAACCTTCCTCAAAACATGTTTTAAAACTGGGGATGCTCCCATCTTTAAATTGCGTCCAACAACTGCGACATCAACATTCAAATAAGCTACAACCTTACGCTTTAATTCCTTTGCAGCATATTCACCAAATTCGGTGGAGCCTAATAAGCCGTACTCTTCCCCATCAAAGCTCTGTAAGATAATAGTTCTCTTAAATTTGTATCCAGATTTCTTCAATTCACCTAAGCCTCTAGCAACCTCCAAAAGAGCTGCCGATCCTGAATTAGGATCACCTGCGCCACCTTTTACCCATGCATCACGATGGTTACCAATAATTATAACCTCGTCCTTATTCTCACCCTCGATTTCTCCATAAACATTATGCAATTGAGTAATGTTGTAGATTTGATTATTGTACAAGTTCAACTTCACTTCTGGGTTAGGGCCCGTAGAATAATCAAACCCTTCGAGTTCTCCTCTCCATTTGTCATCCGTAATATTACTGCCATACCCATTTAATTTTTCCAAGATTGGTCTAACTTCACGATAGGAAATTGGCAAGGCAGGAATCTTACCAATACTGTTATGAGGATCCTTACGTTCAACACCCGGTTTGGATGCGTAACCCGGAGTGGTTGGGTCCCCAGGAGCTGCACCAACACCTCCTAAGAATTGAACGCTACCTCTCTCAACAGCACTTTCGTGTCTGGCAGGGCCATGTGGATATTGCTTGTAACCGTTGGCCGGAGTAATACCATAATCATTTCCAGGATCGCTGTATAACAAAACACCAATGGCTCCATTTTCCTGGGCAAACTTAACTTTCAAACCACGCATAATACGGCCGTATCTTGCAATAACAATCTTCCCCTTTACACTGACCCCTAACGAATCAAGCGTGGCAAAGTCTTCCCTGGTACCATAGTTAACGTAAACATACTGTGCTGTAACATTGCCATTGGCAGAGTATGATAAGAAGGTCGGAACCAAATCCTTACCTTTAGACGTTTTATCATCTTCAAGCTCATCCTCCCTTAATGGAGCCTCATATAACGTGTGTTTGCCTTTAGCATCCAAAAGCTTCAAGTCATGTTGAAATGGATAGCTGACGTATACGTCGTACGAATCAATGCATGTTTTGAATCCGTACTCCTCGAACTTATTCTTGGTCCACTCAACAAACCCATAATTAGTACCAGGTAAATGTGCCTCAGATGTGTACTTCTGGGACCAGTTTCCAGCCAAATTCGTCTCCAATGCCTTCAAATATATCTTAGAATGATCTCCCCTTTCATTGACTTCTGGAGCAAGCGAGATGATTCTATTAGTAAAGATTAAGCCTGAAAACGCAACAATCGCAAGAAGGAAAAGGTTCCGGATGTTCCATCTACTCTTGCGGTCCCTAATTCTGGTCCTAATTTCAACAGGTTCTCTGTAAGGTTCAAACAATTGTTTTTCACTCATATTAACCCTTGATACTGTAAATTTATAAAGAAATCAATAAAGGAGTAGGTTCAAGGACCAAGCAAAGATGAATAATTGCAATCCAATCAGACGAACCACGTGAATTGGGTTACTAAAAGATATACCATATGTTGAAATGCTATTTTATAAATCGCAGAAATCCTCTTGGTGGCCAAGCTGGCTAAGGCGCGAGACTGTAATGAGTACCTCAAAGTAATCTTGAGATCGGGTGTTCGACTCACCCCCAGGAGATTTCCTTTTTTTTTCCTCAGCTCTTTACTTCGTTTACGAAAAACGAGATGGGACATATTTTTTTTTTAATTATGTCCTAAAAAAATTAGATCCAGATATTTAATCACCAATTAACGTAACGAACACATAAAATGCCATCCAGAAACTCCATTAATAAGCCTAAGGATAAGATTCTCCGTAATAGTCATGCATCTTCTATCGGAAAGAAGAGATCTGCCCGTGCTAGAAATGGTATTGTTACCAAATCATCTACTTCTCGTTACGAGACGGACTCTAATGCAGCTCCTAAAGCAACTGAATCTAAGGCTATTGCATTATACAATGGAGCTACAACTCCAACAGGAGTGATTATCAATAACACTTTATCCAATAAGAGAGCAAAGAAGATTGCTAGGAATAAGAAGTACATAGCTAAGAGGAACGAAAAATTAAATATTGATCTTTTAGCAGACCAAGAACAAATGGAAGTAGACGAAGAAGCTGAAAAAGAAGAACAAACTAAGGCCAAGAACCAAACCAAGTTGGACAAAATCAAGGAAGTTTTGTGGGCTGCTGTTGAAGATAGAGTCAGTGAAGGATTGAAGGTCAGCTCTGGTACGGATGGTAACGGTACCACGTTAGGAGTGCAAGCATTCTAGGAAATGTTACTGAGAATTGATAAGACGTGAGAGAGCTATGTTTAGCGCTTATTGTACATTAGTAGTTTAATATATCTTGCTGTGATTTATTTTGTTTAGAGTTAAGTAACGTATTTAATAAAGAACTGAGTCAGCGCACTATGTATCATATGCTGAGACAAGGGTCTCATTCATCAAGTAAACCCCGGGCTTTCAAATTCTTAGTTACAGCATTTCTTAAAAGCTGGATCATTTCTTTTGGATCTTGGGCCTTGAAAACAGCAGTACCGGCAACAATCACGTTTGCACCAGCTTCAGCAGCTGCTGGAATTGTATCGTGTCCTAAACCACCATCGACTTGAATGTTCAAGTTTGGGAACTTTTGTCTCAAAGATTCCACTTTAGGCATCATTTCTGGCATGAACTTCTGACCACCAAACCCTGGCTCCACGGTCATGACTAATGCCATATCCAAGTCTTCGGCCAATGGATACAAGACATCAACAGGGGTACCTGGCTTAACAGCACATGCAGCCTTCATACCATGTGATTTGATCAATTTGACCAATGCAACCGGATCCTTGGTGGATTCGTAGTGGAAGGTGTATTGGTCACCACCAGCCTTTGCTATTTCCGGGACCCATTTTTCCGGTTCAGAAACCATCATATGGCAATCAAAAAAGCTGGCCTTGGTTTCTGATCTTGGAATTTCCTTTCTTAAACTGTCAATGATTGGTGGTCCCATCGAAATGTTTGGAACAAAATGTCCATCCATAACGTCAATGTGTAACCAGTCCGCTCCAGAATCATACATACGATGACAATTGCATCCTAAATTAGCGAAATCAGATGCTAAAATCGATGGAGCTATAATAGATTTGACCATTGTTGTAAATTATGTTAGAATACGTTTTGTCTAGAATTTACGTTCCGTGTATAGCTAAAATACAAAATGTTGATAAAGAGAATGAGATTAGCAAATGAAAATCAATCATAGTGCACCTCACATGTTTTTTTGTAGCAGCTTATTCGAACGATTCTATTATTAATACTACTATACTGGATATTGTCAAGCTATGCGCTCGAGAATAAAGCCAATTGATATTATATATCCAAATTATGGGCTTTCATAAATTGTATGTGATTTCTTAGACCATGCGTAATGTGGGACTTAATGCTCTTTAATTATTCACCTTTTGGACGGCCGGTTAATTGGATAGTAGTCTATTTTACTGTTAGTGTTCGTGTAGGCATATTGAAGGGCGGAATGAAGTGTATTCTATCAATTAAAAGCTAGCTACCATTTAATTAGGCCACCTTGTAGTTAGTAGATAGTGTCGTGCCTCGATCATCGTGATCTCGGATACTGGAGATAGAAGCGATTGAAACCTCATTATGGATCAATAAGACCAGACAAGGGTGTATCAGGAATAATATGACGGACGAAACGACTATTGAAGGGGCATCATATTCGGAACAGCTTTTAGAGTGTGCAAGAAGAAACAACACGGAATTGTTATTAACGATTAAAGTTGAATTGAATAATGACCAAGAGAAATTATCAAATTTGATTAATTCGACTCGTGAATTAATCACCAATAATACGTCGTTGCATTTAGCGTGCCAGTTTGGTAATTGGGAATTCATAGACATAGTTTTAGATATAGAAGGAGTTGAAATAGACCCAAAGAATAGAGAAGGCGACACCCCGTTACATTTGGCAGTTAAGTACACGATTAATGAACCAGAACACGGTTATTTCATTATCGATAATCTCTTGGATGCTGGGTCGGATCCAAGAATTATCGATAAACACAATTTGAAACCTATTGATTACGTTAACAAAGATAATGAAGAACTCAGGGAATTGTTGGAAAGTGCTGAATATGCACTTTCAATGGAATTTACCGAAGAAGAGCAGCTAGAAGCATACGAAGCGGAGCAAAATGGCGGCGAAGAGGAAGAAGGGTCAGCTTCTGATTCAGACTAAAAAAATTGTCATTCATGCTTGCATTCTTCTATATATCTATAATATAAAGTATACGTTATATCTGTAATCACTGTAAATCAAAATCATCCATAGCAGTCGAAACCCAATCACTGAGGGTTTCCCTACCCTTTTTCTTTAACGCCTGTCTCCTAGTATTTGTCTTCTTTAAGTCAACGTATGTGGCGATGTCCTGATCAAGTAGAATATGAGCTTTCTTATATAGTTGTCTGTTACATATTATACTCTCTCCGTTTGTCTTCGGACGCTTATTTTTGATGAAACTGCCGTTCTTAACCCCGTTATTTAGAACCTGTGTATATTTTAACGGTATAACATGCAATAACGATAGTTGTGACGGGACATCTGGTGAATGTTTCTTGGGCTTATGGAATTGATAATCATCTTTATTATATCCTATTACTTCGAGAGGATGAATATTATTTTCTCCTTCAAGCTTTTGAATAAATCTTTGATCGAAACATCGATTTATGTCGTCTTTCTTAAGCTTGTCGTTTGGCAAAACCAAATAGTCAAGATGTATTCCATCCGGGAACAAAAAACTTGTGATAGCATTTGTTATCCCTATGAGTTGCTTCATGCAAAGCTTATCGGAGCATGATTTGCTTAATGTTATTACACTGTCAGATCTACCCGGTTTGGTTCTTACGATCCCCATTTTATCAAAATTCATTCGTCCTCGTACCACTTCCACGGCTGAATCGAGCTTCTGTCTTTTACGAGAATTCGTTATATCTTCTTTCCATGTATCTTCTTTCCAAGGTTCATTATCGTCTAGGGTATCTGTCAAATAGCTGATGGACGCATCTCCACAGGGTGGCTCTGTCACAAGTAATGCTAGCTTAATACCGTCTTTAAGTTTGAATTGAGAGCACTTGTTTCTCTCAATTATTTTGCTGACATGTGCAACATCCTTGTCTACCAATTTAGAGCATTCATCTAATAAAAACCAATTAAAGAGCCTTATGGCTAAAATTTCAGCATGTAGATCATGGACCATGGTACCTTCAGAAAATTCCCTAAATCTGTTAGGCAATGCCTTCACTCCCGTAGCTATAGTTATTGGGTATATTTCAGGTTCTTCTGTATCATTTGTGTCATATATTAACGCAACTAAACCTGCTAAGACCGTCCATTCTTGTACACCGTTCGACCTAACTGTAGGCTTCCCCGACTTAACATTTAAGCCATTGAAGTTATTAACAATTACCTCCGATATTCTATCAGCAAGGAGCAGATGATCCATCTTAGAATTGTCCTCATTTTGCATCTTATGTCCATATGACGATTCGATGTAAAGAAGATTCGTTTTTCACCTATGGAGCAGTCGCACAATCGGTAAGTTCCTCATAGAACTACACCTAAATGATTTCTACAATAATACAAATTGCCAGTCATATATAAACCCTAAATATGCTATGTATTACCCTGTGATCTGAAACCTAAATATTAAAGACATAATTCTAACGTTTCTTTCTCAATAATGCACCGAGAATACCGACTCCAACAGCAAGGGCACCTCCGGCAATACCAATACCTATCAAACCTTCCTGTGTCACCTTTTCATGTATAGATTCCTTCAAGTCCTGTGCTTGCTTGTTCTCTGGTTCATTCTTCAAGAGTGTGTCTGCGTATCTCGTAGCATTGCCGTAATCCCCGATTTTGTAAGAACCCAAGGCTAGATAATATAAACATTCTCGTCTCATTGATGGAACATCACGATATAGTTTGGATAATATGCTTATTCCCTGTTGTTGCATTTTATAGTTTGACGATTTAATCAAACCCCATGCATAATTGAATTCTGACTGTGGAGCTGGATCTTGCCCCTCTGATTCCACCTGGTCTTTTAAGATTCGTAATTGCTCAGATGAAAGCGGTTCTTGAAGTTCTTCTAACGCTGGATATGTTGACTTACCAAACATGATATAACTAAATATGTATCTATTTCTAGGAAAGAAATTTGTGAATATTTTATGTCCGCCACTAACTTGTTCTACATTTGCAATGAGATTAAATTCATCAACGCGTACACACTAAAAGTTAATCTAACTCTTCTTCTGAATAATTCTAACATATATTAGTAATCCTAATAACCTTCTTGGTTTGTTTGACAATGGAACACTCTCAGGTTGTTTTAAATGCGGTAGTTAACCAAAATAACCCAGATAACAACATCCGAAAGAATGCTGAAATAGAATTCAATCATATGTGTGGTCAGGATCCATCTTCAGTGACATATATCTTGAATCAGCTGTCAATAAATGAAGAGTTACCGATAGATATTAGGCAATCATGTCTATTACATTTACGGAGAATGGTTCCTAAGTATTGGTCGTTGGCATTCCAATCATTTGTTGGACCACCAGTCAATCAAGAATTGAAGCAGATGGTAAGGCAAAATTCTATTCAATTGGCAACGTCAACTAATAATTCTAAATTAAGATCGGGAAGTTCCTATGTTATTGTTCAAATTGCGGCCTCTGATTATCCTGATGAGTGGCCAGATTTGTTGAATCAATTATTTATGCTGACGACAAACTATGACAATAGAAACGCAATGATCGGTGGGTTGACTGTTTTGAATGACTTGTTTGATGACTTGATTTCTGAAGACCAGTTCTGGGATGGTGGTGTAGGTGGCGAATTGACTAATCATATTATCAAGTTGTTAAATAACGAGACGATTGAATCTGATATCAAGACCACCTGCATCAAATTGTACCAGAGCATCTTAAATGTGTTGCAAAGTCCTGAATCATTCACAAGTGAACAGAGGAAAATTTCAGTTTACCAGCATGTAAGCTCATCAGTAGATTTATTTGTGGCCCTCTTGGATAAATCTATTGTTAGTTCGATTTCTACAGCTGGTAACCCGGTAATGTTAAGCGCAATTTATTTCAGAACGTATATTTACAAGACCTTGAATAGCTTTTTGGGTAGTTTCAACAGAAGAATTGTTTTAAATGTTAAGCAATCTATAATGGGACTCGTATTAAAGGATTTTAAACATGTATCCAAGTATTATAAAAGTGTTGTGGTATCGGAGGATAACGATACAGCGATTGTAACCACTCCTGAATTATCACTGCCTATCGAAGTTCTTTCAAACTTAATCATAGAGCTCTTGCTGACGGTATCTGTATTGCAAAATGACATTCATATTTCAAACGACATGAATGCTTTACATGAATTTATTCAAGACTTAGTTGAATGTTCATTGTTGCCACGAGAAACTATTCAGCAGTATGAATCTGACTTTAATGTATATGTAACTGATATAACTGGCTTATCTTCAACCACATCAGTGCGTGATTCTGTCAATGAATTATTTTCTGAATTGAATGATCAGGATGCAAGCCTGGTGTTTAATTTAATTATCCAGTATATGACTTCTGCAGATAATTACAAATGGGAGTTAAAGGAATGCTATTTGTATTTATTTGAAAGTTTATTGATGAATGAAGATTCTACACATATTGGAAAAAATGCATCTTTGACAGATTTATTAAATATTGCAACAAAATTCATATCGTATGAGAATTCTCCTGAAAATCATCAGTTAGTAATTTCTAGATGCTTTTTACTCCTACCAAAATTTTTTTCAAAATTTGAAGATGAATTATCACTAGACAGTTTCGGTATTAAAGCTTTTGTGGATATGATCAAATTTACTTCTAACTATAATGATGAGGATGATTTATTTTCTTTGGTAAAGGTTAGTGTATTAGTTAGTTGTACATTCTATAAACAATTATTGAATTTTGAAAAATCACCCGATTCTTCTACCAGGCAAGAAGTCCAATTAGCTATTTTCCAAATAACTTTGTCATTAGTTGAAGAAAGTGAAGAAGATAGCTTACCAGCATTATTGGAAGCAATTACTGTTGGAATAGACCTAGATAATGAATATGCATCAAAAGCGGTTGTTTCCGATGAAACGAGTGTTCTAGGATTAATTTTTAAAATTTCTTTCCAAGACTCAGCCAATCTCCAATTAACGGTCGATTCTTCAGAATGTTTAAGAGCTTTATTAGGTGATATATCAATTACTGATTACATGATAAGCTGCGAAAAGTCATTGCCATTCATCTTAACTATAATTCAAAATTCTCTCGCCACTGGAAAAGCTGAATATTCGCCTGATTTAGATTTGGCATTAGAATTGCTTAGTGTCATCATTGATTCATCGCCTGACAACTCTGAATTCCCTAATGAAGTATTCAATTACGCATTTCCGGTTTTGAACAAGTTGATTCTTCTCTCAACTGATGACCAAATTTTACAGAGTGCGGGCCAGGTGTTTAACAACATATTACAAAAAGCATCAAAATCATTTATAGATTATATTGATGCCGAGACTAAGAAATCCGGAATGGATTTATTATTAACAATTGTCTCCAAATTCCTCTCGCCTGACTTATCAGATAGTGCTGCAATGGATTGTGGTTCTATTGTATTATCATTAATTAACAAATTCCAATCATATTTAAGCAATGATTTCTTGATGCAAATTCTCGAAGCAACTGTTCGAAGAGTAGTAGCTGCAAAAGAAGTCATTACTATTGAAAACTTAATCATGGTATTTTGTAACTTGGTTTTAACTTCTTCTGCGGACATGATTAATTTTTTGAGCAATGATATTAAGCTTCAAGATCCTAAAACGGGAGAAAAAAAATCAGGCCTTGCGCTTGTTTTACCTATATGGTTCCTGTCCTTCGAAATAACAAGAGGATATGAAAAGATTAAACAAAATACTTTAGCCTTAGGCAAAATTTTCACATTAAATTCGGAAAGTGTTCAAATGTTGATTGTCGATGGTGACATTATTCCGTATCAGGGAGACTTAATTCGTACAAGGTCCATGACAAAGGCGATGCCAGATCAGTATACTCAGATTTCAGCGCCACAAAAGATTTTGAAACTTTTAATCAGCGAATTGAATTTCCAGTGTCAACAACCAAATGCTAATGATTATTTGCCTGAAGCAGACGACGATGGAGACGATGAGGGATGGGAAGATATGGATGATATTGGAGTACCAAATTATGAGAAGTTGAAATCTTATGTTGATTCAGATCATGACGAAGAGTATGATGACCAAAAAGGTAATGATGATTTGAAAATTATCTTGGTCCAATTTTTCAAAGAATGCACTACAAAAAACTTAGGCGACTTCCAGAAATACTACGAACTATTGGATGATGATGAAAAGAAAATTTTAACTGAGAATATTGCTTTTTAGCTGTATTAAATTAATTATATCTATTTGTATATTTCTTAGTTACTAACGAACATATTAATCACATAATAGCATTAAAGATAATTTCAGCGTATTTGTAGAGAACTTGGAAAAGAATTTTATTGGATACTCTTTCTCTTTGCACTTCCTATGTTTCTCTTTAAAATGTCTGAGGTAATTATTTAATGGCTTTTGAGTTGCAGTAGTCTTAGAACATTCCGTTTCTACAATATCATGACAAACTGGACAAATTACTCCATTTTTTTCTGATATGTGTGCCCTCGTCTTTCTATTTGTATTACTCTTCTTCAAATTGTAACTTCCATATAATAATGGGTTTGGTGTTATATAATTATCTGTCTGAATTCCGTGAGTTAAAGAAAGATGTTGAGCATATGTCGAAGTTTTCAAATTTTTAAATACTAGGCTCGGACAGTAAGGACATAATCCACACCTTGTTTCATTAAATGGAGCATTAGTAACCGGATTCATTTGAACCCTTATGTATTCAGGTTCGTAAGGTTTATCGATACTGAATTGTGCATTACGTTGGTATTGCACATTAGGATGCAAAATGCTAAGTGACTCAATATTAGCTCGAGTATAACGGGTCCTATTCACCGAAAAGATACGATCCTCTTCCGATTCCTTCCTTTTATTTAGTCGACTCAAAATCAGAATCAAGGCTGATTCAGAAATTGGGTTTGCAGCGAGATTAACAAGTTTACAAGCCACAACTTTTTGATCGATTTTGATATCATCGTAATCAAATTGCAATATTTGTGGGCATTTTTTATCGGAATCCCCATCAAATTTAAAGTCATTGGAGTAAAGTGTCATGTCAGAAACAAAGTCAAATGTTTTATTGCATTCATCTTGCTCAGTTTGATAATCCATGCCAATTAAGTCATTTAATAGTCCAGTACTGAATCTTTCCAATGTATCTGAATTATCAGGAGGATTACATTCCGTTTTCCAATCAGGTGAATTATAGCCATTTAATTCTTCGATAGTACCAATATCACATTTTTCATGAAGGGAATCTTGTCTATCGCCGTACACATAGTTAAGGAACTCAATATTACTATTATTGTGAACTTCAAAGCAACTATGTTTATTTAAGCCTTCGTCAAACTTCATAATTTCGAAGTCATCATCTAATAAGCCATCATTGAAATTAATCTGTTGGTGGAATTGATCCCAGCCAACATCAGTCATTCCAAAGATCTCATCAAGGTTAATTAAAGGCACATATGACATTTTCTTTTATTTTTGTCCCAAAAACATCGAACCTCAAATTGGACATAGAATCAATGCAAAATCATCCCCTTTAAGTATGCAGATTATCGTTATGCCAATCTTGACCTATATTTGGATGTATTCCATAATCAAGATTTTGATATGATGGTTCATTTTTAGTATGCGAAACATTATTTGCACCCAAAATATTGCGAAATATTAAATATTTTGCTAGCATAATTTTGACGATGAATAAGCGACAAAACCCTACTAATACATAAACATGTTGTGGCTGTAATTTGATTTTCAGCTTATGTTTATCTTTAAATAAATAATTGGTAGTTTAATTTTTATTAATAGTCACATCATACGGAAAATACAAGGGTCACAACATTAACTTGCAAACGATCACTAGTTTATAATTCTACAATTGCGGTTGAATTCAACCGATTTTTGATTTTCTTCTGTCTTTATCTAACTCATTGCATTTTCTATTACTATCGAAGATCTTTTGTATAATAATATTGAAATTTTTGACTAAATTTTACAAAATACCAAAACCAAAGTTCTTCCTTGGTTTTTTTTTATCCTGTAATTTATATCATTTGACTCCAAGAGACTCAACAGAAATTATGTCTTGACTGTACTTAGTTCAACAATCCAGAGCAAAGTTGAATGTACATCAACGAAGTATTGGTTGTCTTTTTAGTCAACTATCACGTGAATATCAAAAAAAGTTGCAGACCGAGATGAGAATCAGATGAGATAGATGGAAGACTTGAAGTTGATAGGGTCCTAGTAAACATAGTTTATGTTAGCTAAATCACGTTGTTGGTTGTATAATAAAACTATTATTAGAGGAAAAGTTTGTTCTTGTAATTCGAAAATGGCGTTCACCACCAAGATCTTGCGAGCTAATAAAGATAGCATCATCTTCAACAAGGATGATATATTGCCGAAAATTACAGACCCAGAGACGGAAAAGAGTCTTCACATAGCAGCCGATGAACTTACCACTAGTAATAATGTTATTGGGTTTCCGACGGAAACTGTTTATGGATTAGGAGGATCTGCACTCAATGACGAGTCCGTCAAATCAATCTATAAAGCAAAGAACAGACCAGCAGATAACCCATTGATCGTACACGTATCATCCATAGATCAATTAAAACGAAAAATCTTACCTAAAGACTACAAAATTCCAGAAATTTACGACAATTTGATAGAAAAGTTTTGGCCAGGACCATTAACAATTTTGTTACCAATACATGAAGGGTCTCCAATATCGAAGATAGTCACTGCTAATCAGAGCACTTTTGCTGTGAGAATTCCACAGCATCCAATTGCAAGAGCATTAATAGCGTTGAGCGATCTTCCTCTTGCGGCACCATCTGCGAATGCATCCACTAGACCAAGTCCAACCCTCGCTAGCCATGTATACCATGACCTTCAGGGAAAAATACCATACATCATATATGGAGGCGCATGCGATGTCGGGGTGGAATCAACTGTCGTTGACGGCTTGGTGAATCCTCCGATGTTATTAAGACCAGGAGGAGTTTCAGTGGAAGATGTCAGAAAAACTGGGGGTGGTCTCTGGGAGAATGTTGTTCTCGCAAAGAAGACAGCAGGCAAGTCTGAAGCTGTCAAGACCCCTGGCATGAAATATAAACACTATTCGCCATCTGCGAAGGTAGTATTATTCATCAACTGCGGCGATGGCATTGCTGCACTCAACAAATACATATCTGAGAACAACATCCCCGAATCCAAAACGATTGCTTTGCTAAAGTCTAGATGTTTTACAGATGCCAGAGCCATAAGCCGTCAAATAAACATAGAAGAAGATTTGGGTGCAACTGGCCTAGAAATATCTCGTAACTTATTCAAGCTATTGAGACAAGTAGACGAACAAGGAGTAGACATAATATTTGTGGAAGGGATAGATGAGACTGATGAAGGCTTAGCCGTAATGAATAGACTATCCAAGGCTGCTTTCGAGACGATAAATGGGAAATAATTGTATATAGGGTGTAGTATTAATAATAAATGTAAATTTCAAATCTAACCTGTAAAGACACGTAGGAAGAACAAAAAATTGTTTTTTTAAAAATTTCATTAGGATCATTAGTGAAGCCACCTACAAGGATTCGTGGAATATTATAGAGACATTATAGTCTATATAAAGAGATAGAAGCTTGAGATTTAGTGAAGTCTATTACGATTCTTGATCGGTATTATTGAAACTTCATAGATTTGTTATAAAATCAAATCATCGCATTTATCAAAACACTTAATATATACTTCTTGTTAGGTTTTAAAGGGGTTTAAATAGATAGATTGTTGGGTTTCATTTATTTTTGTTCCATTGTTTTTGTTTGTATAAATATTGTTTCATCATCCTTGCATTATCAGATTGGATTATAATAATTTAGAATGAGTGATAATCCTTATGAAATCAATCTTGGGTCGCTTCCACCCACACGGGCCAGTTCACCATCGATAAAGTACTGCCAGTTATCAATTAAGGAGACAGAATCCGAGCTACAAACAGATATATCATACGGGTTAAATAACAATCAAGATATATTGAATAGAAGATCGCTTCACGGAGTTAATGAACTTAGTAGTGAGGAAGAAGAAAGTCTTTTCAAGAAGTTTTTATCGAGTTTCTATGGCGATCCATTAATCTTGTTATTAATAGGATCTGCTGCTATCAGTTTCTGGATGGGAAACGTTGATGACGCTATTTCTATCACGTTGGCCATCACTATTGTTGTCACCGTTGGATTTGTACAAGAATACAGATCTGAGAAATCATTGGAGGCCTTGAATAAATTAGTTCCAGCGGAAGCGAAGTTAACGAGAAATGGTAGTACATCCACTGTTTTAGCCTCAACATTGGTTCCGGGCGATTTGGTTCACTTTAGTCAAGGCGATAGAATTCCAGCCGATATCAGATTGACCGAATGCACTTACTTATCTATTGATGAAAGTAATTTGACCGGTGAAAATAGCCCAGTAAGAAAGAACTCAAAAACCTTACAAAATAACAAAAATGAATTAATCCCTGTCACGGAGAGAACTTCCATTGCGTATATGGGTACATTGGTGAGAGATGGACATGGATCAGGTATTGTTGTAGCTACAGGAGCCAAGACTGAATTTGGTGCGGTCTTTGAAATGATGTCTGAAATTGAAAAACCTAAGACGCCTTTGCAACAAGCTATGGATAAATTAGGTAAAGATTTATCTCTTTTCAGTTTTATAGTAATTGGTGTGATTTGTTTGATTGGTATTTTTCAAGGTCGTTCTTGGTTGGATATGTTTCAAATTTCTGTCTCTTTGGCTGTTGCAGCTATACCTGAAGGCTTACCAATCATTGTTACTGTTACATTAGCTTTGGGTGTTTTAAGAATGGCTCGTCATAAGGCTATTGTCAAAAGATTACCAAGTGTCGAAACATTAGGGAGTGTGAATGTTATTTGCTCTGATAAGACCGGAACATTAACGCAAAATCATATGACGGTTACTAAAATATGGGCACTTGATTTTAAAGGCAGCTTTAATAGTCCATTCTTAGTTGTTGAAAAATTAGACGATAACAGTTTACATCACCAATTAACTGAGAATATGCATAAAATTTTAGAAACTGGTAATATTTGTAATAATGCTAAATACTCGAGTGAAAATGAAAAATACGTTGGTAATCCAAGTGATATTGCTCTCGTTGAATGTTTGCCTCATTTTGGTTTAGAAGATCTGAGAAATACTAAAGAGAAGGTTTATGAATTACCATTTTCTTCTACTAGGAAGTACATGGCAGTGTGCGTCCACACTGGTGATATGGACAAGTCTGAGACATTCGCCAAAGGTGCTTCTGAAAGAATTGTTTCGCTATGCTCAAAGTATTATGATGAAAATGGTGATGTTAAGCCTTTGACAAATGAAATTAAGAAATTAATTTCGGAAAAGTCAGATGCGTTGGCATCAGACGGTTTAAGAGTATTAGGATTGGCAAGAAACAATTTCAAGTTTTCTAATAGTGGTGATGAAACTAGTGAACCAAAGAATTTAATATTCTGTGGATTAGTCGGTATGAAGGATCCACCAAGACCAAATGTCGGAAAATCTATTTCCTTATTAATGAAAGGTAGAGTACATGTTGTTATGATAACAGGGGACTCTGCAACAACTGCAACAAATATTGCCAGACAAATTGGAATTCCAGTTTTGAACGAAAATTCTGTTATGACTGGTGATCAATTGGATAATTTGAATGAAGAAAAATTGGCTGAAGCAATTCATAATATTTCGGTCTTTGCAAGGACCACACCTGAACATAAGGTTTTAATCGTCAAGGCCCTTCAAAAGAGGGGTGACATTGTTGCAATGACAGGTGATGGTGTTAATGATGCACCAGCCTTGAAGTTGGCAGATATTGGTATTGCAATGGGTAAAAACGGAACGGATGTTGCTAAAGAAGCTGCTGACATGGTTTTGACGGATGATGATTTTTCCACAATTTTGTCTGCAATTGAAGAAGGCAAGGGTATTTTCTACAACATTCAAAACTTTATCACCTTCCAATTATCTACATCTATTGCAGCCTTGACATTAATTGCATTGGCCACGTTCTTTGGATTACCAAATCCTCTTAATGCCATGCAAATCTTGTGGATTAACATCTTGATGGATGGTCCACCAGCCCAATCCTTGGGCGTTGAGCCGGTGGATCATGAAGTCATGAGTAAACCACCAAGAAAACGTAACGACAGAATTTTGACTGATAACGTCCTCAAGAGGGTTTTACAATCAGCTGCTATGATTATCGTTGGCACATTGTACATATTCATTAAGGAAATGACCGACAATGAAATCACGGCCAGAGATACCACTATGACCTTCACATGCTTTGTCTTATTTGACATGTTCAATGCATTAGCTTGCCGTCACTACTCCAAATCTATTTTCGAACTTGGTATGAAGAATCAGATGTTCAATTTCGCTGTTTTTGGTTCGTTGATTGGGCAATTATGTGCAATCTATGTTCCATTTTTCCAGACAATCTTTCAAACTGAAGCTTTGTATTTTATTGACTTGGTTCATCTTGTTTGTTTGACAAGTTCTGTTTTCTTCGCCGATGAAGCTAGAAAGTACTTCCTCAGACGAAGGAATGCCTACAATAATGGCTTTCACTGCGGTGTTTAGCCCATAGAGTTCTGTTGAGAGTGCCTACATTATTCTGTTTATATAGCATATTTATACAATGTGAATTTCGTAAAATTCGACAGTATCCGAGATAATAAAAATTTTGTAAAAATCTCGCATTTTGACGGCTTTAAGAGTCATTTTTATATCTTGCGGAGTCATATAAAAACAATAATATTCGACTGAAAATTTAGACCTGTAATGGTTGGTAAAATATAGGCCGTGAAGATAATGGTATTCAAGTTTACGATAGATAATTTGTTGGAAGGGCTTATTCCCAATAATCAGACGTTTAGACTCCCCAGATACATTAGAAGATTTCTTGGAAATCATAACCCAAGCCCAGTGGCAGATTATTGGATATGGCTAGAAATACTTATAGCAACGTTTTGTGGTATAGCATTATTAGAAGGAATTTTCAAGAGCCACACAGTATTTAGCGATCATAATGCACCCATGATTATAGCCAGTTATGGAGCGGCAGCTATATTATGTTACAACGCTAGTTCAGCACCACTTGCGCAACCTCGAAATGTTTTTTTTGGACAAATAATATCGTCGATTGTAGGTATGGGAATAGCCAAATTATTTGGATTGTCCAGTAATGGACGAGACCATTATTGGGCTAGTGGGGCACTAAGTGTGGCCATTTCATCGGTATTGATGTCGATTTGTAATTGTGTTCATCCACCGGCAGGATCATCTGCCCTATTACCTTCGATTGATGCCCAAATACGGAAAATGAGCTGGTGGTACATACCGGTTCAAATAATTTCATCTTTGTTGATGATGGTGGTGGCTTTGATTACGGGTAATTTTATCAGGAAGTATCCTATGTACTGGTGGCATGCAGGTATGCCACATCACAAGACAGAACCAAATGTAGATATGGATTTGGAACCAATAAGAACCACAAATGATGGATTAAGCTTCACCCCTCATTCGCATACAATTGGTATCAATTGCCATGAGATTAATATCCCTACTGAGTTGCAATTATCAACTTTGGAAATAGAATGGCTTGAAGTGATTCAAGAAAAATTGATTCAAATGCCTAGTACAAATAATAATAAATACATGTAATTAATGACGCCTAATGCTTATAATTTAGTACGAATATATATCCTAATGCTTATAAATCTCATCCAATGTAACTATTCCACTAAAGCTTTCATTTTCTAACTTTTCAAATAACTTTAGTGCCACCTTGTCGGTGGATATAGGAGGTCTAACCAACTTATTCAAGTACGATATATGATCTCCAAGAATACAATGTTTAGCATCGTAGCCTAACTTTAAAAGATTCTTCAATAAAATCCGGTTATTGAGAGAATGCGATTCCGCTTCATCGTACATAAACCCAGGTCTCATTAAAATAGACCTTAAACCCTCTTTGCAAGACAATTCAAATTCGGCCTCCCTCTTAGTATCAATGTAGCCCGATGGGATGAAAGGCATCTTCTGATCAGCCGATATATACACATATGACGGATTGTTTGGTTGGACTTTCAAAAATGTGTCAGCTAATATCACCGCTGAATCTCTCTGTATACCTTCGTATGTATTATGGCTAGCCCTATCCATTGGATTTGGAGTCTTTACCATATTGGCTAAATTCTGCACGTCATTCAAAAAATTGAAATTGGTATTCATAGACTTCTTGTAGTTTTGATTCTCAAAGAGAAGACCTATAGAATGCACTACCGAGTTCACATTTGTCAACTTATCTTTGTATGTATCAGGGTTAAAAATGTCTGCTTTTTCCCACTTTACTTCTTTGATCCATGGGGAATTAATTGCTGGTGCTTGTCCTGACCGAGAAAATGAAGTTACCTGATATCCCGATTTTATTCCGGTTTCACATATTTTCTTTCCCAAGAAACCATTACCTCCAAACACAGCTATAGATTTACCAATTGATGCCATTGTATACGTATTATTCTAGTTATAAAGGAGTTTAATACTTAATACCAGGGATTCCGAAATTTAAATCGTGCGAGTTTTCTACGAAAGTATTAAAGTGCAAAATTATAATGATTTATTCAATTACTATACAAATTACTATATAAAATTTTTGTTAAATGATGCAAATTCTTCGTCTTCAACTTCTTCAATCGATAAATGCTTGTGTAACTTTGATTCTGGAGAGGCAAGAGTTGAAGTAGACTGCGTGGATACGGATGCTGCGTCACTTATTTCGGACGCTACTGATTCATTGTCAGGGTCCACGGTAGATGTGCTTTGCTCTTGGGTATCATATTTTTCGGTAGTTTCTTCCTTTGAATCTGTTTTCTGAGGAACGTGTTCAAATGGAACGGCACCAAAGAAATGACTCACAAGACGGTTGATCTGCTCTCTCTGTATTTCCTCGGTCAGCTTTTTTTCTTCAGCTTGTTTCTTAGCCTCAGCCTGTTTCTTAGCTTCAGCCTGTTTCTTAGCTTCAGCTTGTTTCTTAGCTTCAGCTTGTTTCTTAGCTTCAGCCTGTTTCTTAGCCTCGTCTACTCTTTCGACGTTCGAATTATTTGTTTCTTCAACTGGTTGGAGCCCCAAGGCACCGAAAAAGTGATTTAGCAATTCCTGCTTAAAGGCTTTTTCTTTAGCATTTTGCTCTTGTTCTCTTCTTTTTCGTTCAACAGCTTCAATTTCTTTTTGTTGTTTCAACTGGGCTTCTCGTTCATCGGAAACTCTTACACACTCATTTTGTTGGGTGTGTGGAATAGAGTTGACTTGAACAAAGGCGTCGAAAAATTGATCAAAAAAGTCCTTTCTTAAAGAAACCTCCACATCTCTAGCTTCTCTCTGATTTTTTTGCTCGGCTTTTTGTTGTTCGGCTGTCTTTTGTTCAGCCCTTCTTCTTTCTTCTTCCTTTTCTTTTCTAATTTTGTTCAACTTCTCTCGTTTGATTTGTTGTTTTCTTTGTTCTTTTCCAACATTTTTATAGAACTGATTAAAAGATTCAACGTACTCGGAAAAGAGTTGATTTGAAACCTGCCTGGCTTCTTCTTCTCTCTGTTCTCTAATTTTTTGTTCTCTAATTTTCTGTTCTTTAAGTCTCTGTTCTCTAAGTTGTTGCTCTCTATAGGCTTGTTCTCTAAGCCTCTGTTCTCTGAGTTGTTGCTCTCTATAGGCTTGTTCTCTNAGTTGTTGCTCTCTATAGGCTTGTTCTCTAAGCCTCTGTTCTCTGAGTTGTTGCTCTCTATAGGCTTGTTCTCTGATCTGTTGCTCTCTGAGTTCCTGGATTTGGTACTCTCTAAGCTGTTGCAATTGGCATTGTCTCATCTGCTGCTCAAGAGCTCTCCTAAACTCGTACTCTCTCAAGTATTCATTGTATTGGCCTCTTGAAAACTCGCTAACTCCATATGGATAGCTCTCTTCTTGCGATGGGTTAAAGTAATATAACTGGTTATTGAAATTATTGGAAAACATTGTATCTTGTGTAAATATATCTATCTGTATGATGATTGTTAAAACTATTTTGCCTCCTGGTGTCCTTAACACTTCTATTTAAATACACAGTGCTTTAAAGAGCAGAAGGTTCCAGAATCTTGATTTTGCAGCCGATTGTTCCTTATGTATTTAAATTATTACTACTTACGGAACCCGGAACATTCTAGAATATTCCGAGAGCGGATTATTGATAACCCCGATAATTCCATGGATTTCGAATCTAAATTATTATTCCACAATGGCTGACCTCATACACCAATACTATCACCTATATACCCCTAACTGCTTCGTAAAACACCACATATCGCATTGTAATTGTTCGTAGGATACGGACATTGCCTATTATTAGAGTGGGACTTGGTCCTCACAGCCCAAAATCACGTGCCCGAGGAGGAATTTCAAAATTTTCTAGCTTTTATAGATCTATAATTAGTTGAAACATACTAAAAAGTACATCAACGAGGGTATTATAGGTGTATAATACAGCAGGTACATATCGATGAACAGTAGAATTAGGTTGGCGACAGTGGTCGTTGTTTCTATAATAAGTATTTATTGCTTAGTTAACTTTTTGGGAGTGCTTTCTAATTATGACCCAATAGTGAAGAGGGCCGATGAGGACGATGATGACGGGAATGACGGGGATGATAATGGGAATAACTTTGGTAATAATAGCACATCTAGTTCGATACCACCTTCTAGTTCATATGGATCCAGCACGTCATATGGAATATCGTCTTCACAATCGTTTTCGTGGTCAGACCCGGGAAGCTCAACACTGGAGTCACTGTCGAGCAGTGAGACATCGAGCAGTGGTCCTACGAGCAGCTTCACTGAAACATCAAGCCTGAGGACAAGTCAGACATATGCTAGTAGTAGTGAGACAGATGGTAATGCAACATCGGAAACAGAGACCAGCTTCAGTGAGCTGTCTCAATCGTCGGAGGTTGCATCGTCTAGTAGCGAAGCGCAGGAAACGACACTGGAGAGTTCTTCAGATCAGACTAGCAGTCAAGAAACTTCCAGCGTAACCGAAGGACAGACTGTATCGGGATCTAATAGCGAGGGAGTGATACACACTGTTCATTCCGTAGACAATGGCAGGACAGTAGTGGTGACGCAGACGTCGATGATCGAAGCCAATAGTACTCCGACATCTTCGTCTTCTAACAACAAAGATACTGACTCTGGGGGGTTATCGCAAACCAACAAGATTGTAGTCGGGGTTGTGGTTGGGGTCGGTGGTGCTATTCTATTGGCAATTGCGGCGTTTATGTTCTACTACATGAAGAAACGAAATAACCAGCCGGAGAATAACTCGTGGACCTTCTGGCGTAAGAATGAGAAGGGTGGAAACGACGATTTTTTGAATGGCGAATTAGGCGTGAGGGATAGGAATATCAACCAAGGGTCCAATTTCTAACTACTGCAAATTTAAATAGATAATGTAATTGTACCAAATAATTATTGATTAGCATGTATTTAGTTTTATCTAAATACGATACCTTAGTATCAGGCTGTAGTGTAGTATATGTGTTAACCTAAGATATAGGCCGCATACGCAATTACTATAATATCTAAACTCATCATCCTCATCATCCTCATCATCCTCTTCAGCAATTGCATGCTTCCATAATGCTTATTATATCAATAGGAATTTATCTGTATACCGTTTCTACCAGTTGCACTAGCTGCTCCAACAAAGATAGGCCTATCGCATCTATAGCTTATCGATGAAATCCAATGCCGTGTTCTATCTTCAAAATAAAATTTTGTTAGAAACAGCTACCAAAGACATCCTTTTCATGTTCCTCAAGGTTGCTAAAATGACAAAAATAACAAAAATGATGAAGCAAACAAGGAAACATGTCAACTATGGATATGTGAATTGGAGGACAATTGATATCGAAGGGACTTATCGCAGTACACTCATTGAATTGGGTTTATATAATAAGAACGAGAATACTGCAGAACTTGTCTGAAGAGGATATGATATTATTATATAATTTAATACTAATATAAAGCATCTATATGTATTCATCTGTACGAATCCCTATATACATGACAACAGTAAAAACTGACAGCACGAACATATTGCACTAACATTAACAACGTACCGCTGAAATCTTTAGCCTACTACATCCCTACACCATCATACCTATGATTTGTGACACGAGTAAAATAAGTCCTGCTATAATTCTTCTTAACCCTACCTCTCGTTTCCTGCACACCCTGTCGTCCGCTAAGGTGCTATTCAGTCGTACAATTCCTGTCCTGTACCGGACAAGAAAACTTCCCTACTTGGTCACGCCATAATAAAACTCACGGCCTTTAGCGTACGTTAATATGCTTAGCTCCTCAACTGGTAAGGCGTCGTCCTCTCAATTTCTACAGTCACTACCAACGTACCATATATTATTCTCTATTTGCGATCGTATTAGGTCATGTAGTTGAATATCCTTCAAATACCCACCCAATGAAATCTCTCCGACTCAAAGACGCCCTTTTCGTGTCCCAATCTGTTAAAATGTATCACCCACATTTGTTTATTTTATTTCGTTATTTTCTTCTCTAGCAGTGACATGATCCTTTGTTGCTCCTATTAATATCGCTGACTCACTAAATAAACTTTATGTTTAAGTTAAGACTTTGTTCGCATACATGAATGCAACTTCCTACATAGAAATTGTTAACGAAACAAAGACATTGTAGCTTGGCACATCACGTAGACTCTCTATAGACTTCCTTCTTTCCATAATTCAACAAATATTCCTAATCTATGGCAATAGAAACCCGCAGTAGATGCAAAATTCGGACTTCCGTAAAGGTGTAAATTAATTTTGGAGTGCAGGGACCCGGTAATCCAGTCGTAATTCTTTAAGTTTTAAGACATACAGAAATGTGAAATTTAGATTTGGCACAATTGTAAAAAAGGAATTTATTCAAATAGTAATAAGTAAGAACTTCTAGTTAAGGCATAATAATAAATTTTGATATGAGTTATGGTTGGGATAGCGGACATATTGAATTATAGTGACGGGAGCGATGAATCAAACAAACAAACCACATCATCGTCTACATCGAGCCATAGAAGAACCACTTCACTGGCTCGATCTTCTGTTAGCTTAGATGGCCCTGGGGTGGGGTGGGAGACGAGTCGGGGACGGCGTAGTATCCCCAAAAGCAAAATAGATAAGAAGTACTTAGCGAACAAAAAGTTGGTACAAATTTCCATACGAAGAAAATCGACAAGTCGAAAGAGCACCACGGCAGAAATTACTTCAGGCGTGAATACGTCTAAGTTGCATATCAAGTACTTGGAGGCAGGTATGAGGGTGAAACTTACTATGGCTCCGTCGATATTTTCCTTGTACAATTCGCTCATCCCTCATACTAATCGAAAACAAGTGTATGCGTTGAAAGACCATCAGGCGGCGGTTGTCGACGATATTTCCAAGAATATGGAAACAGTGCCATCAGATGGAGTGATAACAAATCGAAACATGACTTCGAAGCCCTTGCAGTTGATCGACAACAACCTTGTAAATTTGGCCGGTTATTCACACAAGGTATTACTGACGTTTGGCAGAAGGAAGGATGGTGGTGCCAGTGAGGAGCCTTCCCATTTGCCAACGTTCAATTCTTTAGACACGGCCGTTAGTTCGCTATTTAGTATCAGCGATTATACGTTGGTAAGAGTGACCCGTTCCACTTCTAGCGACGACGAAGGTTCGGTGATATTAAAGCTCGAAACTGCTAGACCCGGAGATTATTCCCTAATAGATGATGAAGACTTTGCGGAAGACATGATTCACAGCATTGGAAAGCCTAATGATACACCAAATAGCTTATTCATCAAAAAAATCGTTGCAAGGCCCCGGTATAAATCCGACATGAAAATCTTTTTAATTCCAAAGATTCAAGACAGCTCGCTTTATGTTGACGAACGTATGTTTGAAAGAGATCTAATCAACGGGGTCATAGATGTTGATCAGTCGCCTTCCATTAGAAGCATTTTCTGCACTTTCAAGTTCGACCATATTTTAAGTCTGTATAAAAGTTTACTATCCTTGACCAAGTTAGATGAAGAACACAATGAAAAGGAATCCAATAGCGATAAAGACATGCAAGAAGATCCTGATAATGAAATGGCCATTGACGATCTTAATTGAAACTTCAATCGACAAGTTCTGTGTGGCACTTGAATATCGCTAATACTTTTTCATAGTTCTGCATTAGTAATACTAGCATCTACCTTGGACATCACCTTCGAAGTTTCAACATGAAACCAAATAATATCAGCATTCCTGAAAGCATTTTGTTGTATCGGATGTATATGAACTCATAAACTATTTATTGAGCTTGATATGCTCCCACAACAAATTATTTATTTCTTTAATTAATCTTCTTATTGTCTCAGTTGAACCATTTCCACATAATGTTAGGTAATAAGCTTCTTTAAAAGCGAATTCCTGATTATAATTCATAGACACTGCAAAAACTTTTCCTTAATCAAAAGCATGCAGCACATTGCATTAATAACACGATATATAAGCATACCAAAGACATCCCTGTCATATAGAATGATGACATGTACAACGCTTGCATTCATTATATATTTGAAGTGACTCAATAAACATCCTATTATATTATATTTCTTCTGAATTTTTAAAGATAATTTTGGATGAAATCACTCAATGCTCTAAAAGTGAGTTATCCATTTTATTTCCAAAGTATTTGACGCTGTAAATGATCCATTGATACATATATATGTGTATTCAACTATATGAGTTTTTGCTTGGAGTCCGAATTCTGGTAAAAATATCCCTACACCATAACATCTATACACCAAATATATAATTCATCACTCATTATCCTCTTCAACAATTATATGCCTCCAGAATACTTAGCACATCCAATAGAAATTTACCTTTATGTCGTTTATAACAGTGGAACTTTCTATCAATGGAATTTCTATCAATGGAACTGATTGCTCTAATCAAGCTTGGTCGTCTTCTACCAAATTGAACTGATTTGGCAGCTGCCTCTACCATATCAACGAAATCGAATGCATTATACCATCTTTACATCAGTTCTCGTTAGAAATAACTGCCAAGAATGATCTTTTCAGAGGCTAAAATCAATGTGAGATAGTTTAAAAATGAACCTAATAACAACTTAGACAAGGAAACATGCGAACCATAGATATCAGAATCGGAAGACAATAAATGTCGAGGATGCAAAGCGCACTTTGAGAGAGAGAAAGGGACTTTGCACTACGGCCATCTATAATAAGAATGAGAGCTTTGTAGAATTTACCTCAATCGCTCGAAATGACGTTCATATTGAGAGCCATAAAAAATTATACTGATATAGGCATCTAGCTGTACTCGTCTGTATGTCCTGCTATATAAATGACATGCCCCATAACAGACAGAATGAATAGTACCTACATCAACAAAAGAGATGACATCTTTAGGCTTACCACACATTCCCCCTCGGTACCGCACATTAATAGTGATGTTTACGTAAGAAAATAAAATGCTGCTTACCTTATTCTTACACTCCAGGGCTACCTGTCTCCCGATTCCTATACATTCTTAAATATAGCTACGATGTTATTCAGTTGTGCAATTCCTATTCCATATAGATAGTCAAACCACAAAGAACCGTTTCTCGCAATATCCAAGGCTACTGAAGCGCCTCAATATCACTCAATGCCCTTGCAGCACCTTTTTTACGTCCAGCACCTCAATTGCTAAAGTGCTGTTCCCTCAAATCGCTTAGGCATCGTCCAATGCAAATGTAATATACATAATTCTCCATTCTGCAACAGCATAACAACTCGTAGCTCACAGTAGCCCATAAGCGCTGCCTTTTGGTGCCTATTCAGTATTCACTCAACGCCCTATCATCACGCAATCAAAGTTCTACTTCTCAAAAATAAGCACTTTTCCATGTCGCAATTCTCTCAGGTCCATCCCTCATTTATTCTCTAGGCTAATTTTGGCTCGGTAGTTTATTCTTCTCTAGCGGTGACATGACGCCTTGTTGCCGTCCGAATAAATATCGTTAGTTCATTAAATTAGCTTCTGATTTAGCTTTAGCCTTTTTTTCGCATACAGTTAAAAATTTTATAGATTCAAGACTTGCAGCTTCGCACACCACGTAGGTTCCTTATAGATTTCATTAATGCCATCAAATGTTGCCAAATATATGGCCATAGGAACTCCCAAACGATACAAAAAAAACCGGGCTTCCGTTATTTAGGGATACTTTTTGGAGTGTATGAACCCGGTACGTCAGTCGTAAATTTTTTTAAGTTTTAAGACATACAGACAGTAAGTATTCTGGACAATTGTACAAAAAAAGAAGTTATACAAATAGCAACAGTAAGTCAGAAAATAATCACAACAATTAGATTTGACACGAGTTATGGTTGGAATAGCAGATATATTAAACCATAGTGATGGAAGCGATGAATCAATCAAACAAAATGCAACATCGTCTACTCCCAGTCAAGGAAAAACCTCTTCGCTGACCCGATCATCTATTAGTTTGGATGGTACCGGGATGGGGTGGGAGACGAGTCACGGACGGCGTAGTATTCCCAAAAGTAAGATAAACAAGAAACACTTAGGGAATAAAAAGTTGGTCCAAATTTCGATACGAAGAAAATCGACAAGTCGAAAGAGCACCACGACAGAAAATACTTCGGGCGTGAATACGTCTAGGTTGCATATCAAGTACTTGGAGGCAGGTATGAGGGTGAAACTTACTATGGCTCCGTCGATATTTTCCTTGTATAATTCGCTCATCCCTCATACTAATCGAAGACAAGTATATGCATTAAAGTCTCATCAGTCTGTTTTCGACGATATTTCCAAGAATATGGAAAAAATGCCCTCAGATGGAACCATAATAAACAGAAACATGAGGTCGAGGTCGTTACAGTTGATCGACAACAACCTTGTAAATTTGGCGGGTTATTCCAACAAAGTATTATCGCCGTTTGGCAGAAAGAAGGATGGTGACGTCAGGGAACATCCATCTTATTTGCCCACTTTCAATTCTTTAGACACGGCCGTTAGTTCGCTATTTAGTATCAGCGATTATACGTTGGTAAGAGTGACCCGTTCCACTTCTAGCGACGACGAAGGTTCGGTGATATTAAAGCTTGAAACTGCTATGCCCGGAGACTACTGCCTAATAGATGATGAAGACCTTGTGGAAGACATGATACACAGTATCGGTAAGCCTAATGACACACCTAATAATTTATTCATCAAAAAAATCGTTGCAAGACCTCGTTATAAATCCGACATGAAAATCTTTTTAATTCCAAAGATTCAAGACAGCTCGCTTTATGTTGACGAACGCATGTTCGAAAGAGATCTAATCAATGGGGTTATAGACGTTGATCAGTTTTCTTCTGTCAGAAGCATTTTCTGCACTTTTAAATTTGACCATATTTTGCATCAGTACAAAAAATTACTATCTTTATCTCGGTTGGATGAAGAAAGTAATGAAAAGGAATCCAATGACGAGAAGGAAATATTAGAAAATTATGATATTGAAATGGCCATGGTCGATTCTAATTGAAGCGTCCGTGATTTGTTTTAACCTTTGAGGTTTGAATATCTCTAGCATTATTTCATAGCATGTTCTGTAATGACAGCACTAGCATCTATCTTAGACCATCATCTATTTTAGACCATCATCTATTTTAGACTATCATCTATTTTAGACTATCATCTATTTTAGACTATCATCTATTTTAGACTATCATCTATTTTGGACAATCATCTATTTTAGACTTTCTTCTATCCTAGACCGGCATCTATCTTAGACTTTCAGCATCTTAGATATCATCATATTTCGTTTCAGTAATAAATGAAATAGCGTTAGAATTCCTGAGAATTTGTTCGTACCAGTGTACATGAAATATGCCTGATTAATATTGGATTTTGCCTCCCACAGCAAACAAGTTGCTACTATTTTATTACTTTACATCAATCTCCCTATTGGCTTCCATTGGCTTCCGATGAAGCATTTGCACATATTATTAGGCAATAAACTTTCTTAAAACTAAGTTACTGGCTATAACGCATGAATATTGAAAAGGCTCTTTCTTAATCACAGTACAGAGCATATTGCATTCTGAACGGGGTATATGAATGTACCAAAGTCATTCCATCATAATAGAATGATCGCAGGTACAATACGTGTTTTAATTATATAGAAAATGATCTCAATAACATCCTGTTCTAAAATATCAGTGGGCCGATTTTTTAAATACAATTCGAATGAATTCTTTCGAATACTCTAAAAGTTGCTTATTCATTATATCAAAGGGTATCAGACGACTCTGGAAGTGGTCCATTCACATACTTACGATATATGTGTTGCTTTTATCTATACACCTTAATTTTGTGCTTGGAGTCCGAGTAATAATACTCAACATTCTAATACATAAAATTTTTCTACCGTGATTATTCTACAATACCAAATTGCACAGTTAATCATATTTATATATAATATAATTTTATAAATAAACTAAAGTTTTAAACGCTCAAGGAAACTGATTCATCGTTAACCAAATGCTTGTAATTTTTTAAAGCATTCGCAACGTCCTTATTAATAAACTTTTCAGTCTGTTGTGGTGCTCTACCAACGAAAGTGGACGGGTCCAACAACGTATCTAACTCGTTCCAGATAGGCTTGAAATATTCTGTGGCTCTGACCCTTTGGATTAAGTCATTATCACCACCTTCCTGCTTAACAACAGCACTGGCTTGATGGGACAAGACTCTGATTTCTTCGTGACAATCTTGTCTAGATCCACCCTTTTCAACCATGGCCATAATGATATTTTCAGTAGCCATGAATGGTAATTCAGAATTGATCCTTCTTTCAATGACCTTTGGATAGACGACCAATCCAGAGGAAATATTATTCATTGTGGATAATAAAATGTCCGCAGTTAAGAACGCTGATGGAAGGGAGATTCTTCTGATGGCTGAATCATCTAATGTTCTTTCAAACCATTGGACAGAGGCGGTCTGAATGGCATCATTTAATAAACCACCCATGTGTCTTGCTAAAGAGCAGACTCTTTCACATCTCATTGGGTTTCTCTTGTAAGCCATAGCAGAAGATCCAATTTGGGACTTTTCAAATGGCTCTTCAACTTCCTTCAAGTTAGCTAACAATCTGATATCAGTTGCAAATTTGTGCGCAGTAGCACCCAAGGACGCTAATGGGGATAAAACATCAATATCAATTTTTCTAGAATAAGTTTGACCAGTAACTGGATAAACATGTTCGAATCCTAATAATTCAACGACTCTTTCATCTAATTGTTCAACCTGGTCATGGTTGCCGTGGAACAAAGACAAGAAAGAAGCCTGCGTACCAGTGGTACCCTTAACACCTCTTAACCCGATATCATTTCTAGCTCTTTCCATGTTTCTCAAATCCCATAACAATTCTTGAATCCATAACGTAGCTCTCTTACCAACAGTGGTCAATTGAGCTGGCTGGAAGTGAGTCCATCCTAAAACTGGCAAATCCTTGTACTTTAATGCAAATTCAGATAATCTGTTAATAACATTAACCAATTTTGGAATCAAAACATCGTAGGCATCTCTCAAGAAAATCAAATCGGCATTGTCTGTAACGAAACATGAGGTAGCACCTAAATGGATAATCCCAGCAGCATCTGGACAAGTCTTACCAAAAACGTGAACATGGGCCATAACGTCATGTCTAACGATTGCCTCTTCCTTGGAAGCAGCTTCAATTTCTTCATCAGTGATTTCTAAGTGCGCCTTCATTTGTTCAATAGCCTTGTCTGAAATCATGTCTAATCCGACTTCCTTCTCAGCGATAGCTAAATTGAGCCATAACTTTCTCCAGGTTGAGAATCTGTTTCTCAATGAAAAGATCTTGGACATCTCTTCCGACGCATATCTTGAAGATAATGGGGTGGAGTATTTATCGTTAGCTGACATTGTGTTTCTTAGTGTTAATAGAATCAATTTAAATCTGAAAACCGTAGAGAAGATGAATGAAAAATCCATCTCGATTAGCTCATTAAAAGTCATATCGGAAATTATTACAGCATGACTCGGGTACTCATCTCGCGAAATTTGACTCCATACATCATCAATTCATTAACACCATATATACTAAATACTATAAAGCAAATCCTATACAAGAGAATATCCGTAAGAGAATATTGCATGATGATGTTAAGAGTCAATGCCAAAGGCTGTGATGAAAATTGGTACCATTTTGCATATTTACTAGGGCAAAGCGCAGCATTGCGAAAAATTCCATTGGCATCAGGAATTCTCCCAGACGAACCATTGGCCTGCCGAAGATAGGCTCGATAGACAGACGGTCCCAATTGCAGAGGTATACGTTTAATCTGTCTGAGCCTATGAGATTGGGCCTCGAGTTAGCGCTGGCTGCGAACTAAATTCTGGCACCAAAATATGGTACATAGTTAGTCATTTCTTTGGGGATATGTTGTATCTCTGTGCATATATCGAATAAGTCGATTTATTTGTGTCGAGCCCAAGCTTGTGGGCGTCAATGGCCGTGGTTTTCCCGGGGTTCCCCACGGTCGTCCATGTCATCGTTGTTTTCTTTTTCTACCGCATCGATTTCATGGCCGTTTTCAGGCTCATCTTCCGACTCGTCATTGCGCCTCTGTTCCTCGTCATTTTTTAAGTTCTGGTCTTCTTCGTACTGCAAAAATAACGAGTACACCGCTCCCTTGAAGAGCGTATACACAAGTCCGATTTTCATTTCCAAATTTCTCAAATTATCCAATAATTTATCAGCAGATCCGCTATTTGTAGCGTCAACCCCATCCTCCGATGATGAGCTCTTGCCTAACGGGTGGCTGTTTTGATTTGTGGTGGAGTTTAGCTGTTTAATCTCACTTGATAATGTGTTCAATTGCACTGCCAAAAGTTGATACTGCGAAAGAATTTGTGCCTCTATCGGCGAAAGCAACGTTGACTTAGTGTAGTCGGTAGCATATATATCCTTACGAGCCATACTACTAGTGACTCCAGCTGAAGAAGTTGGTTTGTTGATATTGTATTGAATTTTATATCCCGATTATATAAAAGTTCGTGTATGCTTACGTAAAACAAACAAGCCCTTAAAACAATAAATTTCAATCCAGAATGGTAGCAATTGAAAGAACAACGACGAATTATTAGGTGGAATACAAAAGATACGTATTAACGATAGTTTAATAACAGGTTAATCGATATCTACTATGTCTACAGTAACCAATGGTAACAGTCAAATGGCTGAGCAAGAGGCTGCTAAAGCAGATGCTGAATCTAAGGCCACACCGATCACCAATACAACCGTGGCCCCAGAACACAAGAAGAAGAAGCTTGTTAGAAAACAAGTAGGATCAAATCAGTTAAAATACAACGCATGGGCAATTGGACACATATGCACGATCGTGTTCGGGGTGATTACGTTTTTTTTCCAAATTTTCCTCTTGCCAAACAAATGGTACATCAATTCGATTTGCTACAGATTATCGTTGTTCGGATCAATGGTTGCATTGACCGCTACATTTTCACATAAGTTTGGGATCAAAAACTTACCTCCATTTCCCACGTTGATTGCGCAACAGAATTTCCAGTACTTGATATTGGCAATCATCTGGTGTTTTACGTTTAAGTCGATTTTCAAGATTATCCCATACTTTTTGATTTCGACGTTACAATTATCTGCGCACAAGAATATCGAAGCTGTATCAAAGCACCTGACCCAGCTTGCGTCTTTCATAGCGTATGACGAGTTATTTTTGATAATGTACTTACTTCTCAGAACTTTATTCTTTAGAAATACCTCCGGATACCAATTGAGTGCCTTCTTATTTTTTTACTGGTTAAGAATCTTATACAATAAGGAAACTGGTAACTTGTTTAGATCTATTGTCACGCGTGTCGATGGTAAGGTTACTTCTTCTACTGAAAACGAAAAGGTTCTCCACTACTGGTCTAAAATCAAGAAATTCGTAGACGCCAAGCAATACGATAAGATTTAATTGAGCCGTTTGGTGCTATTATACGTCTCAGGTAAAAATCGATAATAATCTTGATTTTTCATCTTTAGATTCATGAGTTTGTACAATGGATGAATTTTTTTTACCAATTATTTATAAATCACTACTTTAGGTATTTGTCGTGATTTCGCTTGTCTGTTTCTTTATTATATATACTTATATATAGTGTGTTATTAACATTATTTCGTTTTAAATGCAAAAATTGTATTATAAGCTAGTCGATGTCGTGCGTAGAAATTCGGAACCTCAAATTGATCATAAGGGGCTTTTTTTAATTATCATTCTTCTTTATTCAATTGAATACTCCGAATAATTCCAGTAGAGTTGACTCCTGTAATTAAAAATGTCATCACCAATAGTTTACCAATTAGGACACGAATCGATCAAGGACCATGTCTTTTCTCCAGATCGTCAAATATTGGCAATCACGAAGATGAATACTGTCGAGATCTACCAAACATCGCCCAATTCATCAAGCAAGCCAAAATTAATCACAACATTGAAGGGTCACGATAAGACAGTCACTTCTGTGGATATTTCTCCAGATGGATCCAAAATTTTGACGTGCTCTCAGGACAGAAATGCGTTGGTCTGGAAATATGATCAAGCCGAGCAGGAATACAAGCCTACATTAGTTTTGTTACGTATAAGTAGGGCAGCTACTATTTGCAGATGGTCTCCTTTAGGTAACAAGTTTGCAGTTGGATCATCCGATAGAATTATTGCTGTCTGTTACTACGAGCCGGAAAATGATTGGTGGGTATCCAAGCACTTGAAAAAGCCATTGAAATCTACGATCACCAGCTTAGACTGGCACCCAAATAACATCTTGTTGGCCAGTGGCTCAACTGATGGACATACCAGAGTATTTTCCACTTATATTAAGGGATTAGATGAAAAACCCGAACCATCAGTTTGGGGTTCGAAATTGCCATTCCAAACGTTATGTGGTGACTTTATCAATGAAACCGGTGCCTGGATTCATGATGTTTCCTTTGATCCGTCTGGTAATTCATTAGCTTTTGTTTCTCATGACTCGTCTCTTACAGTTGTGTATCCAGAAGGTGAAGGATTACCACCTAGAGCTATTCTTAATGTCAAGACGAACTATTTACCATTCAAGTCATTGGTCTACTCAAGCGAAAATAGAATCCTTGTAGGTGGTCACAACTGTAACTTGATTGCTTTTGAAGGAAATGAAAGTGGATGGAAAGAGGCTTTCAAGGTTGAAAAACAGAAGGATTTAATCAAGGACACAATTGTCCCAGAGGACGAAGAAGAAGAGATTTCATCTCATGATGCACTTAACATGTTTAAGCAATTAGACTTGAAAGGTAGAGTCAACAAGCCTAGTGCCAAAGGTACCGGTAAGGTATTAAGTACCATCCACCAGAATACTATCGCAAGTATTAAAATATACACTAACAACCAAATCAGTACCTCGGGTGTTGATGGGAAGATTGTTATTTTCACTATCTAAGGCTCTACAAAACAAAAATTGAGTTCTGAAGTATATTAAGTATATATAGTACAATAAATGCATAGATCTAGAAAGTTAGTACTTGTTCACTTGCAACAAATTAAAAGTAGGCAATTTATATTTTATGTCAGATATTTGAGCTTTGGTAAGGGTTATCTTCAGGTATTTTTGGTTCAGAAGCAGAACTGAAAAGTAAAGTTTATCATCATAAAAATATATAATTGCATGTATAAAAAAATCATGTACTTACACTTTATTCCTAAACCAGTTAGTATTAGTGCAAATGAATGCAATTAAAAGGAATTTTCAACCTTTTAAGGTCAGATGGTGATGCATGTTTTATCCATGGTTCAGGATTCACCGGATTGAATGTTGTGTAACAATCATCATAGAAAAAGTTGTATTCCTTTATTTAAAGCCAGACATACTGAATTGTGTTAGAATGCTATTTCTCTTTCATCACCTCATACTAGTACAACATTTCTAAGTATAAATCATAAACGAAGAATTCCTAAATTTATTTTTGTCTTGCATATGCATCCTCAGTCATTTGTTATATCATTGGGTTTAATCATGATAATAGAAATATGTTGACATTGTATAAGTTCTCGAAAGGTTGAAACATACCAATACTTCAAATCATTGTAGTAGAGTTTATGTACTAGAAGAATATACAAATGGAAAATTTTTTTTCACTTATGGTCGAATTGCCAACTCCGGGTAATAATAGAGAGATAATCTGACTCTTAGGGTTACATGGGATACTTCAGTTCTTATATTCATAAACTTGACATTTGAGAGCCTGATACAAACCCAGAGGTGACATATCGACAATCTATGCCAATTGGTTTTAAAAGTAGGAATATTAGACGTATTTGGAAAAATATGTCCCTTCGCTAAAGACTCCGTACTCCGTTTGCACCCAAACACCCAAGTGCCAACTACCAAATACTACTGCAGTTGTAAACCTTGGAAAGCCCAGAATTGACATAGAGTATATCGAAGACATTATTATCTAGAAATTGTATATAAATGTAGTGTATTGTTAGAAATTATTTTGTAAACAGGCGCTATGAGCAACATCGACTTTGGGAAGAGAGTGCAAACCATTCGAAATTTCAAGTTAGATAAGAAAATATATTCATTAAACAAGAAGGTAAAGTGTTCTAATTAACAGCATGTCTAAGCCTAACTTTAGTCATGGATCAGATGAACGAGACCCACTCTTGCCAACACTGCTGATACCAATCAGTAAACCGGATGCGCCAAATGAGAGAGCTAATGTTAGTGTACCAAAATCGCCGTCTACGTCAGCTCTTTTTAACAAATATTCACCAAATCAGAATTCGAATATAAGACACGGTTCACATTCAGCGTATAATGAACACGGTGACGATAAAATAGGGAGGAGTGCAGGCTTGACTGAAAGCTATCGTCAGGGATCAGTTAGTCATCAAGTACCACCATTATTCCATAGATTGTTGAGTGGCCATTATACGGTCACGAATCCAAACGTAGGTTCAAGTGGAGGATTTGAGTATGCAAACTTGAATTCAAGTAATTTGAATCTTAATTCGAGCGGTATTCTAGAAAGTAGTGCCAGTATCTATTCAGTACCTGATCTTGAGGAACAGCAAAGAAGGTTAAATGTATTGACAGGAATGAGGCCTCTCAAGTTAATTGGTAACTATAAAAACTTGACAAATTGGATGGATAACTGGAAGCCAGGTATTTCGAAGATTAAAAATAAAAAGGTTAGAAAGTACTATGAGGATCAAAATTACTTGATTGAAAGATTTCAAGAGATCGATAATCTATTAGATTACGGTAAGATTCACATTAATATGCTTTCCAATTATAGTCGCTCAGAAGTCCGTCAAAATAATAAAGATAGAATAGAGGATACCGAAGATAACCAAATAGGTACCAAGATGAACTCTAATACAACCAGTTATAATTCTATGGTTTCTCATCGTTCTAGATTTAATGAAATTCCTGGTAATGTTGAAACAGAAGGGGCTCACTTCTTAGGATACAACCAGGAAGAGACGTCGCAGAATGTATTATTTGCAATTTTAGTTAACTTTTTTGTTAATTTTATCCTTTTGATAGGTAAGATTATTGTGTGCATATTGTCAAATTCTATATCTGTTGTTGCATCGTTAGTTGATTCTATTTTGGACTTTCTTTCAACTTTTATTATCTTTATAGCTAATAAGTTATCAACTACTAAGACATGGAGAACACAGCATGCATATCCTGTTGGTAGATCAGGTCTAGAACCATTGGGTGTGTTGATTTTCTCGGTCATTATTATAATTTCATTTTTCCAAGTTGGACAAGAATCGTTTAAAAGATTGTTCTTGAGCTCACCAGAGGATAGAAAGACAGCTGAGATTGGCCAAGGGGCGATTATTATTATGACTACTACTATATTGTGTAAAATAGGTTGTTGGATTTGGTGTTCTAAGAGTAAGTCGAGCTCAGTCCAAGCTCTTGCACAAGATGCTATGACTGACATAATATTTAATTTTGTTTCTTTAATCATGCCAGCCGCTGGTCATTATTTAAAAGTGTGGTGGCTTGACCCATTGGGTGCATTTTTATTATCAGTCTACATCATAGTATCGTGGAGTAAGACTGCTTTTGAACACATTGAGAATTTAACAGGGGCAGTTGCAAGTCCATTGGATTATAAAGTGATATTATATTTGTCGTATAGATTCGCTGAATCAATTAAACAAATTACATCTTTAAAAGTTTATCATGTCGGCGATAACTTAAACGTCGAGATAGATTTGGTTTTCGACAATGAAGAATTTAACTTATCCTTAACGGATGTTCATGATATTGCTGAGGCATTGCAATATGCAATCGAAACATTACCGATGGTGGAAAGAGCATTCGTACATATAGATTATATGGAAGGTAATTTTAGAGGTCATTTGAAATAATCGGATGAAAATTAAGTACAATTGTATATTAGATAACACTCGATAAATATTCTTTTTAGGAATGGTACAACTATATCAAAGCAAGGATTAAAGCGCCTAATGTAGCACCAAACGGCGCGTAAAAGATGTTGGCATCAGAACCAGCAGATGAACTGGAACCAGAACCAGAGCCAGAATCAGACGATGAACTCGAGCCAGAACCAGAACCGGAAGATTCACTACCAGAACCTCCAGAGCCAGAAGATTCACTACGAGAACTCCCAGAGCCAGAAGATTTACTACCGGAGCCACCAGAGCCAGAAGATTTACTACCGGAGCCACCAGAGCCAGAAGATTTACTACCGGAGCCACCAGAACTAGAGGACTTGCTACGCGAACTGGAACCTGACTTGAAACCAGAGCTAGATTCTTGACTATCTGCGGACCCACCCAGACCTGAACCACCATTGTAAAATCCTCCAGCACCAGCTACGGAGCTTGCCCAATTTTCATATGAGGTAAACCACAGCTCACCAGTGATTTTAGAAGCTTCAGCCGCATCAGTGACTTGGGCAAGGTCAGAATACCATGGTTTATTAGTAAGGTCTTCTGCAATCGTCTGATATTGTTGCAAGAATGAATTGTCAGTTTGATAGAGGTCAGCTATAGACTTAGCAGCACCTGCATCATAACTCTCATATAAATCTGTCAATTTACCTAAATAGTCCGTGGCATCTGCAGCAAGAACCTTCGCTCCATATGCGGCTGTAATAAATCCTGTTGATAATCTCATTTCTTATAATTGTATGTGTATATCTTACATAGATGCAATGGAAGCAGCAATCAATACTTTTATATATATATCGAGTCAATGTAGGCTTAGATCCCCGCAGGTCCGTAAATCTTTATTAGTGTGACATCCAGATATCTCATATTATTATTACAAGATTATTGCATAATTCTCATTTGGTCAGACTATTGTTCTCAGAATTAAGATTTTTCTTTTTACGTCCTGAAAAATTATACGCCAGCTATATCACAAATATTATATGGCTTTGACGCTTAGGAAATCGTCTTCTTGATATATAATCTACTCAATTGGCTGCCAAATGTAATTATACATGCACATATTTACACATCTTTGCAGGTTGGATGACATGAAATGAATCAGACCCGAATTTAATCCAGAAGTCATTCAATCTACGCATGCAGGAGACACGCCATAAGAGAGAAGCATAAACATTGTCCGTCAAGATACTGAATAAGACGTAAAACACTATTAAAATTCACAATTAACACGTGTGGGAATCCTATTCAACAAACAGCTTGTGCAACGCGTACTTTATGCCAAGTTCATATTTCGTGACGATATCATTGGTATCCTGTTGGATTGTATGAAATTTTCTTAGAAGAAGGTTTATATCCTTTAAAACAGAATCGAGGTTGCACATATCAGAGACCATTTGTAGCTTCTGCAATCTTATAAACGACAAGATTTTAATCAAAATGATTGTAGTGAAGTAAAAGCAAAAATGGATTTGGTCCGACAAATATGCAAAGTACGAGTCGCTGTCTATAACATTGACGAACTTAAGCAATTGACAGGCATGTACAACCATCTCGCGTAGAGACTGAGAATTACAATGGTGTAGAACATTATCCACATTGTGATCGTCGAATATGTCAAAAACCGGAAGGTTGGCATCTATCAACGTGGACCTGCGATAATTGTAGGCGTAGATAACAATTAGACCGCAAAAGTGATAGCATAGTTCTACAAACTGTAAAGTCGGCTGGTTGAAAATATATTCCCATTGGTTGTACCATGCGTTCATGTCTTCTGTGATTGCGCCGTAACTCATTTCACATTCTTCGAGAGTAATTGCAGTGATGTCATTCAAATTTAGTTGAATATAATTGTAAGTGATTAGCAATATGCTTATCTCACTGACCATTCTTCCGTCAAAATTAGTAGAACTGGGCAAAGTAAGTGTAGCTTTACAGTAATTCAACCTTATTTCATCAACCACACACATTCGCCCGGAGAAAATGCAATTGATCAAGTGTACTAATGTGAGATGATTGAATATTCTTAACGTTGTTAATGTTTGGTATTCCTCACTGTCTATTTCGTCGTAGAATATAGTAAATGGCAAGTCTGCGTTACTAGTGTTCTTGGTCTTTTGTAATAATGTTCCAAAAGTAGCCTTTGATACGAATGTTGTTAAACCTATGCTAGAAAGATACCATGCGTCTAAATTTAATTCATGTAAAACACTATCATCACTAAGATCAAGACTTAACCGAGAAGATGCAATTGATGATAGTGATAACGAATAAATTGAAAGAAGAACTAGTGCCTGCAAGAACTCGATATCACCATGATTTAAAGTAGACTTTGGGAAGGAAGTATATTTCAGCAACGAATCATTCAATTCTTCTGCAAGTTGTTTTATCAACGACCTATAGTTGGATTTCTTCTTGTTAAGAATTTCAAGATGGCTAGAATTAGCTCCCTTGAACAGGTATCTCAAAGATAGACAACAACACGTAGTTAACAATAAGGGTGACTTATTTCTAATTCTTTCAACCAACACATCAGTTGGAGCGTTTGAGGGAAACAGCACCCACCTTCCGTGATTTTTTCTAAATTTATTCATTAAATCAACCGCCTCTGCCTCAGTTAATAATCCCAAAGATATTATATCCTTATTTAATTTATATAATGGGGTGTGATCTAGTTTAGGCTCAACGGTGGATAGGTTAAGCAAGTTTAATATTGATTTTGGAATATTGGAAGTTTCAACTTGATTGCATATCATCGCAAATGGCGCCATTTTAAATGAATCTATTGGATAATTAAACAACGATCCGGAATCTGTGTCTGCAAGAGACTCAATTTCAGAAGAAACATTACTAGTCATATTTGTGGGAGTCTTTGTTTTCGATCTTTTTGACGAAGAAATGTTTGAAGAAGAATCTGGTAAGCCGTTAAATGCCTGACCAGCAGTAAGCAAGAGTTCGGCATCACTGCTACGAATGTTAAGTTTCCCATTATCAGATTTAACGATGGATAGTAATTCATTAATTCCAGCATGTATTAAGTCAAGCTTAGTTTTTGTTTCTTCCCCTTTAAATATTTCATTATCTGGTATTGATGGGGATTGTGAAATATGTTGACTTTGGCCAAATGAGCATTCCTTGTTAAGAAATATGCACCTTGAACATGACACTTCATCATTGACTGATTTGAAACATCTAGTTTTTTGTTTTCGGCATAGATCACAAGCTTTGGGTGTTCTAGTGGCCTGTGCAAATTTTCGGTTATTCGTTTCTAGAATCTTATTCGACTTCTCTCTGCCTTGCAGATTCATCTTTCTCTTTTTCGATGATTCATTATCTTCTTTGTCATGGCCCTCTTGTATTTTACCGCTCATATTACCATGCCTGTCTTGATCTAGCACATTTTGGAGCAAGATAAGAACGTTGACGTTTATGCCGCGTTATCAGAAAAATAAGTCCATACAAAATCGATTACGATCTTCGTAAAATACTGTACGTTTTAAATCTATATCACCACAAGCTAGCTATGAAATAAAGTTACATGTCAAACGTTCAATGGTGTAATATTAAATATAAAATTTGTGTTTTTCTCTTATATTGCAAAGTAATCTGATTCTGAAAACCTACTTATCAAGTTATACTATTCTGCATTAGTTAAAAATAGCATACGAGTTGGATATCTTTCCTCGAATATATATGCAATGCTTTGTATGACCAACACTACAAGAAAAATCGTGCATATTTTATGACATAAATCTTCTTTGAGGGTTCTAATTCAGGATTTATCACTACAAAACCCCAGACGTACGATATTTCTTTTAGTGCCGTGACTACAAGACCCTAAAAATTGAATCCGTTATTGGTTAATTGATATTACGCAATAGAATAGTGTAACAATTTGTATCCTAGCTTTTAACCACCGGCTAATTTCACCTTATTGGTGGCGAAAAATGGAGCGCTTAAATAATCGCTCCAGAGACATTACGAACTCTTCCATATAATGAAATGCTGGGGACACTTGAAGAACAATTGAGGTAGTCAAGACTTAAATACTAACTTACTACATATACGGCTAACTTTTAAAAGTAAATTTACGTCAATTGGGCCATAATAACATATTTATATTTGGTTTCAACTTCAAGTATTGCAGGGTCAATAATTCAATATCAATGACAAGTATCTAGGAGCAACAAAAACCTCCCTTCATATTGTGACTCAAAGCTGTATTTATTTTATAACATTTGCCAGTCTTTGGACACCCGTAATGCTTGCCTGAAGATTTTACTTTACAATTATGCGCATCCCTCATGCTATAGATTTTTCCATTACATGGGTTTGCTGGGCATCCACCTATGGAACAGTCGTACCACTTCAGAGCCAATGAACCCACGTCTGTTGAATTATTCTCGCTTACTGGAGCAGATACAACCGTCGTCGCATTCATAAGGATCAAAAGCATCGAAAGTAATCCCATTACCGAGTATTCTGTTTTCATGTTGCCATTCGATATTTTTGAGGTTGTTAAGTATGTCAACAATTTCACCTGTATCGATTTCACTTGGATGAATAGTTAGTAGTCCTAAGTATATGTTATTGAATAAAGTTGCCGAGTTCAATCTCAAGCACAATGTATATTCAATTACTTTATCTGTTAAATTAGCCTTGTAAGCACTTATTATATCTCTTAATACAGTAGTATCAATAGTTTCTAAATCAACTTCTGGAGTAAATTTACTAACCAGATGCTTCATGAAAATGCTTAATTATATTTGATCTTAATAACAGTTCTGTAATATCAGACTTTGGTAGGATTTATATACAATTCAGAATGATAATCCCCGCATCAAGTCCCTATGCTATGTACTGACATCATGATGGTTTGAAGAACGGTAACAAGTTGTAATTAGGATGGAAACTAAAAGCTAGTACCAATAGGAACAGGGCACATGCGCCCGTATATGCTAGTAAACAAGGAGTTGTATATATAAAATATCAGTATATCATCAAAGTACCTTGTACTTGATGGATTCCGATTCGTTAGTTTCCAAGATCATGTTCATTTCAATTATCTTAACCCCTCTGTTAATCATTAAATGACTAAAATCAAACATGCCTTTGTATGACAAAGTGCCTTTCTCAACCTGATATTTATCCTTGATTTTGAATTCACCTGAAAAGAATACATCGTAGTCCCTGTTTGTGTTTATGTGTTTACGTTCATTAATAGACTTAGCTTCTTTAATTCCTTTATCCAAAGAAGACATTCTAATTGACTCATCACTGTTTATTCTATCGAGCTTTAAACCTGCCAGCACCAACGCATCGTTTATTATCGAATTGAAATTCAACAGTTTAATAATCCAGCTCATATTCACAGACGAAACGCCGTTGTTGTTTTCCATATTTATTTGAATTCCTGATACAGAGGGGTATTTTGTTTCTAGCCAAATATTAAATTTAGAGCTATCAAGATCTATACCCAATGGCAATTTAAACATCTTCCTAATGCTATTATTTAACGATAACTCCTCTAGCACTTTATATTTGATATTTTCGTCTATTAGGAGCTTGATAAAGTTGTCAACATCGGAACAATCATTACCTGCGTTTTGCTGGCTCATTTCTACCATATAGTAGTTAAAGAACTCTTTATCCAAATATTTTAAATCTTTTGGAAATGAATATGTACTTTTAAATAGCCAATTAGCGCTAAACCATAAAGGAAGAAAGATTCTTCTGTCATTACCATCTTGCTTAAACTTAATAAGTTGACTAATAACGTAAACTCCTATTGCCAATGAACTTGAACATATAATAAGTAGCAATATTGTTCTAAATGGTAACCTTCTATTATCACGAACAGTCGAACTACCATTTATGAATCCCATATTATTTTGCAAGGTCGACCTGATAAACTGCTCTCTGATTAGTTGATCGTATTTACGTCGTTCAAATTCTTGTTTGAAGTTCTGTTTTGAAGAGTTATATTCCCGAATCCATATTAGTGAAATCTTAGTCGAACCAAATTTACTATACGTCCCTATCCCTCGAAATATTCTGCTATGAGGCCTCCGTACTGTAAAGCAGATGTTTACCGGTTTAGGACAGTACATTACCTTCGATCATAAGCGTCAATGTATCAAGTAGAGATAATAAACTGAGTTATATCTCCCCATAAATATAAGATCAGCCGATCTCGTGACGATCTGCTGCTTAATTGCCTAATCTGCAAATAAAGACAATTACCCATGGTATTAACTAAACATCTATAAAATTACAATAACGTTATACAATTGTTAATCTTCGTCTTCTAAATCTGCCCAATTTGCTGAAGAACTAGTAAGCTTGCTAAACATGTCTCGAACCTCCTCTTTTAACTTCGCGTCTTTCTGCTTTTGCAATCTTTCCTTTTCTGCCTGCTCTTTTCTGGCTTGTTCTTCTCGTTTCTGCTTAGGTGTTTGATAAGCACCCTTTGGAGATTTTGCTTGTCTTGGAGGATCATTTGCTTGTCTTGGTTTCAGTTGTGTTTGCTTGACATTTTGTTTAGGCTTTGGTGGTTCAGATTTAGAATTAGAAATTGATACCATACCTAATCTAGACGCAAGAGACTGCCCAGCACTTGTTATAGGAGGTAAATCTTCTTCTTTTTCATCCTCACTTTCTGTTGTGTCTTCAAATCCATCGTCCTCTTCATCAGTGAGTTCTTCGTCCGTGCTTTCGAAGTCATCGTCGGGGACATTGCTCGTAGCATTCTCTGTTTTATTTGATGGTACGCCCAATCTTGCAGCAAAGGATGCACCAGCTTTGGACATCGGAGTGGTTTGCTCTTTTTCAGATTCTTCGGCGTGGTCGACTTTCTTGTTTGTAGCATATTTTCCTTGTCTATCCTTTGCAGGTGTTTGATTTTGATAAGCACGAGGTCCTCTCGGAGTGTTACCAGAACCGGCTCGAGGCACATGAGAATCATTTGAATTATTTGGAGAATTATTGTATTCTGCTGTCGAAGGAGGTGATGGCAATGAGCCATATGCTTCGCTGCCATGTTTTCGATCGTTTCTACCTCTATTCTTCCTGCCAGATCTGTTATATTTGAAAGAATCATCGAATTTATTGCGATTATCCTTATGTGTCGACGTATTAGCAGCCTCGCTTGAAACATTTGCCCATTTACTCTCCAACGGTTTTGGTGTATCGTTTTTATTAGGAATTGACGATTTAGGTGTTACATGTTTACGAGATTCATTATCCTGTGTTTTTGCTCTATTGATCAATTCTTCTTCTGTTGCCCATTTCGAGGCTAATCCACTCATTTATACTGTATATTTATTTATATTTTGCCGTTTCTTCATTAATTAAGTCCAGAAATTTTAAATCAACAGATTTTGTGCGCATATCAATATTTCATTCAGATTTGTCATAATGTCTGATAAAAGCCTCCAGAAAAGGGCTGAAACTAAATGTGATTTAGCAATTGAGTCATAGCATGTAGAGCATTAGCAATATACATTATTCCTGAAAAAAAGGGTAATCCATAAAGCTACATTTGCAATCTTCAATTCTATCGAGTCCTCTAGTCAAATATCTAAAATAGGCCCCGGAACTATTCGATATCAATGCCATAGACATGAAATAAATACATATACAGTGCCGGGATTCTACGATGAAGTATAATTCTGTTATTCTTCTTGTAAGCTATACCTAATTTGGTGTTCTTGATTTGACTACACTCGAATAGAATAAATCCGTATTATTCTTGAAACAAATAGTCGTATCCTTAGAGGATTCAAATTTCTACAAATAGACAACACCGGAGGGCATCCATAATGGTCTACAAAGTGACAAAATGGATGCAAAAGGCCAACAACCAATAATTAGCAATTGGCAAATGGTGCAATTTCGCGCAGATGGGGGAGTAGTCCGGAAAAGTAATTACTGGAGTAGTATTGACCGAAAAGTTCTTCAACACTTTAAATATCAATTCCTTCGATTTTTTCAATTAATTGTATCAAAACGTAGAACAAGTATGTCACAACCACAATTTAAGTTATCTACCGAGTTACCAGCTTGGAAGAAATTAGAAGCAACCTTCAAATCGAAGGGAGAAAAATTCCAGGTCAAAGAGGCTTTTGACAAGGACCCAAAGAGATTTGAAAAGCTTTCCAAAACGTTTCAAAACTTTGACAATTCCAAGATTTTGTTCGATTTCTCTAAGAATTTAATTGATGACGAAATCTTAGAACAATTAGTTCAATTGGCTAAAGAAGCTAAGGTTGAAGAGTTGAGAGATGCTATGTTCAATGGTGACAAAATTAACACCACCGAAGATAGAGCTGTTTACCATGTTGCTTTAAGAAACAGATCTAAGAGAGAGATGAAGGTCGACAACGTTGACACTTTCCCAGAAGTTGATGAAGTTTTACAACACATGAAGGAATTCTCTAACCAGGTTAGATCAGGTGAATGGACTGGTTACACCAATAAGGCTATTACCGATGTCGTTAACATTGGTATCGGTGGTTCTGATTTAGGTCCAGTTATGGTTACCGAAGCTTTAAAGGCATACGGAAAGCCAGGTTTAAACGTTCACTTTGTTTCTAACATTGACGGTACCCACATTGCTGAAACCGTTAAGAAATGTGATCCAGAGACCACTTTATTCTTGATTGCTTCTAAGACCTTCACTACTGCTGAAACTTGTACTAATGCCAACTCTGCAAAGAAGTGGTTCTTAGCTAAGGCTTTGGATACTAAGCACATTGCTAAGCATTTCGCTGCTTTATCAACCAATGCTGAAGAAGTTTCTAAATTCGGTATTGACACCAAGAACATGTTTGGTTTTGAAAGCTGGGTCGGTGGTCGTTATTCAGTTTGGTCGGCAATTGGTTTATCCGTTGCTATCTACATTGGTTTCGACAACTTCGAAAAATTCTTGAAGGGTGCTGAAGCCGTCGACAAGCACTTCGTCGAAACCCCACTCGAAGAGAATATCCCAGTGTTGGGTGGTTTATTATCCGTCTGGTACAACAACTTCTTCGGTGCCCAAACCCATTTAGTTGCTCCATTCGACCAATATTTACACAGATTCCCAGCTTATTTGCAACAATTATCTATGGAATCTAACGGTAAGTCTGTCACCAGAGCAAATGCTTTCACTAACTACGAAACTGGTACCATCTTATTCGGTGAACCAGCTACTAACGCTCAACACTCGTTCTTCCAATTAGTCCACCAAGGTACTAAATTGATACCTTCTGACTTTATTTTGGCTGCCCAATCCCACAACCCAATTGAAAACAACTTGCACCAAAAGATGTTGGCTTCCAACTTCTTTGCCCAAGCTGAAGCTTTAATGGTTGGAAAGAATGAGGACCAAGTTAAGAAAGAGGGTGCAAGCGGTGGTTTAGTTCCTCACAAGGTTTTCTCAGGAAACAGACCAACCACTTCTATATTAGCTCAAAAGATTACACCAGCTGCTTTAGGTTCTTTAATTGCTTATTATGAACATCTTACTTTCGTTGAAGGGGCAATCTGGAACATTAATTCTTTCGACCAATGGGGTGTTGAATTAGGAAAGGTTTTAGCCAAAGTCATTGGTAAGGAATTGGAAAACAATAACGAAAAGGTTGATACTCACGACCCATCTACCAAGGGTTTAATTAACCAATTCAAGGACTGGGCTGAATAACTAGACCTGCCGAGGCCAACCAAGTTATAATCTCTATCTATAAGGCTTGTATTTAGTTGTTCTTGAATAATGTACGACTTTTATTTTTATTTACATGCAGTACTTGACATCAATTTTTTTAAAAGCTCTTTTATACTTTGAAGACTACTTTCTGGATTATACGCTAAAGAGTATTGCTGATTGACCCTATATATCAGTAATAGACCGGCCTATAGATTTAGAAACCGGTTCTCGTCAAAATTTGTGAATAATTTTAGCATTTGAAGTGTAAAAGCTAAGTTATAACTCGGTAATAAGATCATATAAGGAACAATCTAAAATGTCAGACGAAGAGCTCCCACCACATTTACAGGAACAAGGGGAGTTAGAAAACCCATTAAGGGCAATAATAGTGGTTAATTCTGCTGAAAGTCCCGAGGGTGACATGGAAGAAGCATTGTTGGATGGTGTTCAAAGTTTCGATGACATGAATGAATTTTTCGATAAATTCGACGAAACAATCGCGATACCTAATGAAGAACACATCAAGTATGAAGTTGGAAGTGACGGACTCGTAGTTATTGTTGTCGATTCGCTTTCCTTAAGGGATAAGGCCCTAAAGTTCATGGAAGATTATAGCATCAAAATTGAAGGTAAGGACCAAGAAGACGCTGAAGGTAATCAATCAGCAAAGAAGGTGAAGAAGTCAGAAGCTTAATTTACGTCATTTGAACCTGCCATTGTCTTACGATGCTTATCATTTGCACCTAGAAGCGATGGTCCGTCAGATATATATTTGAAGAGTTTTGGACACCTAAAATTTTTTTCCACCACAACACATAGACCAAGACATTGTACATTAGTCATTTATACTTGCTACGTTTATATCGAATCGTATATTAATTATCAATCTAACATATTCTGTTTATAGACTAGTCAAGTATTCCGAAGATATTTGAACACAAAACCGCACCCACCCTTAAACTCACCGATCCATTTTATTATAGAGCCCTTTATCTTATCATTAATACAAACATCAAAGATATAATACAACGCAGTGATGGATAATTGGAGAAGAATTGATATTGATGCGTTAGAAACGGATAATCATTTATCAAAAGAAGACTTGATTCCTGATTTACCACCTATATCGAATGAAGAAATAGTTTCATTATCAAAGCAATGTAGATCGGCATTGTCACTGGGCCAATTCTTACAAGCATTAACTTTAGCATTGGACACTCCACCATATGTTTCAGATGAAAAAACAAAGGAATTACATGCTGAAACAGTGTTTGAAGTCTTATGTTCCATTAAAAATAACCACAACACGAATGACTTGTCGAATTTCGTCAAGCAATTGGACTCTAACCAGCAGGATACATTGGTTAAATACTTATATAAAAACATGGGTACTAGTTACGGTGCTAAACAAGGTGGATTGTTGTTGCATTGGTTTGAAAAGACAGTTGAAGTCACCGGATTGGGTCCAATTGTCCGTTTCATGGCAGATAGAAGAACAGTTTAACTTGTATATTACAAAATTAGCAATAAACAAAATGGTATTATATTATTTCTATATAGGTTGTAATTTATTTGTGTTCTTCTGGCTCTTTTTCTTACTGGATTTTTTGATTTTACTCAGGTTGTTGATCTTATTTATGTGGCTATTCTTGTTTAAAGTAAAAGTCTTATTTGTCCGATTATCGAGTTTTGATATATTAGAAGGTTGTAAAGGATTACTTCTAGGAACAGGTTTCATTTGAGTGCTGGATTGAGGCTTATCTTCAAATATATCAGATCCCAGGAATTTCCGGTTTAAATCACCAGATATACCATTTTGGGAATTCAATTCAGACCTTAATTTCACAAGACCTTGGTCCTTTGTCTTCATAATTTTATCGAATTTTTGGGCCCAAGAGTTATTCAAGGTCTTGAATTTATATTTATAAGTTTTCAATTCTTCAATAGACTTTGCATGCTTACTATTGATAAGCTTGTTTTCTGAAGTTAGTTGTTGTATTTCTGATTTCATAGTCGTTAATTCGTTTTGTAAATTCTCTATAACATGCTGATTTTCCAATGATAAATTTGCTGATTTAGTGAGCTCTGTCACTTTTTTGTCGTTTTCAATTATAATCGAGTCTTTTAACTCAATATTCTTTTGCTGTTCAGCAATTAGTTCTCTAGAGGATTTAATATCACCTTCGTTTATATCATTAACTTGTTGTAAATCTGAAATCTTTTGTACTAAGCTCTCTGTATCCAATGATTTGTTTTGCAACAATTTATTCTCTTGAGCTAACTTATCCATTGAAAGTTGTTTCTCAGTTTTGTCTCTCTCAAAATCTTCAATAGTTTGCATTAATGATTTATTCTGTGTGCTTACTCTATCGAGATGAGAGTTTATTGCTGAATTTTCAAGTATTACTTTACTTAAATCTTCTTTTATAATACTCACTTCTTCAAGCAATTCTTTATTTTTTGTTGTTAACTGGCTATTTCTGGTATCAGATATGTCCATTATCTTTTTCAATGCATCAATATTACTAGTGAAGTTACTGTGCTGCAGTTTAAATTTATAAAAGTCTACCTTGAAGTCATTAACCTTTTCATTTAGAATATTTTTCTGTTTCAATAATTCATCATTAATGGCTTTAACGCTAATTAAGTCATTTAATTCTCCCTTTAACGAACTTGGTTCATTATCTGGTTGCAGGAAAATTAAACTGTGGCTTAAATCTTGATTCTCTATCGTAATCTTCTGTAATATTTCTTTATGTTCGTGTTTAAAATCTGAAATTTCAATTTCTAAATCCTTGATCGTCTTTTTTAAGCTAGATATTTGAATTTCATAAAAATTGTTGGTCAAATGACTTGCTTTGTATGGCAGTGACGTCTTAATGGGAGCAATGAATGCATTTTTTGTAGGAGTTTGGAATTTTTGCACTCTTGAACCCATCAATTTAGGAGCAGTGCTGAGCTTGTCTGAACTTGGTATCATTCTAAATTTTGAAGGAGTGGAGCTTAACTTTCGCATTGGACTCATACTTGACGCCATTCTTGGTACCAACCTTGTTGGACTTAAAGAAGAAATTGTAGGTTTAGCATAATGGGGAATATTTGGGGTTTTATCTAACTTATTTGTTGTTGTAGTCTCTAACTTGAAATCTTTAACTAAAGTTGCAATATTATTCAATATAGATTTGAGCAAAGTAATATCTCCATTAGGGTCAACATTCAAAATAATATTGATCTTTCCTGGACTTGGGGAATTACTTTTGAAAATGAGATTAGTTATAAGATTCGAGGACCTTCCACAACTGGATACCTTGTTTGTTAGTAATTGCGTTATGGATGACATATTGGTATTTGCAAACGCATTAGATAAAGCCAGTGATTTATCATACTTCTCGTTACCCATGAGGTCAATGTAAATGACTCGTTTATCATCATAAAAAAAGGTAACTACTAGGCACGATCTACTAGATTCACTATTGAATGCTGTTTTCTTTGTATTTCTCTTATTGAAAACTGTTTTCAACACCTCATGCGAATCTCCGTTCAATTTTCTTTTATGCAACTGGGATTCTAAGCACGAGCTGTGGTACTCTTTCTTCTTAGCCGGTGTTTCAAGCAAATCGATTATGTACTTGTTTTCGCTCACTTCGAAAGCAGTAATGCATGCCTCTTTCGCAGATGCTTCTAAACGATGTATCTTTTCATAGATCACTTGCTTGAGGGTTGTGGTCTTACCACTTCCTGTGGGACCCATAAATATAAAATATGAACATGGATCAAATGTATCAATCAATTCTTTGTATGTATTGCTACTTCCATTATATATTTTTGTGAAATCATATTGTTTGTCGTTAAGTATAATACTTCTCTCACCGATAGTCTCAAACAACGCTTCTTTGCCCTTCTTGGGACTTTTAATCTTTAAATATAATGGAATTGATGTCATGTCTGATCAAGTTTCTGCTAACTCCTTATTCATCTCTACTATGTAATAACCATCTTGAAATACCTCTTTAACGATCTTATATTGTTAATGTTTATGAAATATCCAAATTGGGTTGTTGCATTAATCGAGACTTTTGTCAAAAAAGGGGTGAAATTCGACATTAAATATGACACTAGTTGCGAGACTATCTGCTTCAGTTTTTTCCCCGGAGATTTTACTTAGTACTTCGACTACATACACCCTCTACCGAAAGTTTTTCCGTTTTAAGATCTACCAACAAAGAATACGTGAAGATGTGCAACCTAAAGTGGCCTTATTATCACAATGTATTTTCTGCAAAAATAAAGCGAATTATGTGGGGCAATCTCCGTAGGCCGAGCATGTTGTAGTTCGGGTCAATTAATGGGAATAATAATGCATGAGGGTAGGCACGGATTAATCAAGAAAGCATATTCGAGTAAAAGTAGTATACGGATCGAGCACCATTATTAAAAAAAAAATAATGAAAGCAACTCGGATATCAGCCGACCATGATTCAGACTATAAATAAGCCCGATTCGCCTCCACATTTCAGAAAAAAATTTCAATATTAACGATAAAGTTTATAAGCTAGTAAAGAAAAGATTAAACAAAATGTCTATTAAGTTAAATTCAGGATATGATATGCCATTAGTTGGTTTCGGGTGTTGGAAAGTCGACAATGATACTTGTGCGGCTACCATTTACAATGCCATTAAAGTTGGGTACAGATTATTTGATGCTGCTCAGGATTACGGTAATTGTAAGGAAATTGGTGAAGGTATTAACAAGGCACTTGACGAAGGTTTAGTTGCTAGGGATGAATTGTTCATCACCTCCAAGCTTTGGAACAGTTACCATGATCCTAAGAACGTTGAATTGGCTTTGGAAAAAGTATTGAGTGACATGAAGTTGGACTATCTTGATTTATTCTTAATCCATTTCCCAATTGCATTCAAGTTTGTCCCAATTGAAGAGAGATACCCACCAGCATTCTACTGTGGTGATGGTGACAATTTCCACTACGAAAATGTGCCATTGGCAGATACATGGAAGGCCATGGAAAAATTGACCAAATCCGGAAAGGTCAAGTCGATTGGTATTTCTAACTTCTCAGGTGCATTAATATATGACTTGTTAAGAAGTGCTGAAATCAAGCCAGCCGTCTTACAAATCGAACACCATCCATACTTGCAGCAACCAAGATTAGTCGAGTACGTCCAATCCCAAAACATTGCCATTACCGGATACTCATCGTTTGGTCCACAATCTTTCTTGGAATTGAAGCACTCTAAGGCTTTGGACACTCCTACCTTGTTTGAACACAAAACCATAAAGTCAATTGCCGACAAACATAAGAAAACTCCAGCACAAGTCTTATTAAGATGGGCTTCTCAAAGAAATATTGCTGTTATTCCAAAATCAAACAACCCAGATAGGTTATTACAAAATTTGGAAGTAAACGATTTCGATTTGAGCAAAGAAGACTTTGACGAAATCTCTAAGTTAGATCAAGATTTAAGATTCAACAATCCATGGGATTGGGACAAGATTCCAATCTTTGCTTAGGGTATATAGGATTTTCGATTAGAGCATTGTATAATTTTACATATTTCAAAAAAACAAAAAAAAACTTTTTGAACCTATTAATGTAGACTAACTAAATAGAATCCAAAACGGCCTTTCTTCCTAAGTTTAATAATTTTAATCGTGACATGAAATCATCTCTGTTTATGTATGCACCACACATTCTACGTTTACCCGTAAACTCGGTTCTAGAGTGGAAGCACCTCCAATTATCAAAAATCAAACATTGACCTGGCCTCAATTGATAAAATATTTCATTTTCTGGATCAGTAATAATTTTGTACCAATTACCAATGGCCTTATAAAACCTTGGAACATCTTCTGGGTTCGACCAATTGTCCATCGTCGATCTATCGGATTGATTCCAACGAACTTGGACTAATTCGCCTTGGTTGTTAAGTTTAAATATAGGCTGAGGGATATCTGGCTGGATACAAACCTTTTCTTCCCCCGCAGAATGGGCAGGTACTGGAATCTTGGTCAACAAATCAAAATCTTCAGGATGCTCCTTTTGCAATATTTTGGCACATTGAAATGCATCAACTAATGAGGTAGTACCACCAGTTCCATCATGGAACAATAAATGGAACAATTGCAACCCTGGCGTGTCATTCCAGTAAGTACCATCGGTGTGAGACGATATATCAAAATTAGTGTACGCAGTATCATTCTTCGATAAGTTACTTGTAAAGTCCCAGAAACCACCATAATGAGTAGGTCTAATGTAGGTAATTTTCTCACAAAGCTTTTCTGTTTCTCCAGGGCTTATTGGAACGTTATCAATCATACAAAATCCGTACTTCCAGATTTTCAAGCACCAATCTCTAATTGCGTCTTCTTTATCCGTGCTATCGCTTGAGTCCATAATGGCCCTAAATTCCACGCTAGGCATATTGTCTTTAATATCCTTCACTTTCCAATAGCTCTGTTTTAAGATCTCCTGTTCCCCTTTGATCTTAAATTGGTTTGGTACAAGTTTCGGGTTGTACGAATGCAATGCCAACCAAGAACTTTCGTATTCACTCTTATGGCTATCCTGATTCCATTCAATTCTCAAGCCCTTTGCATCATAATCAACAGAAGTTGCCTTTATACCAGCTTTAATCGAGCATGAGTTCAATAACCTTTGTTTCGTAGCAATATAATAACATTCTTCACAATGGCAGTTGTCACGCAACCATATATTATGATACTTGGATACGGTTCCATCTTCCCATGTAACGGCAATTTCTAAACCGGAATCAACAGGTTTAGCATCAACAATTTTGTAAGTTTCAGCACTCATATTTACTATATTACTAGTTACTTTGTCTTTCCATTGACTTTAGATGAATGAACGTACCTAAATGAATGGATGATCATAGGGTGAGATTTGGACGGTTCCGCATCCGAGCACCCAAATAGAAAAGGATAAAAGATAATAAAGATTAAAGTGCTTGTGAATAATCTCATAATTTATCTTCAGGGTATTTATTATATATCCTGTTAAATGATAATCATATAGGTTCGGTAAATAACATAGTGTATTAGAAAAAGGTGGTTTATTGAAAACACTAAATATCAGTGTTGATTACCAAAGAAAATAAATTAGTATCGGAATGTCACTTAAGGAACATTCACATACGCTATTGCTGCTGCATCCTGACTGGGTTTCTATGGACTTTGATAAATTGGGCAAATCGTTTTATAACAATGATGGCGTGCCTCTTAGCGATACTGTCAAAAGTTTAAAGGCAAGAACACTAAATGATGCATTGCAAAATAAGAATACTGATGCATTAGCAGAGTATCTGAGATCAACAGAAGGGCTAATAAATAATGAGTTCAGGATGAAAATTTGGCCACTTCTATTGGGGATTTTTGAACAGGAGACTGAAGCGGATGAGGAAATATCGAAACAACAATCTATGGTGGACTCGCCGAATTTAAAATTGAATAGACAATCGGTTACGTCTTTTTTACTTAATGATTTAGATTTGAATGATTTACCGCCGCATAAGGATGAAGACCAAGTCAAATTGGATATACAGCGGTCATTTACTGTGCTATCACAGATGCAATCTTATCACCAATTACAAAACGAATCATTTACTGCTATTTTCTCGAACAGTGATATAGACCTGTTGAAGAAGAGCCTACTAAATATTATAATCAAGATACTTCGAAAATACCCATGTCTAAACTATTATCAGGGTTATCACGATATAGCAAGTATTATATTAATTGTTTGCTATGAACAAAACGGTGAAGCGAATCCGTCAAAAAATGAAGAATTGGCGTTTAAGTTATTGGAAAAACTTACAGTATTTCACTTGAGAGATTATATGATTACAGATATAAACCTTTCTATCAATCATTTAAAATTAATTCCAAGCTTACTAGAGGTAACTGATACAGACTTATTTGAATTGATCAAGCAATCAAGTAACTCATATATTATGTCATCTGGCTTTCATTATGATTATAACTTCTATCAAGGTTTATCATCCATTTTGACTTTTTACAGTCATGATTTAAATAATTTGCATCAGCTATTAATAATATGGGACTTTATATTAAGTTACAACTCGGTGATTGTCAATGTTTATCTATATGTCGCTCTATTGAAATTTCATAAAGAAGATATATTCAACCAATTAAATATAGATCCGAGTGATTTGCTTGATTCAGAAGGAGCAGACATTGACATAGATTTAGTGCATACTTTAGTATCCCCTAATAACTTATTTAAATCTATGACTGATTCTGATCTTAATCAAATTTTGAATAATACAAGGACTTTGATTGAAAGCTACTTAATCAGTGATATTGAGAATTCAGACGTTACGTATGATGTTTGGTTCAAGGAATTTAATCAGAATTCGGTTCTATTAAACACATCAGATATTCTTGTCGATAGGAAAACAAAAGATCTTAAATATAACTATTTAATAGTTAATGATGAAAATCCATCTGATTCTTCATTAAATGATCTTGTTCAACTTCAAGATGAAGAAATGTCAAAGCAAACTGTTTATAACATATCACTTCAACAAAGGTTACTAGAGCAACAAGAGGAATTATCAAACTCCACATCTGACCTTGACACTAGTCTACCAAATCTGTTATCTTCGTCTATTACAAGTTTTACATCAGCATCGTCTTCGATAAACACTAAGATCGCTAATACTTCATCGATGATATTCAAAAAATTATTTTACCATGATGGTTCACCAACTCCGGAAGGCAAGCTCAACAATAACAATAAACATAATGTTCTTTTAACTAACTTTTACAGAATTAGTTTCACCGTTGGATTTATTGGATTTATGATGCATTTCTTGTTGATTAAAAATGATCCAAGTTATCAAAGTTTGAATATCACAAGACTCGTATCAGGCTCCTTGTCAATGATCCAAAAGTGTGGATCTCACATACTTGACCTGGAGTCTATCAGGTCACTATCTGACTTCGTTATTAACGCGAGTAATGGGGTTGCATACGAAACAGGGGAAGTTATACGCGGGATGTATACTTCTTTAAAGGATTCCGAAATTGTGAACAGTGGAATAAATATTGGTCAAGTTGGTTTGGGAAACTTAAGAAATAACATTTATGGGTTTATTGGATAGTTTGTGGTTATGTGTATGGTTATGTATACACCTCAATTTAAATAGTTTTAAATCAACTTAGATTTATTTCATTATCTCATTACTATTTAAGTTCTATAAGAGATTTTCTAATTATCGTTTTCAAATTCGATTTCATAAATTAATACAGATTCTGTAAAATTTGCATGACCCCAACCTCTATTACCACTAGCACTCACCATAAATCTACCAGTCTCGTCCACGTATAATGCACTTAATATACCACCATGATGGCCTGGTATAATCATGAAAGGTGTCGCTGGTTTTTTATTGGTCGTGCTGGAAGTATTTGACAAATCATTGTAGAGATTCAAATTATATAATCTGATATTATCATTCGACCCACATAATATGAAATCATTGTTCGGAAGCGTAGATATGGCGCTAACTGGGCCAGAGATTTTAGGAAATTGCAACAACTTCAGTACATTTGGAACCATAGTATCTTTATTATGGCCTGAGGATGATCTTTTATGGGGCATTTTAATTGAAAATTCTTCAACTGTACTGTTTCTTCTTCCAGCATAGATATATTCACCACAATTGGACCATGTAGATGACATACACCAAGGTGGAATACCATCTGAGACTCCTAACCTTAATACTGGACTACTAGTTGTGTTTGAGACTCTAACATCCCAAAGATTAATAGTACCGTCAATACTTGAACTCATGAATATTGAATCATTACTAAATGTTTTATTTGTTGCTTTGGAATCATTAGTTGTTATTTTTGATGAATTAGGTTTGTCTTGCGATTCAACGTTTTTTCGCTCTTCATTATTTTCATTATCACTATCACCGAATAATGAATCAATATCACTTTCCGGTTTTATGTCTTGGTCCACAATTTTGATATCAGAATCCTCATACGATAATGAAAAGTCAGCCAAGCCTTCCGGTCTGTATTGAATATTAGAAATTTGACCAGAACTACCAGTGAATAAGTTAATACATTTCCCTGTATTTAAATCCCATTCTCGAATTGATTTATCCCAAGATCCTGACAAAAACTTTTTTTGTTGAGTGTTCAACTTTAATACAGATACCGCATCATTATGCCCATTATCCAAGGTAGCCTTTTGTTTTTTAGGAGAATGGGTAAAGTAGTGATGGATATTTCCTTCATTGTATCTCATAGTATATAACGAAATACCACCGGATGATAATCCTGAAAGGCACCAATAACCATTTCTTTCCACATCTAATGAATACACTGGATTCACCTTTGGTTCATAACTCACAGACCCTGTACTAAAATCGCTTATCTTTAATTTAGGGTTAGTCTCCATCAACTGCTTTTTAGTTAGTGGTTGTTCATTTTCCCAGTACGATGAAATAACACCGGCTTTTGTTATAGAATCAACCATATTATGTCTTTGAGCCATTGTTAATGGTGACTTCCCTTCTATAGATGCGATAAAGTCGTATTTTCTAATAAAGCCATCTTCTCCACCAGTTAAAATCCATTTTGGACCGTCAGTAAATGCTAATGCATGACATTCCGACGTGTAAGGAATTGCTACTGAAGGGATTATATCGAATTCTGACGATTCCTTAGCTTTTATTATCGAGTTTTCTCTTATTGTTTCCCTTGACAAATGCTCTTCTGCATCTTCTTGGTCTTGTTCTGATTTCGTCTTTGATGAATCTTGTGCATCAGCTTCTTTCTGACGTTGCTCGTCGTTTGTAGAATCAGACTTATCAACTATCATATGGTCATTTTCTTTATTAGCATCTTCGTGCAGTCCAGAGACATTTGATTCACGAGCATCGACGAATTTGGCTCTCTCTTCATCTTCATCACCTTCTTCGTTTTCGTCGTCATCGTCGTCTTCATCCTCATCATCGTCATCGTCGTCTTCATCTTCTTCATCGTCGTCTTCATTATTCTCATCATTCTCATCATCTTCTTCATTTTCTTCCTCCTCCTCCTCCTCTTCACCATATTCGTTATTATTGTTCTCGGTGTCTTCCATTTCTTCGTCTTCATCGTTTGCATCTAGCATATCATTATTCTGATCGTTAAATAAATTATCATCCACCGACATGACCAAGAACGTGCTAATATAAGTGAATTACAAAAGGGAATAATATGGACTTATATCAATTGACTTTGTATTATTGTTGTAAACATACAATATCTCCAGGTTAAACATAGATTCAGCTTGTATTGATATTGGTTATTTCTACACGACTTTCTACAAGAAATGAAATCTTTCAGTTTCAATTATTCAGCTATTTAATCGACTTGATACACTTGTATTGACAAAAGCATCATCAATTGAACATATTTAAACACTAGCTAAATAACTTATTCGTAGATCCATCCGAATAAAGCTGGCTTGTAGTCAACTAATTCTTCCTTCTTGAACCATAAACCAATTTCCTTTTCAGCAGATTCAACGGAGTCAGAACCGTGACAAACGTTTCTACCCATGTCAACGGCGTAGTCACCTCTGATGGTACCTGGAGCAGATTGCAATGGGTTGGTAGCACCTAAGATAGCTCTACCTTGCTTGACAACATCCTTACCTTCCCAGACAGTAGCTAAGACTGGGCCGGATAACATGTAAGATAATAAAGATGGGAAGAATGGCTTGGATTGCAAGTCATCGTAATGTTCTCTTAATAAGGATTCGGTTGGTTGAACTAATTTGATACCAACTAATTTGTATCCTCTGTTTTCAAATCTACCTAAGATAGAGTTGATTAATCCTCTTTGGACACCATCTGGCTTAATAGCAATAAAAGTTCTTTCGTTGTTAGACATTATGATTTGTAGTTACGTTATAGTTCCTAAGTGACTTCAACTTGAGAAATTTCACCACTATTTATACCTCTAAATTTTTTTTTCGTCGACTTTTCATTGGAAAATTTCAAAATTAAGCAGACACGACCACGTTTTTAACCTCCTGATCGGCCTATCCCACGGTACCAGTCTAGGTTGTAGAGCTGGTAAGATGCAGAGGGGTACAGACTTACCAATGGTATATTGACTTGCTTTTATGTGGCCAGAGTGAAAAATGGTGGTTCAATTCGGTACAGATCATGTCATCTAGCTTCTGTCGCATAAGGCACGAACTGCGTATTTGATGCAAAAAGCCTTACTAAATGGTTGAACATTATTTTGCCAATTATTAACAGAGAATACGGGGAGATTTCAGCTATATATTCAGCTAGGCCAAAGGTGTCGGAAATGATTATTCGATATGGAAAGTGTTATTGGAATTGGATGTTTTCAACATGAGCAATTGCTCAAATATCCAATTATTTAGAAATGGTTATAACGGGGGATATCAGCTAGGTAACTCTTATGTAATGATTGTGTGCTTATTAGGTGCTATTGGGTATATTGGATTGAATTGAAAAAATTTCAATTCTTTTTTGTTTGTATATTTTATACCATGCGCCTGTACTTGGTCTAAAATTTGTCTGTTTCAACCAATACCTATAAATATTTGCATGCGGATCCGCAATATGGCCCAGTTTGTTCAGCAACCTCTAAGTAATGTTTTAACTCAAGCAAGCAGCCTAGCACTTGTTCCTTAGTGTATTGCAGCCAATTATATTGGTGTGCATATAGATACCCTCAATATGATTTGTTTATAAAACCACAATACGGGCCATAAAAGGAACAGCTTTCTTTAGCTAACACGGTAGAATTGTACGAGATGAGCCAAGAGAATATAACACAGACCCCGTCACGCAATAAATATAGAGAACATGAAAACACAGAAAACGAGACTGTTTCCCCATTAAATTCAACAAACAAGATCAATGATGGGTTTTCCAATACTCAATCACAGAAAAGAGGCCCAACCACTCCCTTGACTCCAATGAACAAACAGCATAATGTTATAAGACGTAAAATGGAAGAAGAACCGGGTCGGATTCGGGATATCCTCAGCTTTGGAAAGGATCAAAGCATGGATATAATAGACTTGAACTATCGAAATTGGGTTCTAAATGAAACTTTGAAAAAGCATCAAGATATCGTTAAATTCATGGAGTTGGAGCGCAAATTCTTATTAGAATAACTGTCATCAAGAACATTCAAGCATTCACGGGTTGATATTGCATTTGTCATTAGCGTATATATTGTCTATATATTAATAAAATAATTATTTAGCACTTCTAGTTGCCTTGAAGTAATCCTTTAATTTTGATTCCTTGGCATCAAAATAAGTATCGTCTCTTGCATTATTCCAGTCTTCTTGTCTTTTGGCCATTTTAATCTTTTCTTCTTCTCTAGACCCTCTTTCCCTTAAGTCATCCCTTAGCCAATGCAATGCCAAAGGATGCAACGATTCTGCTAATTCCACTTGTATCGTTTTGTCATCGACCTTGTCCAGATACTCCTTTTTCGGAACGAATTCTATATCTTTCATGTTTATATCATCCACCTTCATTCCCTCATTTAAATGAATAAGTCTATCACACCAATGTTTGCCTAATCCGTCAAAAATATGTGTAGCATATATCACACAACAATTACGGAGTCTGCATTCTGTCTTCAAAAAATTAAGCAAATCTTGTCTAACTACCACGTCTAAGTCAACAGTCACCTCATCCAATAACAACAACCTCCATGGCTTCAATAAACCCATCACCAATTGGACCCTTCTTCTCTCACCATCGGAAATGTATGCCATTGACCATTCAGGATCGATATCCATAATTCTAATCAATTCGTCTCTCCTTTCTGGATAAGTCCCACCGCCAATCGAGGAAACCAATAAGTTGACAGGGATATCTCTCTTAACAACTGGATTGGCTGCCCATTCCGTACCTAAATAAGTAATTAGATTATTGACATCAGAATTATGTCTTTCGTTCCTTTCTTTTGAAAAATCAAATGGATCAAATCCTCCTAGTTTTAGCTTACCTTGCTTAATTAACGTCTTGCCGGCTAAGATTTTTAATAAAGTGGATTTTCCAGCACCATTCTGTCCGACAAGTAAATTAGTTGATCCCCATGGAATTTGAAGGTTAACATCTTGTAATCCTATTCTCTGGTTGGAAGGGAATTTATAAGTTAAGTCAATGGTTTCTACGGCTAATATACGGTCGTTGGCCCTATCAGTCATAATGAAATACAGTATATTCGATTCTGCGCTAATCTATTTTTCTGAGATCTTGTTTTTACGGTCCGATTTAACTTTAAATACATTGGATACTATTATATAACAAGACTATATATTACTGTAATTCTTTCAACCAATTCAACGTATCATTTCTAACTGGCTCGTTTTCAATGCCTTTGAATATTGTTTCGATTTCACTAGTGAAATTGGAGTTATGAATACTAAACTTTCTTAAGTAGCTCTTTAATAATCCTTTATATTCATAGAATAACCACTGATTATCAACTTTGTTCATTAATTCTATATCATCGGATTCTTCATCACTAAAATCCTTAAGAATAGTTACCTCATCAGAGTTATTAGTTTCTAGAGTTGTGGTTATCTCATTTAAGTTGTTAACAATCAACTCAAATAATTTCAATGTAAGGACTTTGAACTCATCATTAGAAGATTTAGAAAAGTTAATCAAAATCCTATTGACGGATTCCATACAAGAAACATTCTCAATGATTAAATTGGAAGCTAAGTGTAATGTCTTGCCTATTAAATACTTTGGTTTTAAAACTTCAAATTCAATCAAGTATTCTAAAATTAAGAACACTACTTGAGGCTGGTGAACCCAGATTCTGAAGATTGAATCAATAATCCAATTCTGCCTGTTGTCAAATTGTTCCTCAGTCAATTCAACAAGGGGAAATTGAAATTCGCTTGCTTGATAATTTTCGTCCTTTATTTCCACGCCACTCAAGAATTTCAATTTGATTATATCTCTAGATAATAGACTAACCACAGAATATATTGATCTGGATCCAATGTACGCGTAAGTTTGGAAAAATAAATTAATAAGGAATTTGTCTGAATTTATTGCGGCGTAATCATCTAAATTCGTTGAAATCTCCTTATATAAATCATAGAACTCGCTATTTGGTTTCCAATTGGCTATAATTAAATCATAAACTTTATTGGACACTTCGTGCAAAGGTAAACCTGAATTCGAGAAATTATAAATCAACTCTTCTTGTGGAGAAACTGTTATATTATTTGCTAATTTTTCCTTTCTTTCGAACTCTAACTTGGCCAAAACTTCTTTGTGTTTATCGTTATTACCATATAATACATTATCGTAATCAATAATATATTTTGATTCATTTGGAAATAATGAAATATTCAAATATTGATAAAACTCATCCAAAAGAAGTAATTTATCGGTTGCAGCCGGGTCTGGATTAACTGTTACAAAACTTTCTTTAATTCTATTTTTATTCGATAATCTGACTTCCTTTGCTATTAAATTCTTAATGAAGTTCTTTTTAGGGTGATATCTTAAATTCTTAAACTTTTGAGAATCTTTAACCCATTCATCCCACTTCCAACTAAACTCAAAATTTGAAATTTGGATTGTCATCCAATCCAAATAACGAATCTTCAATTCGTAGTCTAAAGTCTCTAAATTGTTATAAAAAAATCTTATAGCTCTACCAAATACAGGGGCAATAGATTCAGGACTTTCTCTGCAACAAGCAATTAACACGGTATAGTAGTAGATCTCAAAATTCAATGGATTTGGTAATTGGAAAATCATTGTCAAAATACTTTCGACCGCAATATCCTCAATTTTCCAAGTAGATAATGGTGGATTATTTTCTCCCGAGACGTTATCATTATTAATCATCGTTAATTGATCAACAGACGATCCAGGTGGGGCGAATAAGTTCTTCGCAAAGTAAAGATCTAAGATTGACAATTGGATTGCTGTCTCGTTCTTATTGAATGATAAATTTGTTAAGATGTCGAACGCCAAATCTTTAAAGATCAATCCAAAATAAGAATTAACAGCTGGGACTGTTTCAAATTCCGTTGTATTGTAAACTTGGAATAAAAGTCTAGTATTTCTATACCACAAATCATCAATTAAACCCTGTGGCTTATAAGTTGATAAAGTTTCAACTGAAGGGAGAGATAATTGTGGTAATGAATGCTTAACAATTTCATTCGAGATAACATTATTTTTTAACGAAGTTTCAATAATAGGATCAATTAATTCCTTGAAATTCAAGAATAATTTCCCATTTAAATTAGCCCAGTCTTTATTTTCCCCTTGTAAAGCGAGTAAGGATGGATAAATTACATTTATCATCTTTTCGGGATTATATGGCAACTGATCTGAAAAATTGTTTAATTTTGAATCAAAAGGTTGTAATAACGAAATAGATTTGGCACCTTCTTTAATCTCAAAGTTAGATGCAATCTCTAACAAATCATTACAATGACTGATTATTTCCTCTGACGAATCATTACTCAACAAGTATGGCACGGAGATTAACGTGTTATAAAATATTTCTTCAGCTATTCCATTCCTACTTTCAGTCTGTTTTTGTAAGTCAATGGATAGATTCAAAAATTGTTTAAAAACATTGATAATCGAATAATTATCAATTATAGGAGACAAACAAGCCAAGAATTTCAAGATTGATTTCAAATTATTGAATATACCTGCATCTTCTCGTTGAACATCTTCATTGCTTACTTCTTTCTTAATATTATTTCCTTTTCCTTCTCCTCCTTCTACTTCATCCTTCATTTCTTCATCCTTCATTTCTTCATCCTTTTTTTCTTCGTTCTTCTTTTCTTGTTCTTCACTTACTTTCTCTAACAATCCTTGTGCTTTGGAATGAAAAAATTCTATAACGTACTTGGATACTAAGAAGTTTTTAGCATTGCATAGTAAAATTAAGATACTCAATGAAGTTATCTTCTGGGGTTGTTCAATTATAATAGCATATAAAGTGTTTAAGATAGACACTCTCAATTTATCAATCTTTTCAAATTCTGCAACTATTGGATTTGAAATATATGAAATATCGTCAATCTGGCTTGTAAGGTTTGCATTTTCTCCAATTCTTCTGATATCTTTACAAACATTTGTAACTAATTCAGTAGTTGGATCTAAATGTTGCTTTTTGGAATCAACATCTAGTTCTGTATGTTGGTTATCTCTTTCGAATTCGTCTCTAGTTCTCTTCGATGGATTGAAAGAATCCATTGTCGCTAACTGTTGTCGTTGGTAAGTTATTATGGTAGGAAAACTAGAATTTTTCAATGAGCGAAAAAACGAGAACCAGTTTAACACGAATGAAAATAGAACTCGAGTTGGCTTTTCCTTTTATTATTGTTATGAAACAGATATGACATAGAATTGAACTTTAGGAAATTGCAGGCCTGATATTCCAAACGATATGCCGTCTACGCTCAGATATGAAGAAAGTAACATAACAAAATTTTTAGTATCAAAGTAAATTCAACTATTCATAAAATTCTATATCAACGTATATTAGAGCTAATGGGCGCTTCTCTTGTTCAGATAGCTGGTATAATATATGATTCTGTTGGTTTCAAGAAGTTTCAGTTTACAAGCTTACGAATTAAATCTTAAATAGGTGAAACAAATATGATGCAACTAACATTCCACATTTCTTACTTTGCAGAACAAATGGAAAGCATAAAAGGCTTTTGGATTCCTTTCCTAAGTACATCATTTACATGGTTCATGAGACTTAATAAATAATCAACGAATAGGACTAGATGAGCGAGTCAAAATATCTCGAGGACCTACTACAAAACCCATTATATCGAGCAGTTGAAAAATGTATTGATAGAGAAGTTGCAGATACTTATGACTATCATGATTTTTTCCCCTCGTGGAATGGGCCAATGGTGGATTACAAAACAATCATCCAGGAGTTATTTAGAGTTGATGAAAGCAGACTAGAATCATTTATTGAAAGAAGGAAACCTAGTTCAGAATATCTGGATCTCTATACATATACAAAACACGGTGATCAAGAATTTAGTAAGAAACTCCTCCGTTTCTTGTTAGCACTTCCCATGTGTGAATATGAGATTGTTAATAATAACAATGCACTTAGTAAAAGTACTGGATCTCAAAACCAGTTTTCCAAGAGCCTTTCCCCATTTAAATACGATGATAAATATATAACGAGAATTGATGACGAGGAAATAGCTAGCACTATATGAAATATATTACGATTAGCACCTAATGAGAATATAATTGACGGTCTCGGGGAGTTTGCCTTCAAGCATTATGAATTAATTAATCGAGATGAAGAATTGGAGAATAATTACAAACTGGAGTTTAAAGAACACTTAGTTCAAGCTATATTTTTGTTTCTGGTGGCAACCTTTGGTTTGAGCATAAAACTCAAGCACGATGTCAAGAGTGTAAAAGGCCAGAATGGTGTAACATTGAAGGTCCTGTCAGACTTACATCTTATCAAAAATGGGCAAGTATTTTGTACTATCGAAGTTAAGATGTTCCCAATACTACCAGCGTATGTAGGACAGAGCACTTCTATGGTTGGAACCGATATTTTTAACCAACTTAATATCAATAAATTCATGAAACAATTGATCAGTCAGATGGTTTATTTCAAAACAAATATGGGTATCGTTACAGACTCTTATATTGCTATCTTTGTGGAAATTGACCTAGATTGTTTCGAAAGAAACATAAGTGAACTCAAAGGTAAAGCAGATTTTCACAAGCACAAGACTATACCTCTTAGATATAAAGTTTTGGACTGTCATTCAGCGGCGCCTACGTTACGAGAAGCACTAATGCATTTTTTTTACACTGCTTTTGTTGATGATGAAACAGAAAAGATGAGACAGGAAAGAATGCTTAAATTGAGAGAATATTTATGGGCTACTCCGGAACAAAATGAAGAGCAAGTCGAGAGCTCGGCGTACAGTTCTGAAAGATCAGATGGCTCGTTCGGTAGTAGACCGAGTACAGCTGGTACGGCTGGTACACAATTATCGACAACATTAGTGTCTGTTAATGAAGATGAAGAGTTAGAAGAAGAATCTCTTCTCGAATTCACAGCCAATGACCATGTAACTATGCAGAATGGTGATATTTATAATTCACAGCTTGTTGCAATTGATGCCTGCTACATGAAGGAGTATTTGCTCCGTCATGTTGACGATACTGAAAAGCTTGTTGCAAAGTTCTACGACCCCCGAATGGCCAATAACGAACATGGTAAGTTTAAATACAGCAAGAAAGAGTTATTAGAATTATGTCTTAAGGCTTATAATAACGAAAGATGGATGTACCAGGTATTATCGAAAGATCTGGAATTCAATAGCTGCTATATGGCCCACACGAGAGGATACATGAAAGTCCGCGTTGATGGATACTATCTCACCAAGGGATATTTCAACTTGTTTCATTATATAGAAACCATACCGTTAGATAATAACATTGAGTTGTATAAAAAGGCCAAGGAACAGTTGGAAGTGATTCACAAGCATGGAATTATACACGGGGATATAAAGGCAGATAATATACTTTGCGCAAAGGACGGAAAAGTGTATATCATTGATTTTGCATTTTCTGTCACCAAGAATGAATGGAATACTCAGAAAAGTATGGAATCCGATATCAACGAATTGAAATATGTATTTGGTCTTGATGGAATGTAAAGTATCTGATATAGCCTGACACCATATTTTCTAGATCTAAGAACTGAAGATACTCTAGGCAAATCGAACTGTTTTGCACGTATTGATACTAAAACTTCAATTGAAGAAACGTTATAATGGTTAAAGTATAAGTAGAATAAGGTTATAGAAAAAGAGAATGGAAATTTTGAACTAATTTAAGAAAATTAAGCTAAGTTCTCAAAGGCCAACATAGATAAGATTAAGTTACAGGTAATATGAGTATATAAAACTACTCAGGTATTTTACTACGCTATCAATATTATATCTGAATAGTACTTGGCTTAGTCCTAGATAAAAGTGGTGTAATCAAGCATTCAGAACATAATTTCGCAGCAATTGCATACTGTACTAGTGTATAAAAAATATTATAATATAAATTAATTTGAAGTCTATTTCTTCATATGTATATGCATTTCAATGTCTCTCTTATTAACTCTCTTTTCCTTTTCAAGCAGCTTTTATTTTCAACTGATAGAAAATAAGTAAATACTTATATTCCGAAAGTTGTTGGGGCAGAAAAATTGTATACAATGTGTTTTAATTACACCTGCGATTTCAAAGCTAAGACGAGGATGTTCTATGGGTCTCAAAAAGGATATCATAGGATTTGGGAACTAAATAAGGAATAATCAGTTTAGATTTGGAGCTAGTAATAGAGATTGTTATACTTTTATGGTAAAGCGAGCATTGCAGAGAATTATTCTGGCAATGGACCCTTGTCATACTACTTTTTTTATTTCACGCCAAATATTGACATGAAATATATTCTTCTATACTATTATGGTATTGAAGCATATTATCACATCTTACATTGCTGTACTATAAAGGCTAATATAATAATTTAATTACTGTAATATTAGACCGAGAAGCATATATTGCATGTACCCAAGATCCACTTAGGCCAATTTCAAAATACCAAGATGAGAGCATATCAGTTTATAGCTTTTGTCAAAAAGATATACAAATGAGAACTACGTAAGCATATATATATGTATTATTTTATTGATAATATTAAATAGCGATGTCAAATAAATTAGCAACATTAGACATTAATTAATTAAGAAACGGAATGCAATGGCTGCAATTCCTAAAATATGTATAATAAATACAAAGCAAATATGAACATGAAAAAAAAATTAAGCTCTTTTGAGTACCCAATCTTTGAATGCGAAAACACTCATCTCCCAACTCATTAATAAAGTAACGAAACCTAAGGAAATGTTTAGTGTGAACATAGAGGTAAATCCTCTGTATTCAAACGCATAAACAATGGGATCGCAAGATTCCATGAAGATCAAACCACCGCATAATAATGCAAAGCTTACCAACAACTCACTGATAGGTCTAAGCGGTTTAGTTAAGTCCTTATTAGCAGGTAAGATCAATAATAATAAATAAGTTATGAATCTGAAAACAGTTCCCAACATAAACAAATTACCCCATTGCTTATGAATGTCTGTCGATAACATGGAAGCTTGGGCATGCTGTGACATCAAAACACCGGTCCAGTAAATAGTCAAAATTGGGAATGGATTTGGTGAAAATCCTGGAGCAGCTTTGATGATTTTGGATGAGAGGGATTGGTCATTAAACTTTTCGAAGTTATTAATCGACTTTTCTAATCTCCAGTTTGCCAACTTGAATTCAGTTAAGACGCCACACAAACCACATCCAATATAAATGAATGCGATCGATGCATGCTGTAAATCCTTGGTCGACCATTCACCACCCGGGTTTGCTAAATGTTCCAAGAAAATGTTGGTGCATCCATAGAATAAAATCAAAGAAGATTCGATCATTTCCATAGTGCATAAACCCTTACCCTGCATTCTATTCCAGCGACCGAGTTTCAATTCGTAGTTCTTAATAAATTTATGGTTCCAAGCCCAGCCTTTGTTTGTGAATGCACCACAATATCTAGCCAAATATAAGAGACCTAAACTGAAAAAGACACCTCCTTTGATGAAGTGGGCTAATAAATTAAAAACAAAGCTGCCCTGTCCAAAGCAACCAAAGGTGGCAACAGCGGTTGGCAAGTAAACCAAAAAGTAGAAGAATTGGGACCAATTCAACAAATTGAATATGTAAACAGAAAACTTGCCGAAGAAATTGACCATAGTGGTAACAACTGGGATACCAGTCACCTTCTTTAAGAACCTATTCCCGCAGCTTTTGGCTGGGAACATGGAATCTAGTGATGTCTTCAAATTAACGTCCATAGAACCACCCCTTTCGATCGAATTGGAGTTATCTCTCGAACTATCGTATAAAGTGGCCGATGGCGATGTACACATTTCTTGACTCTCTTCGTCAGATATTGTGAAGTAGTCAGCAGCGATGGAGTCTTTGTTGGTGGCTGCTTTGTACCCAAAATTGAAGATTGCAAATATAACATGCGCAATGGACGAAATCCCCAAAATCACACTCATCTTATTATAAGCATTATTAGGGTACAAGTCTGGAATTGACTTCACAAATACCGAAAAGCTAATCAATCCAATCAACACCGATGCCGAATGCACGAAGAATAACGGATAATACCAATTCGATCCCACGTTATTCAACACAAGACAGATCGGATACAAAAATACAAACGACATAAGCGTCAACGCAATATGCCAGTACAATGCCGCTTTATGATCCGATTTCACCGTAAAATACGTCGTGGTATCGTAGTTTTCCCAGAATTCTCTCTCCTCCGGCAAAAGCTCGGTCTGCAAAATCGGCATCCCGTGCTGGTGATGCTCTACATGAGGTGTAGCCACAACTTCCGCCGTGCTACTTTTGGTCGACTCATGCTCATGGCTCTTCATTCCTTGATGCTCCACATGTTCCATGTGTTCCACCCGTACTCTCAATCTCACTGGGCCATTTACAACAGTACCGTGATTCTCTGTGCTCATCACACCAGCGGCTGCCACTATCCAAGCTAATCCTATCGAATATATAGGTTTCATGCCTAATAAAATCTCAATTAAAAGTTATTACAATATACGAAGACTTTTAAACGCTTCTATCAGAAATTATGTGAAAGTCTTATATATATATATTCTATAAAACCTAGGTGGTATCGGATATATATAGATCATGCTATAATTCCTCTAACCATCCTCATACTCAATCATGTGACCGGAATATTCGGCTGAGAAACAAGTGAAACATCTTCCTTAGTCTCCGATGACTACACACAGATCCGAAACGAGTAAATTAATCACATTTTCAAACCATTTCGGGAATAAAATTAGCAACGTTTAGCAGGTCAGCCGATACGACCAAATTAAATAACGCAGTCGACTAAACAGAAGCATATGCGGCAGGAGCAACGATATGCATGATCGGGGTTTACAAAGCATTTTTCCTTGTAAGGTAATCGAATCTGGAGTAGGTGTAGCCGATAAATGGCAAGTCTTCCTTGACATTTCCACCGTTCTGAAGAACCTGGTCTCTTTGCTCCATTGCCTTGGACAAAGCGGGGGAGTCGGGGACGTTTTCGAGCTCGTCTGTAGGGAAGAACCTGGTGTCGGTGATGGAGCGGAGCTTGGGGATGAAGGGAGCATCGACTTTTCTGATGGTGTCCCAGTCGACACCTCGGAAAAAGGGATGCAGTTTGATTTCGTCGGCGCCGTTGTATCTGCCTAGTCTATTTTCTGCGTTTGTCAAGAGTTTGCGGATCAAGTCCTCGGATTCGGGCGACAAGTGGATGTCGTCTGGGATCTGGAGAGTCTCCTGCCAGTTGAGGATCTTCCTGTAGGTTTCATGAGGGGTCTCGGAGCAGAACGGAGGCCATCCGATCAAGCACTCAAACATGATGGCCCCAAGCGACCACCAGTCGCATTCCTGGCCGTACCCTTGGTGTACGAAGATCTCGGGTGCAATGTAGTCGGGAGTACCCACTGTCGAGTACGCCATGAGTCTTCTGGACTTACGCCAGGTCTGCATTTGTTGTCTGTTCGACATGGTTAAGTGGATGGCGTCCACCATCATGGAGTTCCTATTGTTGGTTGCCATTGATGGTGCTTGAAGGTTACCATTCTGCGGATTTGTGTGGTGAGGGTTCTCCTTCTCAAGCAACTTTTTGTAGTAATTTGAATCGTGTGTTTTATGGAATCCCGTCGACAACCCGAAATCTGACAACTTGATATGGCCCCGGATATCTATCAAAATGTTATCTGGTTTGATATCTCTATGAATAAATCCCAACTTGTGAATGGCCTCAATGGCCAACACGCACTCTGCCATGTAGAATCTGGTGATGTCTTCGGTGAATATTTGCCATCTAATCAACATGGTCATTAAATCTCCCCCTGGTAAAAATTCCATAATCAAGTATAAATACTGGGCATCTTGAAATGAGTAATACAAAGAAACCACCCATGGGGAATCGGATCCCGCCAACACGTCTCTTTCTGCTTTAACATGTGCTAATTGATCTTTCTTGTACATTTCTGACTTCAATAATGTCTTCATAGCGTAGATCTTACCAGTATCTCGTTTTTGAACTAATCTAACTTCACCAAAAGCACCCTTACCGATAACTTTTACAGTGTTAAAATCTTCCAAAGATAACTTTGTTCTTCTTAATCTTAAGAATTGGGATTCTTTCTTACCCAAATTCTGTAACTGTCTATTTTTACGTTCCTCGGACGAACCACTTTCTTCATTCAACAATTTGTGTTCCAAATCCAATCGTCTTTGGTTCCTTTCAATTGCATGAGCAACTGACATTTGATAATAATTTTCTAATTTCAACTTTATCGAAGAAGCCTTGTCCTGTGCTATCTTATTTAATGAGTTTGGTTGACGGTTAAAATATATATAATTAGACTTTTGAGCATTTGGATCATTGGATGCTCCGGCTGGAGGAATGTTAGAATTCGGCAAATTCAAATTCGACTTTAAGAATGAACTTTCGGTTGGACTGGAAAGGTCTGCGTTACTGTTGTTGCTGAGTTTAGTGAAGGTTACAGGTGGTTTAAAATCCAATGATCTTTCAGAATCAACCGATTGAAATTGCTGATTCCTTAAATTTGCATCGTCATTTTTAGTTGGTGTTTGGAAATTTTGTTGAAATGAATGTGGGTTTGTCATTGGTGATGAATTTAATTCATGCATTGGAGGCTGTTCATGAATCTCGGTGAGACCTTCATCCATAAGGCTATCATCATCCTGAAATTCCTGTCCTAAATCGCCTGGTTGGTTTTGTTGAGAAAACCTGAGGTTTGGAATGTTCTGTCTCTGCAAATCTTGTTGGAATGTCCCCATTTGAGGTAAATCAGAATTCGATCCATTGTTTTGTAAGAAGGTAGAGAATGGCTGTCTAGGGGGCTGAGGTTGTTGTGGCTGCTGTTGTTGTTGTTGTATATGTTGCTGTTGTTGCTGATGTTGTTGTTGTTGTATATGTTGCTGTTGCTGCTGTTGTTGTATATGCTGTTGTTGTTTATAGTGTAGTTGTTGTTGGTGTTGTTGCTGTTCAGCCTGCATTTGGTGAAAATAAAGCTGTTGTTTCTGTTCGTCAGTCAAGTAATCGTAATTCATCTTTCAATATCTATCAATCTGTATAAAAACAATCTACCGTTATACGGAAGCTTTAAATCAAATAAAAAGTCTAATACGCCTATGAAAACAAACGCTTATGATTTAGGGCGACTCGAATCAAAATCCAAACAATAGGACTCAAAAAAAAAAAATACGATATATATTTCTTTTAATAGTAAGCCACTCAGTTGCTTCGTCAATATCTTACTAAATCCAGGTGTGGTAGTTGTAGATCAGTTATATATATATATCGAAAGACTTGAATAAAATGTGGCGGAAAGTGTAAAGCAGGAAAGAAAAAAATAAATACTCCTATATGGATTTCGATCGCGACGGTGTTTTGATTAAGCTTGGCCTCATATACTGGTTAACGACTACGAAATGAGCAAATCGAGGCCCAAAATGAACCCCAAATGATTTATACTACAACCATATATAAAGCGAATAATTTTCTGTAAAGTTTATTAACAAAAAGTTGAAAACCCCAATTTGGCTATTGAAAAATCAAAATTAAACCTATAAAACAATATTTAAACATATACTTGTGTAATAATGTAGCAAAGTATTCAATAGACTTAAAATTGTAAAGCTTGACCCTTTTGCTTCTTGTCACCACCTAATTCGAAGTGCTTACATCTCTTTAAAGATAATTGAGCCTTGGTCTTACAGACGACACATTCCAATCTTAAAACAACCTTCTTGGTAGTCTTAGCCTTTTTGTGGAAAACTGGCTTAGTTTGACCACCGTAACCCTTTTGCTTACGGTCATATCTTCTCTTACCTTGAGCGAATAAAGAGGCTTTACCGGCCTTGTATTGGGTAACCTTGTGTTGAGTATGCTTACGACATTCCTTACCCTTACAGTAAGTCCTTCTAGTCTTTGGAACGTTAACTATAATGCTGTTAGTATTCTGTATCTATATTTTCTGCTTCTGCGTATCAAGAATAACATCTGTCAGTACAACCGTACGAGACTGTCTTTCTTCCACAATCCTCCATTCTCCACCAACATAATATAAATAATCCATCTTGTCTCTCTATAAACCTCACATTTCTATTCTTTTGATATCACTGCCCACTTCTTCTATCAACCATTGTCGAATTTCATGCTACGCTTCGACTAGTCATTTATATATTTTCTGTGGGTATTAATTCATTCGTTATCCATGGACATCTCATACATCTTATACTGGTCTTTTCTGTCTCTCGATACATCTTTGAAGTCTTATTTATTGCTTATAACATACCCATTATGTCTTATTTATAGGTAATGTGATTAAGTACTATATAAAAGTTAAAAATCAAACTTTTTTTCACTTCTAGTAAAGCGATATTGTCAGACTATGGTAGGTGTCTAGACTGAAAATTTTTTGGAATTGTGTCCCTCGGTATTACCCGCAATTATTAATGACACAAAATTCAAATATATCGAAATCGGTTTTCTGGTTGCAGTCATGTGATGACTAGGGCTTGTAGCCCTATGATTATATGGCTGGTACTGAAGGACTGAACAGTTGATGGGTGCTTAGAGAGGATGTCTAGTATGAACGCTGACGTATAAGAACGGTGTATGATGTATATTGTAGAATGATGCGTATTGTAGAATAGTTGGCAAGCTGTAGAATAAGATGTGGAAGAAGACCTGCTAATAACGTACAATAAAGTACATACTGGTTAGTAGACACGAACCATGAATAAAGACCTGAATGATTAGGGGATATATGATGCTACACGTTGAATAAACACATAATAATATATTAACCGAAATAAATAGAGGTCGAAAGAATTTAAAGATCAAGAGTCTAGTGACTGTACCCTGGAAAAAAGAATTAGAAAACGAATGTTAGCCCAGAGTCTATACCAATACCGTCTTGCAGATTAATGTACACGGCGGGAAACCGCCAGACTGGTTCAGCTTGCGACTGGCTCAGTTTTGGGTAACCGTAGTATATATGGTCGAGGTAGACGTAACGGTCTCGGTATCATCTTCTTCTTCGGCGTAATAGTAGTCATAGTTTACCACACAAATACTGTTAGACGTTACGGTGGACACATTTTCTATTATCCAAGAGTCGGAAGATGTAGCACTTTGAGGAGTGATTGCTGGCGCATTTGCATCCGCAGACGAGCTTGGCGAGTCGGTGACTATTTCTGTGGAGGTGGTTTGAGTAGCATCGTTATCCTCAGGAGCAGCAGTTTCGGTAACACCGTTATCTTGAGTGTCAGTGGTGCTTGGAGAAACTTCCTTGTTCTGAATAGGCGTGTTAGCGACCGTGGTGTATGTGTGTGGCGTACCGAACACAGTTGAAGTGACTGTGGCAGTGTAACGGGTATAGGTTTCTGTAGCAGTATTCACAACCATATTCGTGTGCGTAGACATGGTACCTTCAACAATGTGAGTATTGGTCTGGGTATTTTGCACAGTAGATGTAAGGTGAATCACAACCTTATCGTCGTCATCACGCTTTTCATTATCTTTAGCAGGAGCAGCAAGTGTTTGAGCCGATAATAAACCGAAGGCTAAGGAATAAATTGTAGTAAGCTTCATTTTTTCGTTTTTCTGATAATAATAGCAAATTTAGAGATGTTGTGTAAAGGAATGACTGTAGTTAAAAAATAGTATAAGAGAATGACTATAGTTGGATAAAGAGAGTGAGAGTAGTTAGAACTAGGGATACTTCGTTAGTATATCTTGACTTGAATGGTATCAATTAAGTTTGGTGGTAGTTTGTAACAAGGTTTACTACAAAAAGCTTAATCAGAGAGAAAACAGTCGCGTTATAAATATATCGATTACTTCGAACACAGGTTTGACACATGGCTGGCCAAAAGGTTCATTGGTCTCTAAATTGACTTTCGCCAAACTAAACGGGTCGTTAAACTCATCTGTGCTTGCTCAACTACTCTTTCTGGTCGCAGGTATTCCAAACAAGGCTACAGCGCTGGCTGCGAAAACTAACGAATTCTTGGTTATGCGCGCGCGGTTGCTGGCTAATTCCTCTTCATCGACTGAAGGCTCTTTGTTATTATCTAAGACCATCGCGACCAACATATCCAAGCCTATGAAGTCACAACCACTACTTGTTTTCAAGGTGATGACTTCATGGTTGCGGGTGCGGTATTGCTATTTTTTGAGGGCCAAGGATGTTTCTAGCAAGTCGCCTGGCCAATTGCACCTTGACTCGACCCGCCGATTCACCGAAGTCATGTTCCGCTCATCTCCTTCGCATACTAATCGCTTCAACCGGTGATAATACCAGCAATTGGTAGTATGTGTTCAATAAAATCTCATGTTTCGGACTTTTGGTTTCATGGAGTCTGTCGCAGGCGATTTTCGTCGTATTCTAACCGAGCGGTGACCGATCTCCAGTCCAACCATGGCTGCCACATTCCATTTTTATCGACCAATTCCATTCAAATTGCTATGAAATTATGCTCTGTATCTCTAGATAAATCCAATTACAGGCCATTGTGATTCTCTTTGCTATATACGGATATCTTGTCTTCATCTACACGATATAAGAGTAGAAAAGTCCAAACCGGCATACCGGCCACCGACCGTCATTCAATTTTTCTCGCGATCCGGATGCTCGAAGACAGATGATTCCGGGAAAAACATCCTTTATTTGTTTTCTTTCACTATGATGATCTAGTAAATCATAGGTTATAGTAGATATAAGGTACAATATGAGCTATTTTGGTAATAATAATAACCCGTTGGCATTTCCATCATATAACCAATCACCCTTCCCCCAAAGAAGCTTATCAGGGATGAGCAATCTTCAGCAACAACAGTTGTCTCACCTCCAGAACCCCCAGGGTCATCAGGGAGATACAGCATCAGCAGCGGCGGTAGTGGTGGCCCAGCAGCAGCATCAACAACAACAACAGCAGCAGCATCATCCACACCATCAGCGTCCGCAACATTCACTTCACCATTTACACAAACTGCAAAGCGGTCTGGGGTCCGTCCCCCCACAACATGGACAATCAGCAGTGGATGAAAAACAGGGCCAGGCGGTTATCAGAAAGGAACGTAAGAACAGACCGGGGCAAAAATTTGGTGCAAAGAAGAAATCGTGGGTTTGGTCGTGGTTTATTCAGGACTCACAAGACCCTAATATAGCAGCCTGTGACTACTGTGGAAAGATTATTACTAGATTGGCGTCAGATAAAGGATCACCAAAGAAGCTCAGTGAGCACTTGAAGACACATAAGTTGACGAAAGATTCGATCAATAACTCAAGACCAATTCCTATTGACGGGAACGGTATAACGTACGCACCCAACGGAATGCCCTTGAACTATCCTTCAAATTTCCAACAAGCACAACAAGTACATCAGACACAAGCATCTAACAACCCACATGTTCCCAATGTGAATCCACAGCTTTCGGACGATGCTGACGAAATGGATCCCAAGAAGAAAGCCAGGTATAATAAGTATAAGCCTCGCAATACCATGAACAACATTGACTCGTCGTTGTCTTCTTTCGGTTTGAATTCCAACCGGAGATTTTTGTCGGCGGATTTCGATAATTCGCCTTATTCATCGATGAAGTTCCACAAGCACTTAATGAAATTCTTGACTGAGAACAAATTATCTATAAATGTAATAAAATCGCATTCTTTCCAACAACTTATTTATGATTTAAGATCAGATTCAGTAACTGAATTATTGGAATTAACTGGTTTGTACTCGTCCTTATTAGAAGTAAGCCGGTTTGACGCAAACGGTACTGGGCCGGCTAACACAGAAAATAATGACGCGGACCCTTCCATACCGTCTGTCAATGAGGCTAATGTGGTCAATTCATTAGCCCAGGCAGTGGAACAAAAGGCAAATAATGCAAACGCAATGGCGGTTGTCAATGCGGCTACGAATCAAGGCTGATCTTTTATTCATGATTGTATACTAAATTGTTGTATTATATCAATTTTGTACATATATTTATTTTGTGAAATAGTTTAACGTATATTTATTGTGGAAGACTCTACTTGTATATGATGGTTATAATTTCGGCTTGCTGACGATTATATCGTTATGATATGGAATCAAATTCCAAGTATGGCCAATTCTATCATTCAACTCCAACTTGTCTGTAGAATGCAATTTCTCGTAGCAACTATTTATCACTTCAATCGGAATACATAACACTGTCTTCGATAGTTTTTCAGTTGTTTTCTCGCCTTCCTCTTCACCAAGAGCAGGTAGTATAACTTGCGCATTGGAGCAAACCAACCCCACTAATTCATTTGTAGACTGCTTAAATAACCCGCCTCCAGAAGACCCGTTCCAACATGAAGCCGATGTCACAATAATACACGGCAATGTAGTATTATCACCTTTATACAAAGGAAGCGAGTACTTGACGGATATATTACCCGTGGATTCTAATGGCTCCACGTAGAGATTATTGAAATATAACCCAAAGCCGATTGTACTGACAAGTTCCCCGGCCAGATAAAAGTAATCATATTCAACTGGGGCTATATTGTCAATATCCTTGAGCCTTTTTTGATTGGCAAAAGAAAGCTTGATAAATGACAAATCTAACTGTTCATACGGGGTAATAACAACATCTTCGTTCGTTAACTTGATTGTTTGATCCCTAGTTAAAAATATTTTGCAATCAACCAGCATGGGTCTATCAATATTATCAATATATTGCTTAATTACATGGTTGTTTGTTACTAGGGTGGTCTGATTATAATACACACATGATCCCCAGAACAGACTATTATTTTCGCTAACAACTACAGGCAAAACTGAGCGGATTCTGTCTATTCCACTAGACGATTTCATTGAAGGCCTCATACTTAAATTGGGGAACCGCTTCATGATTAATTTCCAAATAATTTCCCACGATAGTATAAATATCAAGTCCCCATCCCCATTGTACTTGCGTAAATTGCCCAACACTAACCCTATCGAACCAGTCATGTCGGATTTGGTGACAACACCTCCTGCCATATTTTCCATATATTTAATATCAGATAAATAGCCCAATATCTCATTATCTTTAGTTATCTTGAGATTAACTCCGCCTACCGATTGAAAATTACTAAATAACAACGGGTTCGTAAAGCTGAACGGACAAGAGCGGATAGTGATTGGGTCAGATACCTCTGTATTTGCAAATTCAATTACTTTATATGCTTCTGGCCTTATCAATTTGCCCAATGACCCAGCTTTGACCTCAATTCCCAATATATTGAGATCCATAAGTGTGTTTCTGGGAACTGTATCATTCGGAATTATCTTGAACCCATTTTCCTTGAAAAAGTTCAAATATTTATATAAATAATCGTCTCGACTCTCCATTAACGGAATATCAAAGCTCGGAATACAAGCGTGCCAATTCACGTCGTCACCTTCACAAAGGGAACTCGAAGTTACATATAGCTGGTAATCTTTCAAACTATGTGGGGGAATATGACTGATCGAGATGGTTGACTCATATAATATCTGTCCATCCTCATTTCTAAGAACTAAATTAACACCTGTAAGTGCATGCATATCTCCCTCTGATATAAATCTAATACATACCGGTACATAGTGCCATATAGCGCTCATGTTGTCTTCAATAATCGGATATGTTCTTGTCATACTACCATTGAAGTCATTTTTAATAATCCATATCGGTCTGCATATAACTAAATGCCTTTTAATACAACGCGTTGATCATAAACAACTGTATCAACAACCTATTTCTTCTTGTCAAATAGAATGAATACTGATGATATGACTGTTCCTGAAACGTCTATAGCAACAAAAGAGGACAGCATTATTGTCTCAAAACCGTTTGAAGCCAATGAAGCTAATAATAGTGAAATTATCGCCACTGAAGTCACTAATAGCCAAATAAAGGCATCACCATCCGAATCATCTTTGTCGTCGATAAACAGTGATAGTTCGACAGGAAAGTTGATAAAAAGCTTGTCTGTGGATAAATTGAATAACCAAGAGAATGAAGTTCCGAAGGAACAAACGCATACGTTGCCTCTTCCCAAAAACTCGAATAAAAAACCTATCAAATTTACGGTCCGTAAGGTGTCGCACGAGCCTATAAAAATCAGTAACAAGACCAACGAAAGACAATTTAGTCAAGGTAAGAAGCAAGTAGTGGAGTCTCATAAAGCATACGAGCAAATTAAGGCAACGCAGTTAAAATACGATCAATATGTCACTCGCATAGGCAAAATCGATAAAGAAATAGATTTTTTGGTGAAGTTATTGCCTCCTTATAACGTTGAAATTGATTATGCGACTAGAACAAAGATAACAAAGGCTATTGAGAAGTTGAAGATGAAGCAAGACGAGTTGGATAAGAAGAAGTACAGTTTAGGTATCACCATCAGCAGATTATGGAGGGACAATAGTGACAGTGATATATGGGTTAGGTCAGTAAGTAACCAATAATTCTACTAAATGAGAAGAAAGGAAAAGAAGACAATGTGTAGTTATATAGTTATATAATCACAGGTGAAGACAATATACATATAACTTTGGTGATTCGATTTGTACAATACAAAATAAATAATATTATAATTTTCGCGATTTCCTATAGAGAAGTTCTGGGAGGGTTAATGTGAGGCATAATAGGGGGAAGCATGAAATCGTTGTGCCGAGCCACCGACCGGGTCTCGTATACGCTACTTGACATCAAATTAAGTGACGATTGTATGTAGTTCAAAACAAACTTCTGTAAGTTGCTCTTGAAATTCACAAGGAAATATTGGTTCTTGATAAACGATAACCAAGTTTCAAAATAATAATTGAGTTTCTTGAAGACATGCCAGAAAAAATCAGTATTAAATTGGAAATCGGAGTTATTATCATTGATCAAGTATAATAGGCATTGCAAAATGCAATTATCTATCAAATGGTTATTCTTCCATAAATTAATCAATAATTTAACTAAAGTCACGTACCATTCTATAATCAAATAATTTAAATTCAATTTATCTTCGAAATTTAAACCTTTCAATTTCAAAATATCTACCGACTGGAAGTTGATAAACCGCAAATTGAAAATCAATGGGAAACTCACAATCCCTAGGTTATTGTTAATGTCTTTGTTCTCAATTTCAAAAAATGGAAGCAAGCCACTAGAGAAAGTTTGCAACGAATTATTCAAATTGTTATTGATGAAAGCCTTGAAATTAAAGGCATGCATAGAGTTGAGATTGAACTCTTTCAATAGCACCGATAAAAGATTCCAGTGGATCCCTTCTGTTGGGTTGAAAATATACGACTTCAATATATCATGGAACTTTGAGGGACTCTTTATGATAAGGTTTTTTTTAAATATCTCGTAGATCTCGATGTTTGATGTTTCGGGAATAATCTTATGGATGAGAATAATAGAGTTGTGCAACGCTCTAGTCAGCTTGAAAATGAATAGTTTGTTTGTACGATTGAAATAATTCAATTCGTTAGACACGGTGGAAATCATGATCTCCTGGATAAACTTTGAAGAAATATCGGCCTGCGATATATTATTCATAAAATCAACCAAATTCAAATTCAGAATGGGTCTCTGAAGGAATAGCTGGTAGAACTTAGGAGGACCATCGTTGATTTGGTAGAGCGATAACAAATTGTAGATGCACCAGAATAGGTTCATGTTTTTGTTGATAATGTTCGAGTTTAACGACAAGTTAGACATAATAATGTAGCTTATATCGTCCAAGTAGTTGAAGTTCAAGTCGCACGTCACATCCATCGACTTATGTTGGTTCAAGTTGTATTTCAAGTGCGTATACGAGAGAATAAACAACGAATTCAAAATCTCGATCTGGTCGTTGGGGTTGGTGTTATTGTTGTTGTAATCAGGAATGAGCTTTTGCACTAACAACGACCACGAATGATGGAAGTTCGCAATGCATTGGGCAGTATTCCCCACGTTGATATGCCCGATCGACAAGATCGAGTAGATCAAACAGAGCTTAAAGTCGGGAATGCGATCGATTTCGTGGAACTGCAAAAACTTGCTCAAATTCTGCAACACCTCAGGAATGATCGGTGCATCTTCTTGCGCTAACATCGTATACCCTACAACAAAAATCTCTGATTCCGCGTCACTTTTTAATATCGTCCCCACCTTATGCGCTATTGACAAGAGAAGCCCATGGTTGGTAATAGCATTCTGTCTTGCTCCAATTGTTACCGCTGCATTCACACCTCCCGCAGACGTCCCATTGGCTGGCGCTCCACCCATTCCTACCCCAATATTCGTGTCGCTGCCACTGTTACTACTAGTGTTTCCCATTCCCCCACCACCTGCTCCACCTGCTCCACCCCCTACTCCACCTCTCATACTAATATTATTAACGTTCGCAATAGCTCCATTCGCTCCTATATTCTTGATAGCAGATCCTGTAGAATGCCGGCGTTCTTTCGAAACCGCAATATTGTGCACTGTTTTGCAATGTCTCTGCAATAAATCTCGTCTTACAAAAGCTGACGTACAATGTACGCAGTGAAACGGTTTTTCATTAGTGTGGGATCTTTCGTGCCGTTGTTTATGTTCCGATCTAGAGAACGCTCTGGCACAAAATGAGCAAATGTACTTCTTTTCTGCCGCCATCTGTTTATTCCTTATTCTAAATCTGAAGAAAGAAAGAATGGAATTTTGCATCTTTTTATCGTAATTATCCCCGCGTTTTCAATTCGTTTACCCGGACTTGTGTCCGCATTATACGAGTCGATGATTACCCTCTTACATAATAAGAACAAAGACTACTAGATGTTCTCCAACTTGTCTCCAACCAGGACTGTTGTGGGATAAAAAACCGCAAGTCATGCATCTATGCATTGCACAGAGTAGGTCCGCAACGGCTGAGTGCATCTGTTACAGAAATACGGTTTGATGGACGGTTTTAGGGAGTGATAGTGGAGAATGCAGAGAGATAGGCACGGCCCATTTTGGTCGTATGAAGGATTTAGGAGGGTGTAGAAGTGGTGTAGGAATGGTGTAGGAGTGGTGCAAGAGTGATGTAGATGAGATATAGGGTTTCTACGGTCTGATTTATAGTTTCAAAATATATACGGGATCAGTGGTATGGATCGAGGGTATGGATCCATGTCAGATCTCGACCCAAAAGGTGATTCTAGGTTTTGAAATAAAGCCGTAAACACTGATGGCGTGACCGAGAGCGAAATGGCATCGATGTATGGGCAGCAACGGACTAGGGCATTGTAAGCGAGGGAGAGGTGGTGTAACAGGTTAGGGGTGTTTGAAGTTTGATAGTGGGGGTTGCAGATGACTTCTGAAGCAAGCGAAGTGTGAGAGATGAGCATAGAGATTCGTGTAACAAATTGCATTGAATGCTACATGGTTATGTATAAGTCAGAAGTTCAGCATATTTCTACTAGCCCGTTGTCGTGGTTTCTACAGACTGAAATGCTGGGATAAAAATCTCAACTAAGTGGGGCGTTGGGGTATATAATAAAATAAATTTATTTCTGTGCATAATTGCGAAAATCATGAGAAAGATACGAAACGACCCCAATCCGCGAGGATTGAAGGCAGGGAACAAATTGAGTAAACAATGCGATAAAAGGAGCGAGGAACGAATACCTGGTTTGGACAAGAGACAATCAACCTATGATAGGTGACCAGATAATACAGTTTACCTCTGCAAAAGGTGGATCAGAAGAGGAGAAAGGGACGGATAAAGAGAAGGATAGAGAGGGATGAAAAGAAAAGCAGTCACATGCACTGATACTATATTAAATTAATTGAACCGGAGATGTCATTGAGGGTTCATAGGAATGGAGATGCTGATGTCAGAAGTTGAGGCGAATTTGGGGAAATGTCAAGAGAAAAGAAATGGTCGTGGGGTGATTGCGGGCGGTGATTCAGAATCATTACGTGAGATGAGTGAAAATTAAAATTGCACCTAAACAAAAGTACGGCTCGCATATAATATTCGCTTGAAAGGTCACATATACATATATCAAGGAAGTGATTTTAATGTCAGAACAACACCCAGGACATAGGGATGGGGCCGGGGCCCGTTCTACGCTAAGTCGGACCAATAGTGACGAGACGTTAGTCACACAACGTGAATATCCTTCACCGAGACAGAACCAGAATACACGGCAGCACGAATATGAAGATAACAACTACAGTCTCTATAATAGATCTGGGGACTTGTCGGACTTGAATTCGCTATTTACGTCGGGGTCTGAAGAAACTGTGACAAATAATGTCAAGATTTTGGGGTATCCCATCACATCGTACACTACTGTGCGAGAGTTGCCGATAGTTTCGACATTCCTACAGCCCGGAGTACTTATATTCTCATCATTGAAGTCTTTGGATATATATTCGCAGAAAAACTTGTCAACGGAGAAGACAGAGCTGTATCACTTGCAAGGGTTGGGAATTCCGATGCTACAGACATCGACGCCGATGCTCAGCATTTTCAAGATTAATTCGCCATTCATGCTCATTTACAAGTACAACAAGTTGAACGAAAAGTCGGTATTCTGCAAAGTGTACTTTAGGATTTTGACTAATAATATCACTTGTTATATTTTGATATTCCAGCTTGACAGTGGCGAATTAAAGACAGTGGTGTTGATGAATAATGGTATTAGGCCATCTGTGGACATGTTGTACGAGAATACAAAGATCAGAATCACCGGCGTCACAGGCACGACATCAACATTTGCAAATGGCTTCATTCAGCTTTATATCTTACAAAACTCCTCACCATCGCTAACCGACGAAATGTCGGTACAAAATACCGTGGAGACTATCAATAGTTCGATTAAGAACGTTAAAGTGAATGTAAACGAATCAAACAAATTATACAACTCGTTGAAGTTCCAGAAGAAAGCGACTTTAACCAAATTGATGAATGAAGGAAAGACATTAATCAACACCCCTTTGGCAACGTTCGTTGACAATGGCGATGAAAAATTCAAGGGCCTTAATTTATTTAAAAATGGGACTATTAAAATATTTGAGACGAGTAACGATAATGAAAACAACACCAATACGTTAATAATGACCAGTATCCTATTAGTTTTAAGAGAGCAGGAATTTAGAAAATTCAGAGGAAACAATAAGCCGACATTTGTCAATCATCATAATAATTAGACCTCTAAGAATAATTAATGTATGCGATACAGTATGTAAATTAATATATGTAGATTTATTACGGATGACTACTGGCTCATTTATGAAGTAATTACCTTCAGTATGAATTTTCCTTATCTTTCAGACCGGTATATTTGACACATCTGGAAAATATTCGTCAACTGTTTTTTTCAAATTCAATACTAATTTGTATTAATAACCTAATTCCCAAAGGCCAATACTACCAATTTGCTTGACCCGACTGGCTACATACTGCTTTTTGAGTCCCTGATTTATAATTATGTCAATCAGTAAAAAGCTACACCAATTATTTTGTGTGCAGATAATCGCATGCAACTCAATCCTTTTGAATTTGTAATAATATCAAATCGTTTAGTCTAAGTCAACCAAATACCAAAATGACAGAATCTAAGCTTTCGTTTAAAGAACAGATGAAAGGCTTTCCGGCATGGCAAATGATAGTTGTCAGCTTGATTAGATTTCTGGAACCGATAGCATTTACATCGCTTTTTCCATATGTCTACTTTATGATACGAGATTTTCATTTCGTGAAAGATGAAGCAAATATTTCAAAGTACTCTGGATACCTTTCAGCTTCTTTTGCATTTACTCAGTTCTTGTGCTGTATACAATGGGGGAAAGCGTCCGACAAAATTGGTCGAAAACCAATTTTAATTCTAGGATTGTTTGGAACATCACTTTGCATGCTTACATTTGGATTCTCTACTAATTTCTACATGGCATTATTTGCCAGATCTGCTATGGGTGCTTTGAATGGAAACATTGCAGTGCTTAGAACAATGATCGGAGAAATAGCTACAGAAAGAAAACATCAGGGTACTGCATTTTCAATTTTACCATTATTTTGGAATGTGGGAAGCGTTATTGGCCCTTTGATTGGGGGGTCTAAGTATCTAACTAGGCCTCAAATAACGGAATCGGTTATGAAAGTGAATGAAGGTGTCTATGATAGGTTTTTGAACAAATATCCCTACGCATTGTCGAATGTAGTAGTAGCCCTATTCCTATGGTTTAGTATGTTAATGGGGTTCTTGTTCTTGGAAGAGACTCACTCCCAATTAAATAGAAGAAAAGACATAGGCCTTGAAATCGGTGATTGGATAAGAAGAAGACTAGGCTTCGACGTTCCTACTCGTAAGTGGAATATTGCCTCGAAGACAAAGCCCAAGAGATCACGAATTCCGGAAACAAACAGAGAATCGGTAAACGAACGAGAGGATGTTATTCAAAACAGCAACAACTCAAACGAGAATATACGTGAAGATCAGCAGGAAGAAGATTTGGATTCCTTTGATGAAAGTACTTCGCTCATTCAACCTCGCCCAATTTATTCTTCTCTCGTCGATGAAGATGATGAAACAAGTTCAATTTGCTCAGAAGATAACTTAGGTCCGTTAACCAGAAGATCATCGAATGCTCTTTTAAGAAGATATTCGTCCAATATGTCTGTCAGGCCTTCTTTATCAAGAATTAGTACTAATAGATATTCTATCAGTGACGTTTCGACTATAAATAAAAATACATTCTCCAGAGAGGTGTTTACTGGTCCCGTTATCCAGACAATGTTGGGAAATTTTCTTTTATCGTTTCATACTTTAGTGTATCTGGAATTTTTGCCAGTGTTGTTGGCATCTAAGTTTATGCCTGAGGAGTTGAAATTTCCAACAAGAATGAAAGGTGGGTTCGGCTACGATTCAAACACAATTGGTACCTTATTATCCGTTACCGGTCTTTTAGGTGTTTTCATAATTATGCTTGTGTTTCCCTTTATGGATAGGAACTTGAGGACTATCACTGGTTACAGGGTATCAACTAGTATATTCCCACTCATGTACTTCACATTGCCATTTTTGATCTACACTATACCGGGTTACAATCCAAAAGCGCCACAGCACTTGACAAAAACTCTTTTATACCTCAACTCTGGAATTCGTACTTTAGCGTCTTCCACATCCACCCCTCAGGTGATCGTGTTGATCCACAGAGCATCTCCACCGAAATATAGAGCATTTATCAATGGAACGACTTTGAGTTTAACGGCACTTGCAAGGTGTCTTGCCCCGCTAATCTGGGGTGCGTTGATGTCATTTTTCGACAGTTTGGCTTTGGGCCAATTAACTTGGATAACCTTAGCGGTAATGTCCGTCGGCGCTTTGGTGCAATCATTCTACATAGATGAGTATGATGAAGATATCAAGCCCTCCGAGTTAGACGAGTCTAACGACCAGACCGTATAAGCAGCCATTCTGCATTCGGCGATATAATGGCTAGATGACATAATCAAAACAAAAATATTGTCAAAACAAAAGACCAATGAAAATTACCTCATTCTTATCGAGCTACCATAAGGACTTTACCTTCATAATTAACTGACCTAGTCATAGCTAGTGTAATAGTCTTAGAATAGTTTTATACATACGTCTACAAGTAAAATTAGGATTTTAAAATATATTATTAAAACAATATAATAGGTATTTGTAGCTATATTGACATTAATTATTCCCAAAATTTCAAAAAAAAAATTGATTCCCGATAATACAATAAATAACTTTGTGTTCGATTCCCGTCAAACACAACGTTATGTGGTAAATGATAAAAAGCAGCAATAAAAATCGTCAATAGATAATAATATTTGTTGTAGGATAAAAAAAATACAGATTCGTATTATAGCAAAACAAAAAGACCGTCAGAATATAGGACCAAAACACAAATAAGCAGTATAAATACAACAAAGCATTGGTAGTCGACATTAGAAAATATTTCACTTAAGCATAATTTCCACTACCAATCTTCGGTGCATCGACAAAGCCCGTATCTTCATTATTTATTAGTATTAGTATTAGTATTAGTTTTAGCAGCGCCAATGACCCCATATCCTAACTAATCAATTTGTCATTAGTTTAACCATCAATTTAGAATCTTTGGTTAGACTTCTTAGCCTTAATCTTCTTATGAACAGCGACAGCAACGATACCACAGAAGGCTAAAAAGACTAAGACGAAAACTAAAATAACACCTCTTGGCAACATTTCTTATTATTGAATTTATTATTTAAGTGTTCTTCTAAGTATAAAATAACAACCTTAAGTAGAAGAAAAACTCAAGCAAGAAAAACAAATTTTTTCAGCTGGGAACAAGGGTGAGTTATATGGGTTCGAGAATGAAAATTTTGACCGAAAATCACGAACCGAACACAAAACCGCTTCGTTAGGGAATTAATTTTATTTACGTTTCGGACTAACCGGAGAGCCTCTGGACTGGTATCTACCGCACCCTAACCGATGATAGGCGGCAATCGGTACCATACATACGCATATTGCGCTATTTGCGATAACCAAGTCGGTCCGTCTACTATTCCTATTGGCTCGGGAAGACCTAAGCATTTACGCCTAACTACATGGGGCTGGTATACTGGCAGCAACAAGCAGTTTATGGTGCATTACAAACAGACGTATTACTGACTTGGATAATAAGTTGTAGGAAACTGTGGGAACAGAAGAATGACATCGGATAAATTGTCCCAGGTGGGTGAATGCGGGTGGCCACCGGGACGAGTTATGGGCCAATAAACAATCGGTATTAAAGCCAGCCGCGATATACCCATTAGGAAAAGAAATACACCAGCAGAGCCGGGTATGCAGTAAAACGGTTGGGGAAGTTGTTGACCATACATGTCAAAGTTATTGTGTGGGTTCAGCCGCTGGCTACTGCCGTTGGAGGCATCGGCATTGGAGACGCCGGTTGTTTGAAGCACCGGTGTGTATGTGTGAGGAGCATAAAATGTAGAGGTGCTTAACAAATTATATTGAGGGAAGTGTCGGATAAGAAGAGAGCCTGTGTACAACTGAGATGGAATACAACTATATTACATTTATTGAATATCGTTACGTCGTTATATATGCATGGTAGCCAGTAGCTATATGGTACAGTAGCCAGTAGCTATAAGGTACAGTAGCCCGTGATCCAATACGGTTAATGATTCGAATCGATAAATGGGGCACATCTGAAAAAAAGTCGGGTGTGGGTGGGAACAACCCGGTTTTGAGGTCGTAGAGGTTGGTCGGTGGTCTATGACGTCAGATGTGGTCGTTATTATCATTCTCTGTCAATTATAATTTGGATTCGAGACTGGGATACATGAATGTAGATGGGGAGATGGCGATCTCTCCATAGTTGACATGCGATGTGAGGCATGTGAGTTTAGTGCTTCATAATGCCATTTCCGGGAATGAAGGCGCTAGCACGATAAAATAAATGTCTCTGGGTATAAGTATCAGCAGATTTTTTTCGTTTAGCACTGCTGTTTGCTAGATATGAGGTTGCAGGCTTTTTTGGAGGGTCTTTTGGTTGTTGAATGGGAATGCTGTAGCTGTCACTTCTCTGTGTATAAGATGGCTGTCTCGACGGTCGGGAATTGGGTTTCGGTTGTGTAGTTTGAGTTCGAGGGTTAGTCTTGTCCCGCGGTGCGCTTTCGAAAAATAGCTTCGATAGTCGACTTGGGCTTTTGCTAGGTAACTCTGCAGAAACATTTTGTTTGTAAGGTTTGAAGCTGGATGCCTTCCGGCCACTTGCATTAGTCGAGGAGACTAGTGCTTTACGATTATTTGTATGGTTTTTGTAATTAGTAGACGAGAAAGACCTCACTGGACTATTTTCTTGAGATGCCATTTTGGAGGTTTGCTTGGAAGAGCTCTTGTTATCTTTCTTGACATTAGGTGTCGACTTTTTAATGGTTGGCTTATATGTAGCCTTATTAGCGCTTTCATTTCTTTTGCTGCCGGGCTTGCCAATTTCTTTGGCTAATAATTCATCACCATTACTTCCAATATCATATTCTTCAATTATCTTCGGTTTTCTAGGTTTTGACTTCGTCGGCTTGGTAGCTGCTTCGGTATTTGCGTTTAATGTAGACGCCTTTTCGAACATCATATTTCTTCTATCGAACTCATTATTGAATTTGTCAAATTCTATATGCTTCTTTATATTGATATAATTATTGATGTTCAGTCTCCAAGACGTTTTATCAACCGAATTCTGTAATTTGATTTTCGCAACTTTCATATCACTGTTCAATTCTTTATCCAAATTTGATATCACTCGATCTCTGTTGCAATATTCTATCTTTGACAGTTTGCTAGATCTTTTGCGAGGAGCGCCGATCATGAACTTTTCATCTTTACATTTCTCTAAGATCTTGTGAATATCTAATGATTCACCAGGTGGTATTGAATTTGGATGCGATGGCGTTACACAATCAAGAGTGACTTCTTTTCTCAAGATATTATCAATATCAACTTCTGAAAAGAATGCACATGATTGTGGTACTTCCTTGATACCTAATTGTTCACAGAACATTGCCCTTGTCCATAAATTACTTATTTGTAAGAGTAGAGCTGTTTTATACTTATCTTCACTCTTTACCATATATCTTAATTCATCATGAACTGTTATGATCAACCGTCCATCAATTCGGAATTTCTTTAATAAAAACTCCATCGATACGATTAATAAATGCAAGTAGTCCACACCAGAACTTTGAATTACCCAATTGATCCTGGAAGTTAAATAATTATTTTTATTCAAATTTGCAATTGTAAGGGCATCTGTAATTGCTGCACCCAATACAGGGGTTTTAGGGTCTTCTTGATATGCAATGGATTCTAACATATTGAACATAATTGATTCGGTACCTCCGTGATACATTCTTCTATCTAAGAATTTGGATGTATTTGTTTGACCTTTTGTTTTAGCGTATAAGGTTTTTGCCATCAATTCGGCTTGCACATCACTTAAAGAAGAATTACATTGTTTCAAGAGCCTAGTAGCGAATTTAACACCGGCTCCATAAATTCTACCATAATTAAAAACTTTGGCGTCGTTTCTCAGGATTCCTAAGATTTCGGCGGTCTTTGAATGTAAGTCTGTTTTTTCACTTTTGTCTCCTTCCAAAGTCATCCATCCTAAAGCAGTACTTCCGTGCATCTCAAACATTGAATCACCGACTAATGAAGCAATCCACAATTCCTCGGAATCTACATCAGCTCCGACAAATGCATAGCCTTCGGGTGCTTCAATCATGGCTTTTAGTTCTGAGCCAATTCTGTTTTTCTTACTGTTCGAAGCTGTTAACCAAGTATTCTCAGTCGCTCTTCTAGTAATTGTACCCATGGAACAAAGCTTAGGTAAGATAATACCCATGTCCTTATGCTTTTTCGAATCAACCTTAGTGTCGAAAAACTTATTCTTCTGATTGTTAGCATCTGAGTATATGACAAACTGATCCATAATACGTTGCCTATTACCCATCCAATAAGATGCAGTTGAATTTAAACTCAATATTTCCTGTGCAAATGAATATTCTGAGGTCAAGGTTCCGCTTTCAAAGTATCTCAAGTAATTCTTAGATAAGATAGATGTACATCTCTTACCAGGGCCCTCTGGATGAGGTACTTTAAACAATTCATAGTTGTTACCATCATCTCTTAATTGGGGTAAAAAGTTTTCCAAATCTTCATCATTTAGCTTAGCTCTGGGATAACTTTTATCTTCCATAGATTTAATAGTCATTTCATTAAAAGGAACTTTGAAACACCATCCTGACGAATCAGTCCAAAGTAAGGGATATCCCTCCCATTTCAATTTTAAGAGCAACGGAGTTATCCGAGTACGAGTAGATATGTTCATTTCTCGTTGCTTTACTCCGTTAATCGTGACCGTTTTAAACAAATCTCTATACCATTCAGGGTAGCCGGTTAAAAATGCTTGATTTGCTGCAGGCTCGCCATTCTTCTTCAAACGTTGTTCTTTGATAGTCCAATTTAATTGCGATAACCATGGATCAGTTTCCCAATCAGGTTTCAATGAATCATTATTTTGATCGACGTAGTTAACAAATGCATTAGCCCTTTCTTTCAATATAGTACTGACCTCTTCACGGTTTTTTTGATAGACCTCCTCAGCTGTTTCAATGTAGTTATCCCAGTTCTTAGTTGTGGGTAACATTAAAGTTCCAAGATGCCTCAATGCTGCAAATGATACAGGATGTGGCACTTTTTGCCTGAATTGCGAAAAGAGTTTAGCAGTTACCGAATATGTCGCCTCAACGTCCTTGGCACAATAATCCATTAAATTATTGAAGTTGTTGATGACATCCTGAGGATCTTCGGTACCGAAATAGTCTCTGTCAGTTTTATCTAGTTTTATGTTACAATGGAAATCTGCCACATTTGCTAAAGAATTTGGAGAACCTTTGTTCAACCATGGATCGTCTAATAGCTCATTTGCTATTTCAACGGCTGAGAGCTTTTTATCGAAATAATCTATATCAGATTCTATCGCTGTAGATTCATCTTTAGTTGAATCAAGCTGAGACTTGCTTTTTTTATGTTTTTGCCAGGTAGGCCTTTGTTGAGAACATATTCCACTTATGGCGACATGTAGGGCCATACCATCTAAGAAAAACCCCTTTGACTGCCTGATATTATACTCATCTAACACCCGTGCTCGATCATAACTGACATTATACCCAATTATTAATTTAGGATTATTCAAACAGTCCAATGGCATTAGATGTTCCCAGTCGTTATATTCTTTATTTTCAGAATAGTTCGTAAGGAATGGAGACACCCATCCGTACCAGGCCTTGGATGATACACAAGTAGCCAATGCGGCATATGGTGACTTTTTGTATATGACTTCAACATCAAATACTAATTCGTCTTCCAACGGCTGTGGTACTTCTTTGGGAGCCTCTCCTTCAGCGTATCGTACCCATCCACTTTTAAACAACCACTCCGAAGGTTTGGGCTTCGTGGGTAATTGCATATCTGGCGATAGAAAGCTTTCTGCTATCGACAAGTATGGCTGCGACGCCTCTGTCCCTATTTTATAAAAGTGTTCATCTAGGGTGTTTTTCCCCTCCAAATCTGGAAAATTGTCTATGTTGATGGGCTCTACGATTTCTGTCTTCTTACCGAGTAATTCATTATACCTCAAATGCTCCTTCGCAAGCTCCAAAAGAGCTGGGTTT